GTTGGACTTGGCCGAGGTACGGGTTTCCCCTTCTTGGCGTCGGGTTTGGGTTTCGAGGCTTTCTTTGCCGCCGTGACGGACAACTGAAACAAGAGATTTAAGACGGGGAGTAAGAGCGGAACGAACCGGACTACTCGCCTTCTTGATCTGCGCCTCGAGCGACTTGACGCGGCCACTCACGGCCTTATCCACGAGGGACTGAGTCGACGGACCAGGCTTGGTCGCGTCGATCATCTCGGCGTCAGCCGACTTCTCGATCTCCTTCTTCTTCTCGATCTTCTTCTGCAAGGCTAGGTCCTTGGCCTCGACGATCGCGATAGCGCGGAAGCCGAGGAAGACGAGGTCGGAGACGAGGTTCTGGAACTCCGACATGACCGTCGGAGAATCCTGCCATCCAGCGATCCGCACATCAACCGCCGTATCCAGGCGGGTTCGAGTCCACTTGTCCTCGAACACACTCTCGCCGAGAGCGTTGATGGTGGGGACCTTATACCGCCACTCATAGACGGGTTCCTGACGCGACTCCTATCCCCAGAAAACTGGCACCAAGCCCCTTGGTGCCAGGTTTTTGGTGGAACAAGGTCCGTAGCACCACAACCAGGCCGTTTCACCTGGAACAAGCTGGTGTCCCGGGTGCCCCACGACCTAGCCCACAACCTCTGTTAGGTTTGGAGACCATTGCTTTAGTCGTCATAGAGCTAGACACATTGTCCCAGTATCAGTGTCTCACACATTTGCCTATTTTCCCCCTCATACAAACTTGGGGCGGCAATATCCTGACTGCTCATCAGGATTGTAATCACTTCATTCTCCTACAGTATGGTGCGGAAGACATTCAGCACAGGGCACAGGCGGGCGGCGGTGGAGAAGATAATGCAGTAGATATGTATAGTCTGGCCGGGGGTACAGACTGGTGTCAGACATGTGGTACTGAAATCAGCTTCGGACGATGTGAGATGAGCTAGTGTACAGATCGACCTGGATATGCACGTCCCTCCATGAGCGGTGATCGGAACCCATTATAGTGGACATAGTTCAAAGCTACCGACCCTGGCGAACAATGTTTGGACTCTCGCCACCACCGGCTTCAACTCTAGATTGAGCTGAACATCTATACCTACTATACTATTGAGAGAAAAACGAAGCAGGTGCGTACACAGTATGGGCAGACGTATGATCTCGTAGTCTTCACTCAGATCACGGCGCTCACCCCACTAGACCTACTGCATCTTGACCATTAACAAATACCTCAAGCGGATCTGCGAAGAGTCGTAGACAATATACTGCGCCATACAAAACCTTGTCAGCTCCCTCAGTCGTCCCTGAAGTAGAAAGAGCGTACCTCATTATATTGCAGGTAAATTTTCGGGTCCAACACGTCCTTCCCGGGGCCCTTCGGCATGTGGCACCCCTTCAACTCGGAATTCTCCAGTGCGTCCCCAGCGTCCTGCCACTCTGCCGGCTGTGTACGCCCCAGGCCTTTGGTGCACCTGCAGCTCCCAAGTTAGATGAGCCGATGAATTGTGCGGGCAAACAGAGACGGGAGAAAAGCGCACCTAGCGCCGGCAGCCTTGCAGTCTTGATCAGCATTGTAGTTGGCGTTGTGCTGCTCGTAGAAGGGTTTTGCGGCAACTTCGCAGAGGAGAAGAATGCCAATATTGTCGCTCAAGCTGCATGGTGTACATGAATGGCAGGCGATGGTACCATGAAGAGATAGGACTTACTATGCATGACAGTAATTGGCAGACTAACGTGCATAGATGCCATCAGCATTTGCATAGAGAAAAACGCACGCAAAGTACCTTGGACATCATCTGCATACACGATAGAGCGTCATTTTTCGGAAGAAGCTCTATGAGACCAGGCACGACTCACGTCTGCGAAGTACACGCCCTTGCCAAACATGTATCCCGTAACCGGCGCTATCAACCAAAATATGAGCTATGCCCAAGAGGCTCAGCGAACGTCTTACCTTCCGGCGGGGCAATCCTCAGCCCTTGCTTCAAGATTCCCGCAAAGTTCGTCGTCCTCGACCCGTGCCACAGCAACATCCGCTCCCCGTCTGCCAGGCTCCCGAACCCCTTCTCCTCCCACGCCCTTGTCTCGCCCTCCCTCTCCACCCTGAACGCGTTCAGAACCTCTACACCATAATGCCTGTGCGTCGCCCCGTGCGTGTCGCGCGTGTACGCCTGCAGACCCTTGAACTCCTTGCTCGACCGTGGGACAGGGTCCATTCGGGAGAGCGCGAGCGAGCGGAAGTTCGCGTCGAGCGGGTTGACCGGCTGCCCCGTGGTGGTGTCTTTGGGGATGGAGGAGGAGATGAGTTGTGTGGCAATCTCCATATCCCCGAGGGCGTCGACAAGCTCAAGCTCGCGTTTGAGGAGCTCGACGTTGTCGATTACGGTAGGACGGTCACGCCCGAAGACGTGTGGGATCACGCTGCCGTCTGGGGTCAGCGCTAGGACTAGGGAAGGGGAGATAGGACAACTCACGAATAGTAGCGACTGGTGAGGTCCTCGACTGCCTTGCGGAACCCGCCGTGCTGGGCAGCGAGGTCACCCGCAGGGCTGTTGATGACTTCCGAGAGGGTCTTGAGGGCCGAGAAACCATTGAGGATAGTAGACTTGGCCAGTTTGCCTGCGGGTACATTTTAGCGGGTGTGCAAACAACGCCCATCTTGTGCGACCTACCGAGCGGGAGCTTGTTCGCGTCGTAGTTCATGGAGGACAGAGTCGCAGCGAATAGTCTGGATAGCGAGCGATGAGAGCGTGTGTCGACTCATAAGGCAAGATTGTCGCTTACGACTGGTTGAAGATGAGCTTGATGAGTTGCTGTAGCTCAGGGCCTAGCGTTGATTCTGGGATCTTCTCGTCCTTGTTATTCGAAGGTCCAGCGGCCTTGGTTTCCTCTTCTTCCTCGTCGTCCCCATATGACTTCTCGATCCACTGGTACTTGCCTGCAAGTCAGGTCGTGAGCGAATGATCATCACACTTCCACCACACAGCAAGGCGATTCACCCTTCTTCTGGACCATCCCGACACGCTGTTCCCAGTCCACGCCAGCCTTGGCCTTGAACTGTCTCTTGAACTCGATGACAGCCTGAGCCGGCGACCACGGGCCCTACGGAAGCCCAGAATCAGTACACCTGCCTGACAATTATGCAGGTCTGCGGTCGACTGACCTTCTTCTGGGAGCTGCCATTCTCCCCAACGCGCCCCCAGCACGTGAAGAGGGTGACTTGGTTGTTGTTCCCGACAGGGTGCAGGAGCTGGAGGACGTAGAACCTGTACAACGTCGCACGACGTTAGACGTTCGGTGATTCGACGCGCCCACGAGGACAGCAAGAGAAGGCGTACTTGTTCGCGTTGTTCCCGACGTCAGTCTGATTGAGCGTCGCATCCCATATGCCCTCGGGGGTGATGAGCACTTCGTGAGTCAAGGCCCAGCCTGAGCGTGCGTCGACAGGAGGAGCTGCACCTCGCTTCATCACTGTCACCTGTGAGCGCAGAAGTGAGCATGGCGAATGTACGGGTTGGCAATCCGAAAGAAGACTAAGGCATAGTCTGAGAGTGCACAGAGACGATACAGCGCCGACTGTTGCTCGCGAGACGGGGTTACATACCATCTTCTGAGGTAGGTCTGCCTTTTGGCTGGCCGGCTTCGCAGCCTTGGACGCGGGCTTCTTGCTCACCGGCTTCTTTGCGTCCTCCTCTTCATCCTCTGCATCAGCAGCGTCCGCGGCATCGTCCATGTCAACGTCGTCGTCGTCCGCGCCTGGTGCCTTCTTGCCTTTCCCCTTGGTCACTTTAGCCTTAGAAGCTGCCTTGGCCTTGGCCGCGCGCGCATTCTTCGCAGCAGGCTTTTCCTCCTCTTCCTCCTCCACCGCTGCCTCGTCGTCGCCCTCCTCGTCAATCGCGTCCAGCTTCTCATCCTTCTTCTTTCCCTTCGCCCCCTTCTTCGTGCCCGCCTTGGCCTTCTTCGCAGCTGGCTTCTGGCTAGCGTCTGTCTCCACCTCAGTCTCGCCATCCGTCTCCTCCCTGGCGCGCTTCCCCCGTTTAGGAGCACCACCATTGATGCCGGTCGTACCGTTCGCGACGGCAGCGCTGGCGGCAGCGACGGCTTGAGCCTTGGCAGAAGGAGCGCGTGTGCGGCCGCTTGAACGCGTTGGGGCGGGCGCGGTCGCCCCGTCGGTGACCGCGTCGGTGGTGACGGCGGTGGCTTTCTTGCGTGGGGGCATGTTGAAGTGGTGGGTGTCTTGATGCGTCGTCTGGAGTGAGGTGCGCGTTGTGCAAGAGTCCGAAGAGTGGTGGGGATTGCGCGTGGGTGGATGTGGTTGAGGTGCAAGACGCGAAACGCGAGGAACGCGGGGCCGCCGAAGCACGCGCGCGCTGTTAATCAAGGGCGCGCTAGACGCCCGGTCTTGGGCGGGTGGCATGGTAAGCGCGCCCGATCACAGCGTGTCGACCGCCAAGACGTCGGGCGTTACCTTATATGGTCAAAGAGCGCGGGGTCGGGTGACACAAGTCGAGTCAGAGATTGGACACCGCCCACCGTCATGTGGCGGCGGGACCGACGTCCTGACGTGAGTCGAGGCGCGATAAGGGCGCACGAGGGGCGGGAATCACTGGAAATGATTGCGATAGAATACAGCTGCGGCGGAAGCCTCATACGTACATGAGGAACGCGTGCAAGTGATAGGTCTACAGGCAGCGAGAGAGTCATGACATTACATGCGGCGATTGGGACGACTGAGTTACATGCGAAGCTTCTTCTCCATGTCGGCGTGGATGTCCATAGGTTGTACCATCTCGGCCGCTGTACGCCCATATCAGCAGTGGGAACAATGGAGGGCGGATCAAGGACATACCTGAGCCCATGAAGTCTGCGCAATCGAGGACCTCGTCACGGCCCATGAGGATGTCGAGGTGGAGGTTGGACTGGGGGAGGATAGGCATGTGCGGGTTCTGTGGCACGCACGCACGAATTAAGGCTCTGCAGGCGCAGCACAGATCGAAGGGGAGGAGGACACACCTGGCTGACGATCTTGCGCTCCATGAGGATGCGCATGGGCATATGCAGGCCGAAGAGCTGTCGCTGCATCTGGAGCTTCATGTTGTCTTGCGTCGCCTCCCACTGGATGGGATGAGTCAGTACACATGCAACAAAAGAACGCATGGAAAAGCACACATTCTCTAGACGGTCGCGGACTGTGCTCATCTTGGTGACCTCCGCTGCGAGACTGCGGGGGCCATACTTGAGGGCATCGTGGAGGCCGAAGCTGTTGCTGGTGTCCTGGACGGTTGCGGGCTTGGTCTCGCGACCGGGAACGATGCGGAGGGAGTCCTATCGGAGATGTGAGTGCATGTCCTCCTCTTGTCATTTTGTATGTGCTTACCATCGGAATAATGTGGGATGAAGGAGGAGTGCAAGGCGGATGAGACGCCGAGGACGCGTTTGCGGGACGCGTCAGTACATAGTTCCCGATCGGGAAGTGCAGCACATATATGGGCGTCAGCGACACTGTGGCTCTTCGCAGCGCGGGCGGCGGTGTGCCACGACCACGGCCACGGCGCACACGACTGCGACTGCCACGACCTTGGTTTGCCTTCTTGGTTTGTTTTCTTGTCGAGTGCAGGGCTGGAACTGCTTCTGAACCCTCCGCTTGATCTCTGTGCTGTACCGCTGCAACGACTGCTTGGATACTACTACACCATGGGCAGAGGCTCTCGCCGCCCGCGGTCAACCCGCCCAGGCACATTTGACCCCAACGACACGACCCGAGTCAAGCACACCCGCATTGGCGTCTGGGACCTCTATGAACAAATCAATCCCGCCCTCGCCCATGTCCCGGGCTCGTCCTACGCCGAGAAGGCTTTCGCGGCGTACGAGTGCTTGCCATACTTGCTCCGAATGATCCATGACATACTCTCCATACGGAGCTGTTGGTGGTTGCTTACCGCCTACACGCTGGCCGAAGTCGGTCAAGCCCTGTTGCCCGCTGCGTCACTCTGGTATGTACCACCGTTGTGCCCGTCGCAGGCGAGGCCGCGGCGAAGGGTAACCGTGTGCTGAGCATCGGTTTTTGGTCAGGTATTCTGGCCAATTGATCAATATAGTACGTATCTCGTGTATGTCATACAACCCCTTCGTGTCATCGCAAACTCGGTTTATCTCTGCGCCTCTGAGTTGGTTAGTTGCCTCTAGCGGCTGTCCCGTAAATCTCACCCGCGCGCGATTGCAAACCTACGCGTAAACACATTGCGCAGCCCTATTGACCTTGTCTCTCCGCCTGAGCTGCATACCTAGTCGCGCGTAGTAAGGCTACTCACGCGGATCAGTGCGCAAGAAATTCGCGCACAGCGCGCAACAGCCGACGGACTTTTCATCTTCTAGGATTCCTCTAATGTGGTGAACACTAAACTAACACGACCGCTCTTCGCAGCTGCAAACAGCCATCGATACCCGCACCGTCGACGCCTCTCTGCTCTTTCATATCTGCGTAGGACGCGTCGCATGCTCCATCGCGCGCCGCCTCCTCAACCATGCCCTCCCCTCGCTCCGCGGCCCGCTCGCGCGTCGCTTGCGAGCACGATACTCCATTCACCTATTCCACGCGCGGGCGCGGCTCGATCTCCCCACTTTCGAAGACCCACTTGTACAGAGACAGCTCGAAGAGGCGTCGTCTACGTCGGGGAGCATCGCATACGATACGCTCGTGATGGGCACGGGGATCGTGTCGACGTTGCTGCAGGTCGTAAGTCAAGTAGGGGTCTTAGCACAAGTGCTGGGCGGACAAAGGGATGGGTGGTTGCTGGCTATGCTGAGCTTTGCGACGAGCATGGGGGACTGGGTGACGAGGTGGAACGTGTTCGCCACAGAGCAGGGTGAGTTGCCCTTGTTCTTTTCTCGTGAGGTGAAGTGAGAGGCTGATCCCCCATAGTATGGGCTGCGACGACGAAGGACAAGGATTATATCCAGATGGTGGGAATGAAGTTTGTCGTGAACAACATGGAGCACCGGAAGGAGTTCATTGCTGGCAACCTTGCCGAGTTCATGACGAGAGGTGTGGCATGATATTCAGTGCACTATTTCGCCGTATATGGTCCTGACTTCTGGCTCAGAGTTTAAGGAAGTTTCTGAACGCGTCGGCCCGGATAACGCAGTCGACTTCCATGAGCTCCGTCGCGAGTCGCGGAGCAAACGGCGTTTCAGCCTCTTTGGGTTCCTACAGGATCCCCTGCGTGAGCTACCACAGATCGTATTCACCCTGCGCGCCGTCCAGTATCCGGCATCCATGCCCGTCTCCTTGGCATCCTTGAACTTGCTCCAGCAGACAACGTCGCACTTCTCGTTCACAGTGTGGCGCTTCTTCGATCAGACGAGCTCAATCACCGAGCAGTTGTCGACGATTCGGAAACTTTACGAAGTTGCCAACATCCCGAACCGCGTAGAGGACGGCAAAGTTCCCTTTCCTGAAGACGCCCAAAAGCTTCGACACGGAGTCTCGCTGGAGTTCAAGTAAGTCTGCCTGCTTGAAACTCTTGCTGTGACAGGCATGCTTACCCTCTCGCCCGTTTTCAGAAATGTATCGTTCAAATATCCCGGCTCAGACCAATACGCCCTACAAAATGTCTCCTTCAAGCTCCTTCCCGGCCAGCTCTGTGTCATTGTCGGCGCAAACGGCTCCGGCAAGAGCACAATCCTCAAGCTTGCAGTGCGCCTCTACGACCCTTTCGACGGCCAGATCTTCCTCGACGGCCACGACATCCGCACGCTCCGCCTCGCTGACCTCCGCGCCGCCGTCTCTGTCCTCTTCCAGGACTACACCCACTTTCCCCTGTCGATCCGCGACAACATCGCTCTGGGCGACCCGGAGAATTTCCATAACGAGGCGCACGTCCATATGGCAGCGCGGCTCGGTGGCGCGTCCGAGTTCATTGCGAAGCTCTCGGAAGGGTATGACACGTACCTCGACAAGCCCGTACGGGACTATTTCTCAGGCATGCCGGAGGGGACAAGGACGCTATTTGGGAAGCAGATTGACTTTTCTGTGGTGCGAGGGGCGGGGGGCATGGGGAGCCGCGCGAGCGGGCCCGGACTGAGCGGGGGCCAGATGCAGAGGCTGGCAGTATCACGGACGTTCATGCGAAGCGTGGTGAGCGAGGACGCGAAGGTGGGGTTGTTGCTGTTTGATGAGCCGAGTGCATCTTTGGATCCCGCTGCAGAGCATGGTGCGTTCCTTGCCTTCCGCCAGAACAGAAAGTGCTGATCGATGTGGTCGATGTCACCACAGATCTGTTTGGTCGTCTGCGGGAATTACGGGGAAATAAGACGATGGTGTTTTCGTCGCACCGGTTCGGGAACCTGACCCGACATGCAGACCTTATCTTGTACGTACCTCGGCTCCGTTCCCCATCAACTGACGCTGATCGAGTGTTGGATAGGTTCATGAATGAGTCGGTCATCATCGAGGCTGGTACGCATGACCAGCTGATTGAGCAACAAGGAGAGTACGCGCGAATATGGATGTTGCAGGCACAGGCATTCCTATGAACGATGGACCCTCAAGTTCCTCTAGACAGCAATACCATCATTGCTCATTGCTCTCAGGCAAAAATCGCTGAATGATTCCCTCTGTGCGGTTATGTGCGATGATGGCTCGATCTGCGACTGGGCGCGGTAAACTTGATGAGAAGCTCAGGTGAGGTTGGTGACTAAGGCGGTGGGACCATATCCCTCGTGCGCAGCCTTTCTAGTTGCCGCCAAGAGTGGTTTCAATCGCAGGTTATTCGTCAAGTTTGTCGCGTCCTGAACTCCCTTCCTGGGGCTATCATATCGAATTCCAATGCTTACAAGCTTGCGATGATGAGCTAGGATTGAATGAAGGTCAAGCTGACGAGAGCAAGAATCATGTCTTCTTCAACCAGCCCTCGAGCGTGTTCCTCTGACCCTGACCCTGGTAATGCGTTCCCGTCCGTCGTTTCTTCGCAGGTGTCCCTCTATCGTCACGCTCCGAATTGGCCATGACCTCCCACAGTCTCTCGAAATCCGCTGTCCTCACGATTCCACCGCTTGCCTGCGGATCAACTTCAGATGAGTCCTCTAGCTCGCGTTCCCGTCCTGACTACTCACTTCCTTATGCCCTCGAGCGAAGTTGTCCCCCATCGTCTCCCTCAAACCTGGCACACGCGACGCGTACTCTTTCAAGATCGCGATGATGTTGACCTCCCCTTCGCCGTTTGCGACCCTTCGACTTCTTGGAATCCGACATGCGAAGTTGGTCATGCCTGGGCTGTACCCGTCATTCGCACACATCACAACCTCGAGGCGCGGGCCCTTAAGCGATGACGACCAGCGCGTCGCAATGAGCTGCGATATATATCGGCTCAGATATTTGCTATGAAGATGCTGGGTTGTGACGCACCGGATGGACCTGCGCGGGGCTGGAGATGCGTATGAGTGCAACGCGACCATCGCCGGAGAAGATTGGGGCCTTGCGGGCATTCCGTTCTGTCTCTGTCTTGACGGAGGTGCGCGCTTCGTACAATCGCTTGACGTCCTCGTTCGAGGTGAGGCTGACTACATCCTTGGGCGAGGTGCTGATCAACAGCACGCGCCACGCAGTCTCGACATCATACTCGGCGGATCGACGCGCTATGAACAAGCATTCAGCTGCATTCATGAGAGGAACTCGGGGGTGCGGATGCGATCTTACGTGCATTGACCAGTCCAATTGCCTCCCCGAAGGCTTTCTTCGTCCATGTCTTCAAGCAGTCTCGCATATCTGGGAAAGGCGATTCCCAATTAAACCCGGTCCCCAAGTCACCCATCGTCCCCATCGCGCATAACCACGCCATTCTTTCCCTCAGAACCCCCGCAGCATTCCTGGTCCCATCTCCGCCTCCGTGAACGAGCTGCAGGCAGACCTCATACGCGAGCGTACTTGAAGTGGCGACAGGCGGACATTGTGCTGCCGAACACGCTACGGCGCCTTCTGGGAATTCTGTGCTCCAATGGTGGTCTATCACCAGCGTCTTCGTCTTGGGGTCGTCTGCTATCGACTGACCTCCGCGGCTGCCCTGGTCGGTGACAATGACGTAGCTGGCGCCGTGGCGGGTTATTTGCTCGCGTTCGGGAGATGCGTGTATGTTTGAGCCTTTGGCGGGAAAGTGAACTGAAATGAGAGAGGCGGGGAGGCCTAGGTGTAGGAGAGTAGCGTGCACAAGGAGCCCTGAACAGAGCCCATCTGCGTCCTTGTCAGGGAGAAGTAGGGTCGGGGCACGGGCTGCGGCGCTGACTCGGAAAGAAGTGTCAGGAGGGGTAAGCGAATGCGGCAAATGGCTTTACGCACCATTCCATGATGAATGCTCTGGCTGCTGCGAGCTGGCGTTGTGGTGCCGGCCAGGTTCTCTGACGGTCCCGAGACGTGGTGTCTGCTGTCAGTGGACTTGAAGATGATGTCTCCCACTGGGACGACATGGTCTTACTTCTGGTCACCGTGGCGGATAGTATAAGAGAATGTAGCTGCCGTCCAGCTGTGGGAAAAAGGCGAGAAGCGGTGGTTATCTGCGGAGGACAGTATCGAAGAGGTGATTGGACAAGAATGAGCATCTATGAAGACTCGAATGTCGGCCATATGATATATAATTCGGATGCTGTACCCTGGATCGAGGAGTGGATGACCGCTATGCCCAAATCAGGCTTCACGCGAATGGCACCTGCGTATGAGGTTAGGGCTTAAGCCACGGTACTAGCATTAAGCTGCACTGCAGCCTGACGGCCCTGACCTGATAATCGTGCTCTCTCGTGTCCAACCTCAAACCCAAGGGCCCAATATTCCCGCTACTCATCCGATGATGGGACTTGCCTCTCCTGATTACGACTTTGAGCACTTGCTATCCAATCTCGTCATCGCGTTTCGATCAGAGTGCACGTCAATGAGGTGCGTGCCCCGTAGTACTGGCAATCGCTCTGTACGGATAGGTTAGCTAATTTGCCCGACGCTTTGACCAGGTTCGTACATCTTCCTTCAGCGGGAGGTCCAAGGTCGACTGATATCGCTGTCGATCAAAGTCATCCCGCCCGTTTTTCTACTAAACGGTCAGGTATTCACCGATCGCACCGTAGCTCACTGCTGCTATGGAGGGCGTTGAAGACCTCTTCACAAACATGTCCATCCTCCGGGTTAATCGTGTCTGTATCAACAAAATCCCTGATGAGATCCTCATCCCTATATTCCAAGAAGTCCTCGTCCAATATGAACTGGAGAAGGGCCTGATCCGTACGATAGATGCTGCGGACAGGAAGACTGCGATACGCCTACTACTGGACATCACCCATGTATGCGCACGGTGGCGCAAGGTCGCTATTGGATATCCATTTCTTTGGACGCACGTCGAAATCTACAACGAGGACCTCGTCGGACTATTCGTGAATCGCTCTCAGAGTGCAGCACTCTCTGTGTTCTGCGACGCTAAGAAACCTTCGGCAGGGGAAGCCTACTCCCCAAGGCTCTCTCGACTTGCTGCGCGTCTCTTACGGCTCGATCTCGGTGGACGAAGCAATGCTGAAAGAGGTGCCACGGCGTTACCTCTCCTTCCACGCGCCCACCCTGAGGTGCCTTACGATCACTGTTCCAGGCTCGAAACAACGCTTTCGTATGGTTCGCGACAGGTCCAAGGGACTGAACATCCTTGACGAGGATGTTTGTTCGTTGTCGGCGCTAGCTTTGGCCCCTGTCCCGAAATGGTTTCCGTCAAACTCCTTTCCTTTCTTAACACACCTCTACCTAGGGTACAATAAGCCAGCACTCTTCGCACGACTGCTGTCGCTCTTGTCACAAGCTCCCCAAATTGAGGTCCTGCACCTCACACATATCCTATCCGACGTCCAGTTAGCCTATCCATCAGGTTCCATCGAGCTCCGTCACTTGCAATCTCTGGCGATCGTTTCCTCAAGCGAATCTTTGTCCCTCTCTCTTTTGTCGCACCTATGTCTCCTTCCTGAGACGGTCCTACGGATGCACGGCATGGTGACTGTCTCCCGTGATTGGCGGGATGCGTTCTCTAGACCTCCATTCTGCCATCCCCCCACAAGATTACATGCATTCTTGAGGGACAGTTCAGACGGTTCCGAGACAGGGCATATTATCGCGGAGAGTGAAGATTCAGGACTCTGGTTGCATGCAAGGCACCTCCCGAAGACTGCCGACTTCTGGCTGCGTGGCCTTCAGTCTTCGTGCTTCGAGGACATCACTTTCTGCAAGCTCGGGCCACGCTCGCCTCTCAGGATGACCTCGGAGACGATCACGGGCCTTTGGAGGAGGCACCGGATACGACACTCAACAGCTTGCTCAGTGAGCTGTCACCATCGAGGTCTGAACCGGTGCTGTGTCCCCGTTTATCCACATTATTCTTCTAAATCCAGTTCAAACCTGGCTCCATTTCCATAGAGGCAGAGTGGCTGACGGGCATCGTCAGCATGCTCATTGCACGATCAGACTTCGGCTACCGCTCCATTTTTTATCGATCAAACCAATTTCAGTCATGGAAGCACCTTACGATCAGAAACTCGCATTGCGGCTTCAATACGTCAACTCCACCAATGAATCGCTCTGCAGGGGAGCTGGGATCTCTGGCTCAAGTGAACCATCTAGGAGGCTTTGAGGTTATCTCGCCCGGTTCTGAGGGATGGATGTTGCCTGAGATAGGGCAAAGGTGGAAGGTCAAGGGAACGGAGAAGTATTGGGACTTGAGTGGCGAGTGCCTGTCGGCGTGGCATCCTCAGTTTCTAATTGCGCGTTTCCCTTGAGATCAAAACACACCTTTGATATGTCTATAGTTGTTCCAAACTGGCGATGCTGGAAACTACGATGGGAGCTCAAGCTCAAGCTTGAAGCTTGAAGCCGTGGGCGTGCACAGGTTGCGCGACATCGTGTCATGGCTGGAAACATGGCTAGCTCAAGCTGTACGATCGTAACATTACAGATATTTTCGGTGAAGATAAGGTATTTCATTGCCGCATGTTCGGGGTGGTGTCAAGTTGTGTATGTTGTTAAGGCTGCCAGCAGAGTGAATATGTACTAAGTTCTCGAATTGTCAAGCAGCGAAAAGATAGTCTCTGTAGGCTGATGCTAAGACGATACAGGCATAGCTCAACGAACACGTAGTTGTCTTACGAACAGGGATCACTGAACGGTGTTAGAGTTGTTCTTCCCTGAGCGTCGCTGCGGCCCGCGAGCAAAGGTGAGGCGATTAGTATTGACCCTAACCCTATATTGATCTGTTGGCAGAGCCAGACCGTCCTGCCTTCGTTTCCGTCCTCCACAACGACCTCGTCCTGGTCGACTCCCCGTCGTTTCTGTTGTCTTTCTCTGTCTCCGCTCTCTTCAAGGACTCTTATTTCATCCCTCGATTCGCTCTTTACGGCTCTGTAATAGATTGGCTCCTCGACCTGCCCCAGCTATACCCATAACATGTCGGAGATGGATGCCAGTCAGTTGGGAAGGTGGACTCGGTTCGCGGCGAAGGGCGGCATAGGGAAGTGCACTGCGATACAAGACTGTGTAGCGGAGCGTGCAGAGGACCTCATGTTTATGAAGGTACGTCCGCGGACTACTACGCCTCGCTGAGCCCCGATGCTCACTGTCGGGACTCCATCATAGGACGACGAAATCACGGTCCTCATGCAAATACCAGGCCAGGTCGATCTATACCTTGTAAGCATGCCGTTACGGCGCGCTCATCTCTTCGCGATCAGTTCACTTCGCCCCAGGCCCCTCTTGCACTACGCCATCGTCTTTGTTACAGGCGAAGTGGGTCTCGCAAAGTAAACTGATCTCGAAGAAGAGCAGCTCTGTTGCGCTCGCGTTTCATTGTGCATTGCGTTGCTGACGCTTTTCAAGGGCTATTGCGAAGGCGTCGTGGGCAACTTCCGTGGAGAAGCTGTCCGCTTTCACGGCCGCCTCAAGAAACCTGTTCTCACAAAGAGGCAGTCTGCCGCATCTCCCATCTCGCGCCCGTCCTCATCTCAGAGCGCGTTCACTCTTTCCACCCGCGACGTGTCCTCCCCTGTCGTGGTCTCTGCTCGCGATGCTCCTTCCCCCATGGTGACCTCTAGTCGGGAAGTACCGTCGCCAACGATATCCATCACTCGCGAGCCAGAGACCGCTTCGCCGGCTATCGCGCCCAGCATCTCGTCCTCGAGTAGTATATCTGTCGCTGCGTTCTCTCATTCGCCCTCGCCACAACCAGAAATGTTTGCGGACGAACAGCCTTCACCGCACCCGGAGCGTTCTATGAGCCACGAGTCCCAAACCACGTCCCTCTCGTCAATGCCCCACACTCCAGCCGACTATAATCACGACGAGGCCAACATTGTGTCAGACGCTGATCAGGAGCAGTCCCATACAGCCTCCCTGGTGCCACCAATACGGCTTGACCAGCTCGCGAAGCAGCTCAGCACCGACAGTCCTATCGAGCATCCGTATTCGCCTGACCCTACGACGTCGCGCTTTCCTCCCGTCGACCGTGAATCGAGCATCTACTCCGACGATGAATCGAATCCACGCATCTCGGTTGCGATGTCTGACAATGGCATGGGCAACATCGGCCTATCTCTTTTGCAGGACTTCGTAGGCGGAGGCGACGACTCCGACTCCGACGATAATAGTGACACCCCGTCCATTCGTCGAGTCCAGTCACCAGAGTCTACCCTGGACGAGGTCCCGAGCTCTGCGCGCTCCATACGCTCAGCTCGCTCCGAGTCTCATTACTCGGAGAGTCCTGCCAGCGCGACGCTGCAGATATCAAATACTCTGGAGCCGCCGCTCACCAGCCGCTCGGAGATTTCTGAACAATCAGTGTCCCAGTACTCTGAGTCTCCCCCCGTTAGTGCCAGCCAGCTCCCGCCAGAGCCCGTACAACCACCCATACCGTCCCTTTCGCCCACGTCGCTGCATTCGGATTCTGACTACGGATCTGATGGAGGTGAGGATTGGGAAGGCGCGGACGACATCTATGACCAGTACCGGTACTCGCGGCTCTCGATGGCATCGAAAATGTCCCGGTTGTCGAAAGGCTCCATGCACACAATTGGGTCGGGATCCGATGCGCCTCCATTGCCGAACAAGCGCACAAGCGCCGGGTCGATGAGCAGTGCGCGCGAGCGAAAGGAATCGAAGGGGAAGCTTCCATCCCGCTTGGCGGAGTCGACTATCCCTGCCCACGTCGAAGGCGCAGGCACTTCGCCCGAGGCGAAGGAGAGGGAGATGCGCAGAATGGAGAAGAATCGGCCGGCGCCGTTGACGTTCAGGAAGGAGCCCGAGCCGTCCCCTTTACTCCATGCGACATTTGGTTCCCCGCAGGCTTCGCCGACCGTTCCGTCGGCGACGTCCGGGACGTTTGGGTCCCCTACCTTGAACTCTCCCCTGTATCCCTCTACCACGGCGGCTGCGATGAACATTAGGAAGCCAATTAAGGGCAAGGGAAATGCGCCTGACAATGAGGAGTCTGGTTCCCCCGGTAGCCATCGACGACGATCTGGAGAAGAGGAAGAGGAGCATCATGACGAGGTCATGCCCATGACAGCGAAGTCGCAGGCGGCGGAAATTGTTCACGACCATCCTGCGGCCAGGCAGTCTCCGCCTCCTACGCCAGCGATTTCTGCAACTGTGTCTCGAGTTCCTGAGTCCTCTGCGACCAAGGAGAAACGCATGTTGGCGATCTCGAACGCGGACGACACCGACGGGCCACCGCCTCCGCCCTACAGTCCCAGCGCGATCGCTGATGGTCCCACTCCTGGCCCTTCGATGTCTCAAGCTCCCCTCCCCGCCTCTTCGCCTCCCCCTCAAGGACACCCTCAAGCTCGCATTCGTGATCCCAACCGCCCGGAGCCTCACCCACTGATGCGACAGAGTCTCTTCATGCCTCACCCGGGTGCTCCGAAGCCCGCTCCATCGACCGCAGGCCCTATGTACGGCCGACCGCAGCCCGCACAGCAGCTATCGTCACATAACCAACACCTGGGTCTGCCTCCTGGCTCCATTCATCACGTTTTGGGTATGGTGGCTGCTGCCAGACGGGAAGGGCGGCCTGCACCACCGACTGTGTACGCGCGGTTTGAGTTTGACTTAGCGTCGTCCGTAGGTCCGGTCCCAATTACATTCAGCCACGAGCCGCAGAACAATGTTCCTGCGAATCGTGCCATGCGTCCGCCAATGCCGTGGACAGCCAGCCGGACGGCTTCGCCAGCGTCGCAATTTGCCATCGACCTCGCAGGGAGGAGGAGTGTGGATCCTACAGGACGGCGCAGCGCAACGTCGCCTCCGATCCCGCCCCCAACGCACATTGAACAGATGCTAAGCGCTGCTGGATCTTCGCCCGGATCGATCGCGGGGTCGCCTCCGTCTCAGCTCGCGATCGACCTTGCAGGACGGAGAAGCGCGGATCCTACTGGTCGGCGGACTATGACATCTCCGCCCATACCACCGCCCGCACAAATCCAACAAACGTTAAACGCAGCGGGCCCCATGCCTGGGCTTGCATCAGGAACAGGGTTAGGACTGGGGCCAACGATCGGACAACCCATCCAACGAGCGAACTTCACCCCTACAGTGCACACATCAAGACCGAGGTCGCGGTCATTCTCTGGGTTGACAGGTGGCGACCTGACCATCAAGGCGGAGGCGCTCAGAGATGGAAGGTGCGTTGTCCTGTTCATTTGTTATGTTTTGACCGTTATATAGAACTTATCGTACGTGCAGCCGCGACGACTCCATCGCTGGAGCATCGCAAGTCCCGCTATCCCCGCCGCTTTCGCCCATCCGGCCTTTGCAGATCACGACGAAGCGGTCGAAGTCTGCCATGGCTACAACGGCGACCGTCACGAATGTACCTGCGCCCCAGCGCGCGACTGTGTCACACTCGCCGACAGTAGTACGCGGCGTTCACGCACCCTCGCCTTTGTCGCTTTCGCAGAACAACACAGTCGTCGCGGGCCCGCCTGCCGTCGTCGCTCCGCCTGTACGTTCTCCTCCCCTGCGTGCGTCTACGAATCCACTTCCAGCATCGTCTCCTCCAGCGGACGTTATCGCTCCAGTACAGCAACAAGTCTCGCGGACAATATCTGTAGACGAGCAAGTCTCGACAAACTCTGCGTCGCCGACTCTCAACGTGAATGGCGTTGAGCTGGGATCATCTATGTCACAGATGCAATCACCTTTGGCCACACTACCAGAGACGCTCGCACTGAGCTCGAGTCCCCCTTCTTCCCCACGGTCTGCGGTCAACTTCCCCCCGCCGGGGTCACCAAGGGTTCTCCGTCACAGTCGCTCAGCAATGTTGCCTACTACTAGTACTTCTGGACAGTCGTCATTCTCCGGTAGAATGTCATCTCTGTCTCGCGCCAGGACTGCGTCTCAAGGCCAATCAGAGCCGCGGCCGTCGGTCGACACAGTCCGGTCAGACATCTCGTCCCCGTTGGTCTCGTCGCCAACGGAGGATGGTAGTGTGATGGGACTCCGCGTGAACAAGCGTAGTGACGGCAAGCCGCAGATGGCCCCTCTACGTCTTGTGACGACCAACCAATCATCTCATCAATCGATCAGGAGCCCTACCCACAGCGTCAGCACTAGCGAATATACTACGGAGCAGGATACGGTGCAGGTGCAAGATACTGATTTTGAGCTCGTCAAGCCCACACTCCCGCTTTCACCGTTCGGAGGCAGTTTCGAATCGCTTCCCAGTCCTGTGCGTCCGGGTTTCCTCCGCACGGACAGCCCAGCGCTGTCCGACATATCTGGCCACAGTTATCCGCACCCGGCAAGCGTATCATCTAGCGATATAAGGTCACCGAAGGATGAAGCTTCGCAAATCGAAGCGCATCGGCAGCGCGAACTGCGCTGGATCTCTGCGATGTCGTCAATCTCTTCGTCACAGGCGAGGAAGAGCAAGAAGATTCGGAAGATGGTGCTCGATGGTGTTCCTGCGTCGGTGCGTTACCAGGTTTGGGCGACATTGACAGATAGCAAGGGCAAGAGGATGGAGGGACTCTATCAGCGGCTAGCGCAGCGGGAGAAGGTCGCGGTTTACCCGCAGATCGAGCGCGACATTCAGTTGTCATTCATCGCACATCCGCAGTTGCAGGATGGGTCTCTGGCGAAGCTGCTTCAGGCGTACTTGTCCATGGTTCCGGACATCCAGTATTCGAGAGGTATGCGCATCATGGAGGTGTATCAGTTTGAAGAAAGCTGACATAACAACAACACAGGTCTCGCTCTGGTTGCTGCGCAATTACTTCTTCAGTCTCCAGAAGAGGACGCGTTCTGGACATTCATCTCGCTCATGGACAGTCACTTGCGTCCATATTTCTCTAGTAGTAACATCCAACTGGAAGTCGACGCGTCATTATTTGCCAAAGCTCTCGAATCCAATGACGCAGCATCTGCGAAGAAGGTCTTCGGCGATATGGCGATCTCTCCTGTTATCGTATGTCGCGCATGGTAGGTTCCGTTCTCTCCTCTGCTTGCGTTGTTATGCTAATATATGCCAGGTTTACAACCGTATTTGCGGATGCTCTGCCTTCAGACTACCTCGTCCGTCTATGGGACGTATTCTTGTTTGAAGGTACGCTTATGTCTCGTTCCCATGAAGTAGATTCTCATATGATCTGCTGCGTCTCAGGAGTAACGTTCTTGTTCCGAGCTGGCTTGGCCCTGTTCTCGTGCACTCGGCGCCTCTTCTTGCAGTCTACGTCGCCTGAAGCGCTCTTGGAGATCCTGTCTCGTCCCCCGTCTACCACACTCCCACCTAGTCCCGACGCTTTTATTGAGCTTGCGTTCTCTATGAAGTTCAAGGACGACGATGTTCGCAAACAGCGTGGCAAGCTTGAAGCTCAAGTGAAACGTCGCACCGCCCAGGCGCGCGCCTCGCCCATCTCTCCTGCCATCACACCCACCATTTCACTCCCAAAAAGCGGCGTATAGGAGGACCTTTCGGTCTCTATCTCTTGTATACCATATCGTATAGTCATCCCACATGCATCAATAACGACTCCATTATGGACCTATGTTTTATTCCTGCTATCGCTCTGCTGTGCACTCGCAATATTGTTGCCCTCGACTTTATTCTACATATCTTTCCTCCCACTTGTCGGTATTTGTACCTAGGGTTTATGTTGTCAATCACGGTTACATAATTGTTCATCACTTTCCTCTCGATGTCTCTGCACACGATCTTCGCAATTGATGACTGAAAGCACTGCGAATGCTTGACCTCAGCGCGCCACCTGAGATCCTGTTGACGTTCACCGAATCGAGGTCCCCCTCCCAAAACTGTTTACTACCTGTTTAGGCCTTTCAGCTGTGCTATACTACCGTATGAAACGATAATCAACAGAAAGCATGCGAGAACTCGGCAGTTCTGCAATGATATTCCCATGGGCGGCTACGGTACTTGTACAGGATACTGGCAGATTCCCTACAGATACATATTCCCTACTAGGGCGCATGAAGCCACAAACGAGCGGTAGATGTTGATGAGGGTGCGAGTAACACTAACGAGCGACCGTATCCGCCTGCGGAACGATCCAAGACGACAAAGAACGGAGTATGATACGATTTGACGCAATGCGAATTAAAGAGTGGAAGGGAATGAGGCTAAGAAGCCCTAGAACCCCTGCTCCAGGAACCCAAACGCCAACCTCAGCCTTGTTTCCCTCTTCCGCCCTTACCCTGTGAAGTCAACCCGGCAATGCACTCGTTAGACTGCAGACTCTCTATCCCCACCGCGACGCAGCCAGCGGGAATATCGGTCTCGGCAGTCCCATAACCACCCACAGACACTTTCGCACGGCACACGAACGTCCTATGTACCGAGCGCGTGAAGAGCGACAGCGGGACGGGCACCCAGAAGTGCACAAGCCACGCATGCGGCCCATCCGGGTTGTCCGGCTTGACGAACACGAAGGCGGGCTCTACTGCAATGCCGCGTGCAGCGTCGAGTTGCTGTAGGACGTGCCGACGATCGACCTTGTGGCCGGTATACGACGTACGCCAATCGTACTTGGGCAGACCGTCATCAGCCGCAGTGTCCGAGTTGTCGAGACCGGAGCGCGGCTCGGCGACGGCAGAGAATTCAATCTGGAAACCCTTGATGCAGTGTCGGGGGTAGAAGTAGGATGCGGGGTTGGCGTCCCATACAACGATCGTACCTCCCCATGCAAAAGTGTCCCTGTGATATGAGGCTCAGTCGCCCACGCACAAATCAATGCCCTGAACAGACTGAGAACTCACCTCTCGTTCGCATCCCATACGGTCGAGTGGCGCTCGTTGGGGACAATGTCAGCGGTGATCCGCCTGATCACGCCCGCCGGACCATCCCTGCGCTTTGCCATCGCCCTCGTGTTGGGCGGCGGAGAGCGAAGCTTCTCCCTCGCGTATTCTTCAATCCATTCGTCAACGGCGTTACCGACGAACGTGCGCGGAGGCAGGTTGAACGCGGATAGCGTTGGCACTGGGGGGACATGTTGCGCCATCAACATGTCCGAGTCGATGTCCACTGGCTCGTGGTTGACGTCGCTCCCCTGGTGAGGCTGCTGTCCGCTGGAACGCGAGCGACCCCGAGAAGTAGTGCCGGTGGGAGATGGTTGGGGGGTGAAGACGGGCTTCCGCGAACGCGTGAGGGTGGGTGAGCCAGGTCGGAAGGTAGGTGCGCCTCCATTGGGGTCGGGGTAGTCCTCGGCCTTGCGCTTAAGATGAGATGAGACGTCGACAGAGGTAGCCGGCGTGTCGAGCTCCGCTGCGATCTCGTCCCAGTGGCTCGATACACCCGACACGTCGTGGACCGAAGAGTTGTGGGGGACGCCACCCCGAGCAGACGAGCACTCCGGCTGCTCCAGGGCGAATGTCACTGTCTTTCGCGGAGGGCTGTTCGGTGTCGAGCGGGGGCTGCCTGCCTCACTGGCCGCGCGAGTGGCGTGGTTACGAGACAGTGAGAAAGGCATCCAAGTACCGCCGGGGATGCGCTTCGTGACCTTGAAGTTCGGAGGCTTGGACGGAGTTGCAGGTGGAAAGGACGCGCTCGACTCCTGCTCGTAGGGTGGGTGCACCGAGTACGGTGGAGTCCGCGTAGGGTGCGTGGGCGAGAAAGGGGCAGGGGTATTCTCCGACGCTGACTTCTTCAACGCGCTCTTGAGCGGACGAGCTCGGTCTCCCTTGGGCGGTGTGTGGATCTTCCGCTCAGGAGAAGGCGAGCGTTGGATGTTGTTCACTGAGGCGACGCTGGTGTCCGAGTGGAGCCGCAGACGCACCCGAGGGCGAGATGATGGAGATAGCGGCGCGTTCTCGTCGTTCGAGTGTTCCCGGAAGGCGCGCTTTGGTGGGACGGGAATCCGACTGGGGAGTGGTTGCGGAAGGGAGATGATCGGGCGAGGAGGTGGTTGGGGAGGCGACTTGGGTTTGGTGGTGAACAAGTTGAGAAGCTTGCCGCTGAGTGAGGTGCGTCGGCGGCGCGGATGGGATAGAGACGGAGGGTTGGATGGGTGCAGGATTGAGGGAAGCGGCTCGGTGGCTTCCATCGGTGGGTATAATGTGAGGGTGAGCGAAAGGGTTGCGTCGAGAGAGGAAAGGCTCTAGATGTACACTAGAACGAAGGTCGAAAGACCAATCAGCAGTCGGGTATACAGCGGTACTCCCGTTCCACGATTCGAGTGGAACAACGACAGTTCAGAGGAGAAAGATCCTTTCGTGGTTCCGTTTTATACCCACCCCACGTGACGGCGTCCGAGTCGTTCGTCCAAAGCGCTGTTGGTTACCCGAGATGAATACCATACTAGGAGAACAAAAGCGAGAAGACTTGCCACAAAGACAACGTCCGCGCGGCACCAAATCACGTGCTTTGACCGACCCCTGAGCTTGGGCCTAGTTCCCTGACGACGACGCTGGTCAACGCAAGCAGAATAGAAGTGATATCGTAGTCCTCGAGGTCTTACGAAGAAGGTGCGCCTCTCGCATGGTCTCAACGAAGAGGTTTGGGATAAAGACAGTCAACATTGTTCAGAAGCCAGCTCAAAGCTTTCTACGACGCTTGAGCAGAATACGAGGATACTTCCCGGGGCGGGTTAAGAACGCCGAAAGGCTTAGACTGCACGAGGGGAACAGCGGACGGTCCTCGACTATCTTCAAGGGCATCAAATCAATGACATGACTGCGAATATGCGCTGTCGGTTAGGCGAAGAGATATACGGTGCTACCAAAATTGAACGAGAACAGTGAGTCTCAGCAAGGAAAGATGTTAAGACGAAAGGGCTTCAGGAATCACTCACCAAGTCAGTCGGCGGTATGCTGCTGCTGGCGAAGTCCCTCACACATCGATCGAGCAAGACTGTGCCTCCATTGGTGGTATATTGGTACCGCACTGCCCTATGTCATGGTCAGCGGTAGGGAATCGATTCAAGGGAGAACAAAAGTCGAATTGGGGAGGTGGGTGGAACGCCGGTCCAGTGGGCGTGTGAGGCGCGTGTACAGTGGCACCTGCTAGTAGTACTTTACTTCAATGCTCTCCTCTCGTTCTGCGGCTCGTCTCCTTTCCCGTTCTCCATCTCTCCTCAGAACGATGTCCTCCGTCTACGTCCTCCTCATCGACCCGTCTGCTCCCACAGCGACGGCGGCTCCTGTCGATGCCGCCAAGCTCTGGCACACGACGCCAGCTGCGAACGCCTCCAAGCCCTCCAAGACAGGTACCACCCATTTGTTCTTCGGCAACAACATCACCGCTGTCTCCTCGTTCGGCGATAAGTTTGCGCAGAAAAGGGGCGACGAGCGCAGGGAGGTCATCCGCAAGACTGTAGGTTCTGCTATCAAAAAGGTCCGCGAGCTTGGCGACAGCGTAGAGGGCAGCAAGGTCTTCGTCGACGCGTCAGCGGACCCTCATGCCGCAGGTAAGTCTCCCTTGTGCTCTATAGTTGGTTCGCGAACAAACGCATAGACGTGTAGCTGTCGCTGCCCACCTCGCGCTCTACAGCTTCACCCTCAAGACCAACACCCCCTCCAAGTTCGACCCCCGCCTTACCGAGCCCATCCCTGACAAGCTCACCCTCGCGCCCCTGGCCGAAAATGGCGAGTGGGAGACTGGCGTCATCTACGCTCAGGCGCAGAACCTCGCGCGCACGGTACGTCCTATCTCGGACCACTCATGAGACTTTTCACTCACTTTGACTGCAGCTCATGGAGCTCCCTGCGAACATCATGACACCTACGGTATGCTGCTTCCGCCCGTCCTTCCGCAGCCGGACTATATTTTCTGATGGCCCAAGTCAGGCATTCACCGAACGCGTCAAGGCCGAGGCTGCTGGCATCCCAAACCTCGACGTCATCGTACGCGACACGGGTATGTCACCAATCACGTCCTGCACCTCCTTCTCACACGCCTTCATTCAGAATGGGCCGCGCAGAAGGGCATGGTGTGTATACTCTCGTCGTGCCGCATGCGTTCGCACTCATGTTCCAGATATAGCGAACGTTCCTCTCTGTCGCGAAGGGTTCACAGGAGCCAGCAAAGTTCCTCGAGATGTACGCGTCTCTTCGCGACCGCGCAGATATCGATGGTTGACCTGACTGCACCTCCTACAGCCACTATAAGGGCGGTGCGAAAGATGCGGCCCCGCTTGTGCTCGTCGGCAAGGGCATCACCTTCGACTCCGGAGGAATTTCCCTTAAGCCGGCTGCTGTGGGTCATCTACTTGTTCTCCCACGGCGATTACGACCGTGCTGACACCTATTTTTCGGTACAGGACATGAAGCTCATGCGTGGAGATATGGGTAGCTCATGCAACAAAGATGGTACTGTGGCTGGTACTGAATCATTTGTTTCTAGGTGGCGCCGCGACGGTCTCCGCGACCGTGCTCGCTCTTGCTAAGCTCAAGGTCCCGTGAGTCTTGCCGTGAAAACGAGACACCGCGACCGTTGCCCACACTATCTACCTCCAGGATCAACGTCGTGGTCCTCACTCCACTCACCGAAAATTTGCCCGGACCGACGGCGAACAAGCCGGGTGACACGTAGGATATCCCACTACGGATGTATAGAATTGCGCCCCACTCATTCGCGACCGTAGCGTCTACGCGATGAATGGGAAGTCCATTGAGATTGACAACACCGACGCAGAGGGTCGTCTTGTCCTCTCTGGTACGCTATCCACATCCTCGCATCTTGATATGCACTGACGTGTCACATTGTCCAGATGCAATTTACTACGGCTCAACAGAGTTCAAGCCACACACCCTCATCGATGTCGCGACTCTTACAGGGTGGGTTCATGCTGCGCTTCACGCCGATTTCACCGCTTACTTCGACACCTAGCTCCATGGACTACGCTCTTGGCGAGGTCTACTCGGGCGTATTCACGGTGGGCATTTGTCCTCACAAATTTTGCTTCTTCAAGCTATTGATCGAGTTGATGATCTTCATAGAACTCGGATTCGCTCTGGAACGAGCTCCATACCGCGGGACTCCGCGAGCACGATCGCTTCTGGCGGATGCCCCTCGACGAGGAGTACGGCCCCCAGATCTACAGTTCGAACGCTGACCTTTGCAACGTACGCCCGCTGCTCGACTCCTACATCTGTCATACTCCGTTCGGATGCGATGCTAACGACGCACGTGATGTGATAGACCGGTGGCAAGCGCGCGGGATGCTGCACCGCCGCATTGTTCCTCAAATCGTTCGTCGAGGGCGTCGAGCCCGCAGACGGCGCGGACGAGCCGGCACTCCGCTGGGCACATATTGATATCGCGGGATCAATGGAGGTGCGCCCCGCACACGACGACGTTCGACGCGTTCGTGAGGAGGCTGACTGGCTTGTTTTGCAGGCGTCGAGCAGTGGGCCGTACCACGAGAAAATCATGACGGGTCGCCCGACACGGTATGTATCACGCTCGAGATGTGCTTGCGAAACGCAAAGGCTGACGTTGGGCCGACATTCTCATAGTGCGCTGATCGAGTTCGTGCGGGGGTTGGCGCAGCAATGAACTTTGCAGGTGGCCATGCATTCTAGTCGATCTCGGTTTGCAATGCATACAGATTTGGGAATCTAGGCCATAGGTGGAACGACTGATGCCTTCGGGGATATATACGCGACAAATCAAATCCTCGTCGCGCAATTCCGGGCACGATAGCGACGACTGAATGTGACCAGCCGTCTACTCCGGGACACCGGCATCATCGTGGCCGGTTTCTCTGACAGTGCAGACTCCACGGGAAGTCGGAGTGTAAGGCGTGTAATGATCGGTGACTGTCTGATATCATAAGGATATTGGTCAGTTCATACATCGACATCCAGGGAACAGAAATAGGGAAACTCGATAGAGGAACATCTGCAAGGAGATCACGGCGCGGAAGCATTAGCTTGAATCGTCGATCGCTCAGGTCCAATCGCGTGCCCATGTCACAGGTCTTCGGTACATGTCCCAAAACACAGTGGATGATAGAGAGACGGCATGGGGTGGGGCCAGCTTGGAACTACTATCTCTTCTCATCGCCTCTCCTTGACAATACTGGAATGGACCACAGCACAGTACTTATCCACATCACCCGAAGCCGCCGACACCACTATCTGCAATCCGACAACTACTCGGGCGAGGTGCTCCGTGCAGATTATCACCAGTATGGTCCTCAGGCTCAAGCAGGACATCGCCGCCGCTACCAACAATGTGTCTGAAATCTCTCGCAATAGTTTAGATACCTCGGTCTCTGCCTCTCCATGGGCACGATCACCGCGGTACACATGGGACGCAAACATATGCGCGTTACGACAGCATCACCAGCAAACACCAGGCTCATCGTCCGGCCTCAGGCAGCAACGACAGCTGGACAAACACAGGCCCGCTCCCTCGCTCCTCAGTTAACCGCTGGGCCCGGAGGCTGTCGCTGATTAGCCGATTGATCAGGACGCCTCCGTAGTCCGCTCCCAGTACGGCGGTAGCCAGCGCGAACCCTTGCGCCTCGAGGAGCCTGATCACCGCGAGCGTCCAGTCCTCGCAGTCCCACATCTCAGACGTGGGACGGGGTACGCCTGGGCCGCATATAGTCTTCGAGCGCGACGACGAATTCCAGCGAACGGTCAGCGAAGGGCAGACCGTGCTGGGGACCCACGCACCTGCTCGAGCCTTCTCAGGTCGTCCCTCCGCACAAATCCGATTCGTACACCGCCTCGGTATCTGGATGTTCGATCCAGAGTCTCGTCCTGGACAAACGCTGTCCAACCCAACGCCCGCAGACCCATGACGTGGGTATCTGAGACGTGGAAGACGCGGCAATGACGCGAACGTTCGTTGGTCACGACCGCAATCGCCCAGTGGGTACTCAAACTCGCGTCTAGGGATCTTGAGACCACGACGATAGAAAATTCTGAGTTGGAATTAGAGGGCGCGGCGCGCTGGTCTTCTTGAGGAATGGCACATTGGTATTGACGGTGGAGGTCCTGAAGAGCTTGCCTTTTTCCTTGATTCAATTCACGCATGGTATGGAGACGAGTGGCGTCAAGCAGCTCTCGTAGACGGTCTTGAAGGGCTTGGAGATTGGACGAGTTCGCGTTCATTCGAGTTTCGACTTGCGGATTTGTCTCACAGAAGCGACGGAGGACTGACTTTCGAGTGGGGCTCGATGTGCCACGACCTCTCATGTTCGTGGTCTTTATCCTGAGCGGAGTCCTGGGTTCGCTGCGATCACTGTGGTTGGGCGACTTCTCCAACTTTCCTTCTCGTGGCAGGCCCGCCGCCGAGATTGCTATATCAGGCAAGTGACATGGACGTCTTCGGGCGTACCGGGCTGCTGCAGCATCCAGGGACTTTGGATACCTAGGATAGCGTACAAAGGAAGGTTGCGGGCGGGGCGCCTCATGCCCAGTTGACATTCAACGCCGCCGGGCCGCGGGCGCGACATCGTGCTGCGGCAAGTTGACAAAGGCGCGACAATGATTGCCGGAGAGGAAAAAACCGAGCGTGCAAGGGCTGACGTGAGCTGTGATGAGATGCGTCAGAATGGTCGCAGCAACAAATGCGTACCGCGCTCTGTGAGGTGCACAGAGACGCGAGGCTCATGCGGATAAAGACGTACGCGACTCTCTTGATCGAGGATAGATCCACGAAGGCTGACACCACCACAAGGACGCTCCAAACGCAAGGAGGCACCGGGAAGACCGAAGTTGCTGGTATTCGTCTGGGCGGCCGTAGATTAGCTTGCGCATTGGAGGAGAGGAGGCGATAGACGGGACTGGTCAAGAGGACAACGAGGAGGGAACGGATGGAGAGGGAAAGGGTTAACTAGGCTTCTAATAGACACTTGCTTGTAAGAAAGCATGCATAAAGTGCCTGTGCACTAGGCGCGTGGTAAACCGCTGATCCAGCATCACAATCACATGGTCCATTAATCGCGATCTCTCACCTCTCAGTAAGTATGCTCGCCCACCGTCGAGGTTGTGATGGTATCGTACCCCAGTTCTGTTCTCTCAACCAACGTTCGATACAATCACGCTACCGGGATGTACTTGATGGTGGCCGAGGAGTTGTTCTCGATGCTCACATCTGTCCTGGTAACAGCCTGTGAGTGAAAAGCGTCAACGAGCGATCCATGCGGATACCATGGATCCGCAGTACCTGGCCATCGTTTCCGGTGCGAACGAGGTTGACGATCATGCCGTCCCTCAGGCCGACCGTGCCACTCGCGCTCGTCATCGCAAACGCATCCGTGAGACGATCTGCTCTGTTGTCAGCGACGCTCGTTCTCGACACCCAGTCACAAATGACATACTGAGCCGAAGTCTGCAAGCGGAACCTGCCCGTACCAGAAGAAGTCCTCCATGATCCACTCGGGGCTCTGCAGCGACAATTGCTGCAAGTTAAGTCAGACATACGAGACACCGCATGTGTGACCAGTGAACTCTCACAGGATCAGTGAATGGTGGTGAAGGCGGCGCCGATAGGTCTTTAGTCACCACCTGCCCCGTACTCTCGTTCTCCAAGTAGATCGTGCCCGCGCTATCGCTCAACGTAAACAGCCGGAACGTCAGCACATCCCCCGCCGAGATACCGAAATCCGTGAAGTTGTACGACGTGTCGGGGACCCATTCATACCACGCATCGTAGGTCAGCTTGTCATCCTCCGTCCAGAAATTGACTCCAGCCTGGAACAGGCCTTCGGTCCGAGAGGTCGACCACCCGTCGATCCCTATCCACGCGCACGCAGCTGCGTACGAGCTATTCGCGAGCGAGGGAAAGTTGAACGTGCCTGAGACCCCAGTGAAGTTCTGTCCTGTGGGAGGAGAGGGAAGCACAACTCCCGCCCAATTACCGCTCATCACTGTCGGGTTCGCATCAGCAGCGAGACCTGCAGGAGTGGGCTCCTGCGCCGCTACGTCCACCGGAAGGGCGGGACGACCGCGTCTGAGAGAGCGCTCCGCAAAAGTCGACGGATACGCAAGGACATATCCCGAGGCGAGGAGAAACCCAGCGGTAGCAGCGAGACTGAGCTTCATGGCGATGAAGGGCGGCGGTCAGGTGGGTGAAGCGGGGTAGCACCGGTGATCACCATGGCACCTTTATACCTCGGGTCCGGAGGGACATGTAAGTAACTCGGCGGGAGGGGAAAGGCGCTCGTCACCATCACACATGTTGTGCCATGCGCAACACCTCGGCTGCCTGCCGTGCCGCGCAGAGCGTTGTGAGCCCGAAGGACCGAATTCCTTGCTCTTATCAAGGATTATTGATGGGAGTCCCGCTAAGAGTATGTCATGAGGAAGTTGTCAGCGGCAGAAAGACATGTTCGTCCTTGGGCCTGCCCCACATGTCAGTAGGAGAGCGAGGCTGCCAGTGTGTGGGTGGACGTTTCGCCTGTCGATGATTAGCAGAGGTAAGACAAGAACAATATTCTCTACCTCTTCGCAAAACATACCGTAGATCTCCATGATACACGAGAAGGGTGGGATACGCATATCGAAGCGTTGTAGAAGTCGGTTACAAGCCATGGTGAGTCGGCACGGAACGCTCAGCATCCTGAAGCGCCCGAAAGGGCTCCTTGACGCCCACATTCAGGGCGGGTCCCAGCGGACTATGTTTTGGACAATGATTATTGACCAGGGCCTATGACAGCGTAACTCGTGCCACCCCCTCGCCGCTTTACATCTGCTTTGTCTCTAGTAGTATATAGGTTAAGGGCTCGCAGGCCAGGATCCTCGTCCCCTCGCCCTTCGGGAGCTCGCGCTCCTCGAGCTTTCGTTTTTGCACCCGCCCTTCCGCTGCCCCATTTTTGGTTTCGCTTAGCTACGTCTCATGTATCAGGTACATTCGCCTTCCGCCGGCTTGAGCTCGGCCCACCGGTCGCGCGAGAGAGCGGTGGCGACACGGACTCGGTGGTCCCGCGCAGCTTCCGTAGCGCGCGCCCAATACCATCGTTTTCCGTCCTGCCCGAGTTTAGCGTATCTACGACGGATCCAGCCTCACAATTACACGACTACCCGTCCGCTCAAATTGCATGTGCTGATCACAGACGAGGCATGGTATTGAACCACTCTTTGTCCTCACAAGTACTCATACAACCCATATAGGACAACAAGTCATGAATGCGCCTTCGCGAGCCACCCGAGATGCTTCCGAATGGGCTCCAGAGCCCGAGAAGAGATAGTATACACTGCGCCCTTTGATGTGAGCGTTTTGGTTTGTTTTACATCTTTGGTCTTTTCTACGTCGGTACAACGAAAACAGGATGAGAGCCGAAAACGAGAGGGAAATAGAGGAATTGAGAAAGGAATAATTTACTGGTAAACCTTGAGCCAGGCGACATCGAAGTACGCGTTCGTGAACGCGCTGGGGTTCTCGTCCACGTATGCTATACAAACAATCATGGTGGGTCCTGGAAAAAAGGCAAGAAGCAGGGAAGCCAAACGCACTAGTACAGTCTCCCGGGCATCCATCAGCCGCAAACACCGCACCAGCCCAATCACCGCCTATCGCACACAGCCGTCAGTCTACGCACCGGCTCGCGCGCGAGCACGGTAGCCCGCACTCACAGAAAGTCAAATTGATAACAATATTATGCGGCCCAAAGTGCGACGCCATATCGCACGACGCGCTCGGGAAGTCCGCGAACGGCGTCCCCCAGTTATCCGTATCGACGCTCGTCGCACCGCCCAGCACGTCGCTCGGGATCGCCCCGCTGTTCCGCGACCAGAACCAGACCTTCACGCCCGCGTCGGACCGCTCCATCGCGTAGAAGCCGCCCCCCGCGGCGTTGAACGCGGGCCCGTACGAGGACGCGTCGTTGGAGGTCACGCCGCAGCCGCTGTTGCCCGTCGCGTTGACGTCGCAGTTGTCGCCGACGGACGTGCCGGTCATGGTGCGCGTGCCTCCGACCGTGCAGCCTGCAAGGACGCGGGAGGGAGGGAGGTGAGCATGTGAGTGTTCAGACTGGACCACAAGTGTGGATGCACGTGCCAGAGGTGGTGTGGAGCGTAGCCTGGTCAGTCGCGTGGTCGTTTACGCCCTCGAGGATGTCGATCTCTCCTATAGAGGGCGAGACAGGCACAGGGAGTCAGTGCAAGAACTCACGAAAGCCAAACTTCAGCCGAAGACCGACCTTGGTTTGGCCAGTCCTGGCCGTACTCCCACACCGCCGGCCATGTACTATAAACGGACGCGGAGAAATAGATGTTAGAGAAGACTGTAATTACCTAACCCAGCCAGTACAAGGGCTCGAACTCCAAGTCCAGGAGCCTACTGCGGTCTCTACGGAGCACGAAAAACTCACCCGCAGCCTTGAGGCATGTGCCGAATATTCCATCTACAGCCACGCAGTCGTCAGCTCCATACCCGGAGATCAGGAAAACATTGCAGGAGCAGCATGACGGCTTCGCGGGGTACGCACACAGTGACATGGTTCGAATACACATTATTGCTCTGCAGCCGGACAGAGCTGCGTCCGGGATCACTCGCACTAAGCACCGTCGTGTCGTCCGCGCGCAGGATGAGCGTGTCCCCAGACGCATACGTCAGATTCTGCGCGACAGCCGTCGCCTGGTCGACGTAGTTCCTGCGCGACCGACCGAGCACCCCGGTCAGCGATCCTCCTTACTTTCCCTTTCCTCGGGCTGCAAGAACGGAGGGACGTACACGCGTCCGTGCGTCGGGTCGGCGATGGCCTCGTGCGTGAACCCAGACAGGAAGTCGCTGCCCTGGTAGCTGTCCGTCTGCGCGTAGGTCGCGCCGAGTGCGGGCGCGACGAGGCAGGCAAGGGTGAGGAGGGCGCGTGTGGCAGACATGGGGCTGGAGTCCAGGGACGGGGAAGGGCCGCGGATTTGAGGAATGGAGGGCCTCGGGGGGGAGCAGCTCACGAGGACTGGGTGGCGTTGGGCGAACGGTATTTATACGGTGTGCGCTGGCGGAGTAGGGCAGAGCTCGCAGCAGGTCCATCCTGGAAGGGGCGCTGCCTAGGGGAAAGGTTCGGATCAGGACGCTGAAGCAGCCTACGAGAGACGTCCACGAGGCTCAGTCCATGAGATAGAGGGCGGACGGAGGGATGCGGCACCCGTGATGCTGAAGGGGGCCAGGTGGACGAAAGAGCACATGGAGTCCGGAGGACGTCGGTAGTGTCTATAGGGATCCGCAAGGTTGTGGACACCGTTCGGTGCAGCGCTTAGTGCGCCCGGAGTAGGGATACTGCCCGCGATGTTCAGAGCCGGAGATCATTGTCAAAGCTTGTCCAAATGGGGAAGGCGAAAGATGAATCGATGAAGCCCGTGTGTCTAGTGAGCAGGTAGACGAAGAGGAAGCAAGGCGCGTGCGACCAGGTGCAGCCTGTTTTTTGACGTAGCAACGGATCGAGTCAGCGCGGAGGAACAAGCACGTTCAGTAAAGGACTGACAAGATACGATCGAGGGCACATCATCCCTCCAGCTTGACGGAAGCCTGTCCTCGGGTTGTGAGAAATTGAAGTGCTAATGGGGTCGCTTCTGGCCTCTTGCACATGGTCAGGACACACACCGAGTTGGGCCCAACCCAAAAGTGCGTCTCGTGAGCGCAGCGGAAGTCTGATTGTGATCAAGCTAACAATAGAACGCGCTGGGAGGACTAATTTTGAACATGGAAGCTAAGCTTCACTTGCAGCACTCGAAGAATTCATGTTGTGGGCGTCGGTTGGGCGTCGGCTCCGCACCGTACGATTCGCGTCAAGAGAACGTCCATGCAGGAAGTACAACCCTTGTCATAGAACATAGAAGCTACTGTTTCCTTTCCCTGAGCACTGTGAACCTGCTAGGTCTCTGCAATACGCCACAGAGTCCACGCGAGCGGTATCCAGGATAACTCGGAAGACGGACTTGGGCAGGGGACGTACCTCGTGATGACGAACTAGTGGGAGGGGCCATGCGTTACGACGGAATACTATATGTCAGACGGCCTTCCGGAAGTACTTCTGTCGGGACGACAAGCGAGGACCCGATGTCGAGGAGTGGGTGTTTTGAAAAGACCATGTGGGCGTTGTGGAACATCGTACTAGTGTGCGGCGACGACTGCATGGGATTTGGCGTCCTCGGGCTCGGATTGTGTTCGCCGCCCGCAAGTAACAACTCCGCTCAAATCTATTGCGTAGACGCAGGCAACGGCGCTCGGAGCGTACTAGCATTACTGCTAACCCGCCTTGAATTCGCTTCCGAGAGTTCGACAGTCTTGAAGGAGGTGAGTACCCATATCAAAGCTCTTATCGTAGCTTTCTCGGGCAGCGGCACACTAATTACCGAGTGCTCGCTCGTATACAAGCCACGGCAATGCTCGCTCGTATCACGAACATAATCACGCCCACTAAAGCTCCAAGTGCACTCCTTGTTGTGGCTGAATTCGGGGCCACAATAGATACTCTCCACATCGTACCGTGCGCGAACAAATCTTGGCGGTCACTCTGTACATTGAAGACGGAGAGACAACGTCGAGCATCGTTGACGACGTCGGGAGGCGTGCCCATGGGCTGTGGAACGACCTTTTGAGCTGGAGCCGCGGGCAGCCGCAGACGGCGGGCGACGCCTCGGCGTCGGAGCGGGTGCAAGAACTCGTGCGACAGGCCTCGCTCGCGACGTGAAGAGAAAGGTTCTGTGAATGCACCGCGGAGGTAACCGGTGTTTGTTGTGCGGGTGAACCGCTCGAGGCGTGGCAAGCTCCTAACCGAGCCGACGAGCTTCGCTTGAATTGCGTCGGCGAATTCGAGAGTGGTTGTAGGGTGCATTGAAGGCGCTCTATGTAGTCAATATGAATGATTTATTATGAGAGGGGAGAGATAGGGAGGAAGGAAGGAAGAGTCGGGTGTAGAGGGGACGCGAGGCAGTCGGCTTGCGTGGAGAGGCCTGTCCCCCGCTTTCGACTCTCTCCCTCCACCATCCCCAAGCTTGTCACACATCCCAGCCTCACCGCGCTCGCTCACTCCATCTTACCCCACTCCGTCCCCCGCCTCGCCAGCATCATCACCGCGAATCCATAATGTCCGGCCTCTGCGACCTCCTCGTCCCCGCTGAATGGGACGCCTCCCGCATCCGCGCGCTGCACCTCCCACACCGCCCCCGCCCTCACCCCAGCGCGCATGCTTGATCACTATGCGCGCACAGACGGACAACAGCAATAAATTTCCAACCATCAGTACGAAGCACAGGTCCCCAATCCGAGAGAACTCTGCTTAAAATCCTAATAGATACGCCATGCTCAGCATCGGCCTCTCCCGATCACCCAACGAGCGGCCCCTAGCATCAACATTTTAGGACGGCGGACTGCACAAGTATCGCTATCGGTTAGTATCCATCTCACACCGCACAAACCACGCTGAACAACATACACAGGAGCCACAGTGGTCGCGGGACCCGGAGCAGCCCTCAGCGCAGGGAAAGGCGTCGCAGCGCACTACGTCGATACCATCCTCAGCCAAGCAGTAACATGCACCCCCAGGAAAAACGCACCGCAGCCTGGATGTCCTCGAGCGTCTTGCCCGCTGGCAGGGTCGGTGCGGGGAGCTTGACCGCCTTGGGGACAGGGATCACCTCGGAGCAGTCGGTCAGCGCGCGCGGGTTCTGCCCGACCGTCGCGAGCTTCGCCATCGCCGCCTCGAACTTGCGCACCATCGAGCCGTGGTCCGCTGCAGGGCGGTGCCGCCGTCAGCCCACCTTGCTCACTCACTCACTGGGCCCGGCGCGGGCGACGTACTGATGAACGACTGCCACTCGCACGCCGTGCGCGCGTCCCTCGCAATGTTCGCGTCCGAGAACAACCTAAACTCGCCCCCGAGCGGCGCCAGCACCTCGCCCACGTTCGACCCGTTCCCCGGGAACAGCGTGCCCCTCAACAGCGTCTCCACAAAGAACTGCGCGTCGAACGCGGCCGGGGTCGAGTCGAACGGCGTCCCCGGGATCGTCGGGTCCACGTGGTCCTGCGCCGCGACGGAGTGCGACGCGAGCAGCGCGACGACCTCGGCGGGACTGAAGCCCGCGTCCCCGAAGCGCGCGAAGATCGCGTCCGTGCTGTCGGACGGCTCGGGCACGAGCAGGTCCGGCGACGGCTGCGTCGTGTTCGCGCGGCCCGCGAGGAACTGCAGGCGCGGGCCCCCGGCGCAGTTCGAGACGCCGACTGCGCCGGCGAACTGGATGCTGTGCGGAGGACGGGGTGGTCAGGTATGGGGGCGCTGGGACGGAGACGGGGAGGGACGCACAAGTCGGCGAAGGAGACTTTGTGGGCGATGGCGAAGGGGCGCTGGGTCTCGACGATGTCGTCGATGCCGCCGTTGGCGTCTGTCCCGTGGTCAGTGCTGATGTCGGGAGCGGGGGCCGTGCAGACACGTACGGAAGTTGGTCTCGATGTCCGCGAAGTGCATGATGGAGCCATCGGCGCCTCCACCGCTGTCAGTCCGAGGTCAGTTCCGACGATCAGTACAATATGTAGACTCCGCACCCGAACTTGCCCTGGCGGAAGAGCGCGGGGGAGAGCCCGATGGCGTCGTGGAAGGTCAACTAGACACTCAGTGTCAGCTCTAAGTCAGCAAAGAGCCGGCATCGCTACTTACGCGGAGGGACTCATGAGTCTCCTCGCCGCATTGGGAACCGTCGAACCTGTGAGACTCTCAGTATGCAGAGCCGCCACATCGAGTGTAAGTGTCGTACAGGTTCTCCTGGATGTCGTCGAGAACGTCGAACCAGACACAGCACTGTCAAATCGGGTCAGCACACCGTTGGCCTGGTTAGGGATGTACAGGCCCTTACCGCCTCGCTGCTAGCACGGCGACCCTGGCTGCAGACAGCGGAGTGGGAGGGGACGGCTTTGACGGCGACCGCGAGCGCGGCAAGAGCGAGGATGGTCTTCGCGAACATGGTTGAACCGCTGAAGGAGGTCGAGAGGCGCGATGGAAAGGTGGAGTGCGGCTGATAGTAGACTCGATGTCGAGTGCTGCCGGTCCAAAGACATCCTCCTGAGCTTTTATACCGCCTGTTTCATGTCCCTCATGTGTTTCCCGCACATCCAGCATTGGCACGACAGCCTTGTTCCCGAGCACTGTAAAACGATCGCAGGCAGCTCGGGAGGGTCCAACACCAAAGCCCGCACCCGTGGAAATGCTGCGAGCCGTTCCCGACACGTGAAGAGCGTCCAAATGAATGTCGGTGACCACCAAGAGCCGCTTCCGAGGGTGTCCGAGGGAAAAACGTAGCACCCCGGACGCCTTCCAGCGCAAGGTCTGTGTGTGCTGCAGGGGCCAGTGCGTGGGGGCGGACGCGCGGAAAACGTGAGTGCGCACCGTTAACCGAGACCGGGGAATGGGGGCGTCGCCCTCGAAGGCTGTGTATGGACATCTTGCCCGGACTTCACAGTCAGTAGTATGTGACAGAGGTAGACCGGGCAAGGTACATTGCAGGCAACTGGATCACACAGATTGTCAGAAGACACGGGTCGACGTTCTCTCGGGGGACAGGTGATGGGAATCCGGGAGCGGTGGGCCAAGATGGGCAGTAGAAGATTCCAGGAGAGAAGGTGGTTAAAGGAGGAAAGAAGGAGGTTTCAGCGTACCTCGGACTCGGCTAAATGGGTTCAGCAGCCGTTGACTCGGAGACTGCTGCGCCGCTAGACGTCACTGGACGAGCGTTGTCGTCGAAGGTGGAGTGCGCTCGGCGCTGCTATCGGCGACGGGACAGTTGAGTGCCAAGCATAAAAGAACAACATGTGTCCCTGATGTCAGTGCACGCACGCATGCGTGAAGCTGGCTTGGCAATCCTGTGGGGAATATTGGGGAGACGTAAGTCACGAGGATACGCTTGGCCTGGGAGTTGAACGTTACCGTCGCAGACCTCCTGGGAAGGCAAGACGCTGAGCGTAATGTATCATGGGCTAGAACGGAGGCAAGCCAAGAACCCATAGCTGACCGGTCTCGGAGTGCGGGAAACATCACATATCCAGGTCGATCATGTCAGTCAAATCGAAGCCCGACGGCAGGAATCCGGATGGTGCAGGCTGAGGATAGTCTCATTCGTATCGTAGATATATTTACGCATTATTATTGCATGCAGAACAAGGTACTATGTTCCAACTCACTGGGGCATTGATGGTGGTATTGGTTTGACGAAGCCCGCGTCTTAGCGTCAGAGGTCGGGACCGGAAGTCGAACTGGGGTCTTCAACGGGTCCCCGGGCCGCCTGGAGAGTGTTTAGTGGAGTGCGAGGCTTTCAACATACCATTGAATGCGATGCCTAAGCTCTTTGCACCTGCAAACTCGAAGGCGCAGTGCAATTGGGTTCTACTTCGAGGTGTTGCATCCATCAGATAAAGGGTTCCGGTGGCGAACCGTACAGTTCCTGGTTCTCGTACAGAATCCTTAGCATCCTGCCCATCCCCACATGAGTGGCAGGCCGTTTTGTGTCCTTATTAACATCCACAGACCACGGTTGCACTTTGCCCCGCCGCATTGTCGTTAACAGCTGCCCTTCCCGGGGTCTCAGCGCCGACAATGGGTACTCGTGTTTGTTGGGAGGCGGCACTGGTCGGATGGGGTCACTGTCGAGGAGACGCAATACCCGGAGTACCACGACGCGTTTCCCAGCATGTTCAGGAAGAGTCGAAGGCTCAAAGCAGCAGATCGTAGAGCCTGTGGGCGGCCATGCATCGTGAGATAATCGAACGGTGATCGTGGACCAAGGGTGCTACCTTCAAAAGGGGAATACTGCGCACTCTCTCCGATACCGTCCACCGGAACACGGAAGTTAGCGAGATTTTCGACACGCTTCTTTACGACGGTGTCCGTGCCGATGGCAATGCAATATCTGTTGTGTTGTCCGACCCGAAAGTGGAACCCTCGCCTGAACGAGCTCACCAAGGCCGTCCTACGGAAGGATATCTTACGTCCGTGTGCCGTTTTCTTCAGTCCTTCCACCGCAGATGCGGCGATGTCCGAAAGCTGCGGGGTCACCAGTCCATCCTGGAGTAGGAGTGTATGCAGGCCCGTGTATTCCTTCTTGTCGGTCATGTAGAGGAGTGGTATATTCCAGCGCACGCCGTAGTCCATGAGCAAGTCGTACCCCTGGGTGAAGCTGGCAGGATCCGGGGAAAATGTGACGCGAAAGCGAACTTCTCCTGCGAGCGGGGGGCTATACGGAGGGATGTGATAGTAGAGGAATCCGGCAGTGTTGGGAGGGAACTTGAAGTGTCGGAATCCCCTCGCAATGATTCTGGTGCCGGGCCTTCCAAGTAATGTGTTCGAAGGATCGTAAGACTGAGCCACAAATGTGACGGATGGATTGTTCCTTGCCCTGAACATCAGGAAAAACTCCCCCTGCGAATTGGCATTAAGCGAGCTAAATTATCCCTCACCAGCGAGATTAGTCCATTAGTCTAAAAAGATAAGTCCCCTGCTAACCAGCAGCCATTAGCTGCCTTAGTAGGCAGGGTCCGTAGCGGCGGTCATTCATTATTTGCTCGCCATTCAGGCTGTCGTTTTGTCTTTTCAGATTCCAGTTGCTTGTACGATAGATTCAATATATTGAAGGGTACGACAACGACTAGCATGATTACACTGCATAGTAATCTATAAACTTGTATACTAAGTTCCAACATGGTACGCTAATCCGACCTCATCCAACTACACATAGCACTACAACGTGGGCCGGATCCTCTCTTGATGAGCTTATAGTACCGCAACTTACTTCTTGGAGGCGCGAAATGCAAAGTGCGGCTGGGCAAGGCCACAGACGACGACTTACCTTCGGATGTAGTACATTACGCACCTTCGAGTTGCTATGCAGCATGGTATCTTACAACTCACCTGGACCCCAGCTTCTGTAGTATCACTCTCATACCACCATGTCCGCTAGTACTAGATCACCCACCAGTCAAACTGGCCACTCCCGTATGTAGCGGTGAAAAGAAGGAGGAAAGGTTGGGTGGGCACACTGATGTCGGAAGGAGAGACGTGGCAACGGAGCGTCGAGCGCGCAATGGGATGCGGCTGTGGTGTGAGCGCCCGTATTTAGGGCAGGCTTCAATTGACTTGGAAAGACGCAGAGATGGTCTCTCTTGCCTTGTACGTGTTCTGAGCATACAGTCCTTGATTTTTGGGCCTGCAGTAAAGTATGTATGCCTATTATTACCTTCAAGGAACTTATCCAGCTCGCAAATCTCGAGATATAAGACCACCAATGGCCACGGGCGTCATTAGTCGACATTAGCACTAATTTTCTGTGAATTCGCGCGGGGAGTTTTTCCTGATGAAGTCGACGTAGTCGCTAGGAGCGAGCTTGGTTGGATCAAGAGTGCAGACTCTCCGGGACTGCCGTGTTCGTTCCGGATGCGAGGAATCTCCCTCCAACTCACGACTCCCGGTCGTTAGCTGTCGTGCTTGAGAGACCGTTGGCCACTTGCCAGGCCAGTGAGGCGTGTGACGGATGTGTCGAAGACACCACCTCGGGGAGCTCAACAGGGCAACACCAAACGACGCTGCAATATTCGGCGGCGGCATCTAGATCAGACCTCTGTTTATACAATGAAAACTCGATTCAACACTATTGAACGACCTACAGCGCTGTGGACGGCCTGGACTGCGGTCGGCTTGCAAGTTTGCAACAGATCGGTCACTGACCGTGGCCATCCGGGCGTGGGAAGAATATCGGCCCGAGGGCTTCCGACGCTCACATCCAGATTCATGTTCTGACATAGTATTCGTTGTGCTTTGTCTAGTGCTTCCGGCATGTCTGCTCTAGCCGTCTCAGCTCCTGTATCGCGCTAGAGACCTGGGTCCAACAACGACACGGTCTTGGACGAGACATTAGGCCGTTCGAATCACCTGCGTTTCGCAAGCACCAGGTACCCGACCATAGTAACATCACTCATACACCCTTCCAAGACTCATTTGTGGAAATCACGTCTGTGGGCATCTTCGTTTCTCAAAGTGTAGGCAGATACATCACATAGTAAGGTCTCCGCCGACATGGACACCACTGGCCTCGGTTCTTGTCCCTCCGTTGGAAGCCCACGAAGAGATGTTTTGGCAACCACAGCTGTGACCGCGGAGACTGCTTTGCTCTTAAGCCTCACGACGACACGAGAGGATTTAATCGTGGGTTCTCCCCATATCCATCGTCTCTTACAGCCGCCCCACTCACCGCCTGATGTTGATGGGGCATATGAGCACCCTGACACAGAATGGGACCTATGAATTGAATCGCCGTCTTGTGTTGATAAGGTTGAGTTTGCGCAGACCACGTTGTCTAATTCGCTTCCAGGACTCGGCGATGCGCGAGCCCTGGTGCGATGTCTGGCCGGGTTGCTTTCCTTCGCGCTATCTGATCCCATATACCGCACCCTTTTTCCCTTCCATCGTCATGCGAATTTCCCCAAGGGAACAAGACAAACTACTCCTGCATCATGTAAGAATTTTCTCCTCAATCCAGAGCTCACACCAGGCAAGTTGACGTTACTAGGCAGGCTTTCTAGCACAGCAGCGCCTCGCGCGAGGCCTGCAGCTGAACCAGACAGAGGCTACTGCTCTGATCGCGTCTCAGCTGCAGGAGCGCATCAGAGATGGAAAGTACACCTTCTACGAGCTCACCGCGATGGGCAAAGAGATGCTCGGCAGGAGGCACGTTCTACCGGGCGTCTCAGTCCTGCTCAAGGAGATCCAGGTTGAGGGTACGCTTCACGATGGGTACGTTCTCCATTGATGGTGTTCAGACCCGTGAGCATAGCTCAATTCTACCCTGGGCTCATAGAGTTTTTCTTATCACCATTCACGAACCGATCTCTACACTCAATGGGAACTTGGAAGCGGCACTCTACGGCTCCTTCCTCCCTGTTCCCTCCAGTGACAGCTTCCCCGCCATTGATCCTAAGCTGTATGCACCTGAGAACGCTCCGGGGGCCATCATTGTCCAACAGGAAAGACGTGCAAGACCGCAAGATCCAGAAAATCCGGAAAAATCCGGAAGACCGGCAAGACCTGCGAGGATTCAGCTCAACCCAGGACGAAAACGCATCAGATTGCAGGTGAAGAATTGCCGTGATCGTCCTGTCCAGGTGAGTTACCCCAGCATGTCTATATCATATGCGATGTTGACAGACTGTATGCAGGTTGGGTCGCACTATCACTTTATCGAGACAAATCCCTTCCTTTCATTCGACCGCGGCGCAGCCTACGGCTACCGACTCGACATCCCAGCCGGTACCGCGGTCCGATTCGAGCCGGGCGAATCGCGAACGGTCCAGCTTTGCGAGATTGCGGGTGCGAGGCGCATCACTGGCGGAAATGGTCTTGCGACAGGCGTTGTTGACCCTTTCCGTGTTGATGAAATCGTGGAGTGTCTGGTGGATAAGGGCTTTATGCATGATGAGGATGCCTTGGCCGAAGCAGTCGACGTGGGCAGTGATATTGGTAGGGATACGTACGCGACTATGTTTGGGCCGACAGTCGGCGATAGGGTGCGTCTTGGAGATACGACGCTGTGGGTTGAGGTGGAACAACCGCCTGTGAGTGCATTCCTCTCCTTGTCGTACAGACTAAAATAAACCCGCGCTTTTAGGAGGACGATGAGGGGTATAACAACGGTGAGGATATGGGAAGTCTTAATGCGAGAGAACCGGATTGAGATCGACAACAAAGGAAAGCGTGTTCAGTATGGAGATGAGATCAAGTTTGGAGGAGGTGAGTACATCCATACGGCCATTGTTGAGCGGCTGCTTCACGGAAAGACCCACTTTTGTACCAGGCAAAGTCATTCGAGATGGTATGGGACAAGCTTCGGGCAGAGAGGCAGAGACCGTCCTCGACTTGGTCATCACGAATGCGCTGATCATAGATTGGCGGGGTATCTACAAGGTATGCTTGTCCTTGCATACCGATTCAACGCGTCACTGATATGTCAAATATTCTCAAGGCCGATATCGGCGTGAAGGATGGCAGAATCCACGGCATCGGCAAGGCAGGAAATCCGGACATTATGGACGGTGTCCACCCCGATCTCGTAGTCGGTTCAGCGACGGAGGTCGTGGCAGGCGAGAGTCTCATTGTCACTGCAGGCGCGATTGACGTGCACGTCCACTACATCTGTCCGCAACAGGTGTACGAAGCACTCGCCATGGGCACGACGACTATGATCGGCGGAGGCACAGGCCCAGCTACTGGCACAAATGCAACCACGTGTACCCCGAGCGCATTCTACATGCGGCACATGCTGGCGGCTACTGACGGCTTGCCTATGAACTTCGGCTTCACTGGAAAGGGGAACGATAGCAATCACACCGCGTTGAGAGAGATAATCAAGGCTGGTGCGATTGGGCTGAAGATTCACGAAGATTGGGGCGCGACTCCGGAGGTTATCAGGGCCGCCTTGGACGTAGCAGAAGAGTGGGACGTGCAAGTGAACATTCATTCGGACACGTTGAATGAGAGTGGGTTCGTTGAGTGTACGTCTCGCCTCACTGCCGTTCCGCGTATGCAGCTCGCCGCTTCTGATGACCGTATGCGCAGCTACGGTGGACGCATTTAAGGGCAAGGATGGCAAACCACGTACAATTCATACCTATCACACCGAGGGCGCCGGTGCGTCGAGTGACCCCACGTACGGCTGTTCCTCCATTCATTCAGTCCGTAGGCGGAGGGCATGCCCCTGACATCATCAAGGTCTGTGAGAACAAGCATGTCTTACCATCTTCGACAAATCCCACCATGCCATTCGCAACTACCACGGTCGAGGAGCACATCGACGTATGTCCATCAAACGTCTTCTCCGCTATGTCGGCATTCACCTGATATTCTTCACTTGATATGTGTCATCACAATACTAGATGCTCATGGTCGCACACCACCTGGACAAAAATATCCCCGAAGACGTCGCTTTCGCAGACTCACGCATCCGGAAAGAGACGATTGCCGCCGAAGACGTTCTCCACGACATCGGTGCCATCTCAATGATCAGTTCGGACTCACAAGCTATGGGTCGCGTCGGCGAGGTTGTCAGTCGGACTTGGCGGACCGCAAGCAAGATGCGGTATCACCGGGGATCCCTCGATGACCCCAAGTCGGGCATTAGAGACTCCGAGGGCTGCGACAACGGAAGGGTCAAGCGCTACATCGCGAAGTACACGATTAACCCGTAAGGCTCGCTATACTCTACAATTGCCCCTTATGACTTATCGCAAAGCAACATTCTACCTTAGAGCCATCACGCATGGTATTAGTCATGAAGTTGGAGACATTGCCGTAGGAAAACTTGCAGATCTCGTCCTGTGGAAAACGGAGAACTTCGGCGCGAAACCAGAGATCATACTGAAGTCTGGAGTCATCGTATGGGCTCAGGTCAGTGCTATTTCTTGCTCAGCGCATCTTCTGTAACATCTACTCAGTGTATCTCTGCAGGTCGGTGAGCCCAACGGGTCCATCCCGACTGTACAGCCGTTCACGGGGCGACCCATGTGGGGTGCACTCCCTGCTTCCGCCGCTATGAACTCCGTCTCTTTCGTTTCTGAGGTATCCCTCGACCCCAAGGAGGGCCTCGTCAAGAGCTATGACTTGAAGAAGCGTCTCGTGGCCGTGAAGGGGTGCCGGAGCATCACGAAGGAGAACATGAAGCTGAATGATCGATTGCCAAAGGTCGAGGTAGACTCGGAGAGCTACGAGGTTCATGCGGACAATGTGCTGATGGATTGTGAGGCGGCGACGCAGCTCCCGCTAGCACGATTCTACAACATATTCTAGTCAGCTGTTTCAGAGTGTCAGTATCCGATCGATCGCGATTGATTGTGATCCTATTCACGCATCAGGAATATCTCGGGCGCACATACCTGCACGAACGTCTCCCCTGTAAGTCACGCGGCATCTCGAATCTTCGACCTCCCAAGCACCGGTAGCAACCCAAATTCAATGTTCTGAGGGCTCTCGCCCGCCTGAGAGTGAATGAGCTCGTGATTGAGTTAGTAGTCGCCTTGCTCGCCATGCTTCCAGGCAGGCGTACTCAACATGTTCCCCTTTTCTGCAGCCCCTTCGGCCGCGCGGTTTTGCTGGTTTGCACGCTCGAGCTCGGCATGCGTGGTCACAGAGAATCGAAACTACGGGATATCACCACTGCCTTCTGAGCCCTTCTGGCTACTGCTTATCAGGATTTTGACTAAACTCTCTCAACAGTGTGGATTACTGCCCTACTGAGCCTGTGCACTGGACGCCGCTATGAGTCGAAGCCTATGCCGAGTGTGCTCAGGCGCAGCTGCACAGCCCAAGTCGGGCATCTGAATCTTTCACTTGTTCTTCCTCTGGACAGCTTACCTGTAATGTTAATGACCTTCCAAATCGCAAGGCACGCTATCTCGATTCCTTGCTATGACCAAGACGGGCCTGTATACACATATCTGAGGCGATGATCATGCGCAGTCTGGGCGAGCATCTCGCCGCTACATAGGCGTCTCATTCGGACCGAGGCCCGTCAAGTTTCTCACGAATGCCAACACTCGGGCCCAGTACATGTTTGACTGAGCTCCCAGACACGTTCTTGACCGAGACAAGGCAAGCTATCCTTAAGCAGAGTCGTACGCTATTCTCGCGAATCGCGTCGACGTTGTTACTCATGAACACGACTTATCCAGATGCAGGGGCTCATTTCTGGGGTACCAGAGCTCGGCCGTACGCTGCTGAGCAGCCTGCGCAATTCAACGCCATGCCTTCGGCATAACCGTTACGCGCCTCACCGAGGAAGATGGCAAACGGTCTCTCGTGCGCGACGACTCACAACTGGGGTCCACGAGATGAAGGGAGACCTTCCGCAGCCAGAACGCAGACTGTCGCGGCAGTATCGAATAGTCCGCACTCTTGATCCAACCAAGCTTACTCCGAGCGACTACGTCGACTTCAGCGAGAAGTTCATTCCACGCGTCAATATTGTCACTCAGTCTTCCCATCCCGAAGACGCCACAAACCTGTTGCCTCAAAGGCTCAGCGCCGGCGTCATTGCGACGGGATTTCGAGACCGCAGGTTCCCTCCCAACACTGCCGGATTCCTCTACTATCACACCCCTCCGTACAGCCCCCCGCTCGCAGGAGAAGTTCGCTTTCGCGTCACACCTTCCCCGGATCCTGCCAGCTTCACCCAGGGGTACGACTTGCTCATGGACTACGGGGTGCGCTGGAATATACCACTCCTCTACATGACCGACAAGAAGGGTTACACGGGCCTGCATACACTCCTACTCCAGGATGGACTGGTGACCCCGCAGCTTTCGGACATCGCCGCATCTGCGGTGGAAGGACTGAACAAAACGGCACACGGACGTAAGATATCCTTCCGTAGGACGGCCTTGGTGAGCTCGTTCGGGCGAGGGTTCTACATTCGGGTCGGACACCACAACGGATATTGCATGTCCATCGGCACGGACACCGTCGTAAAGAAGCGTGTCGAATGTGTCGCTGAGTTCCGTGTTCCTGTGGACGGTAGCGGAGGGGGTGCGCAGTATTCCCCTTATGAAGGTAGCACCCTTTTGTCCGCGATCACCGTTCGATTATCTCACGATGCGTCGCCGCCCACAGGCTCTACGATCTGTTGCTTTGAGCCTTCGACGCTTCCTGAACACGCTGGGAAACGCGTCGTGGTACTCCGGATACTGCGTCTCCTCGACAGCGACCCCATTCGACCAATGCCGCCTCCTAACAAACACGAGTACCCCTTGTCGAAGCTGAGACCCCGCGAAGGGCAGCTGTTGATGACAATGCGATGGGGAAAAGTGCAACCGTGGTCGGTGGATGTGGATAAGGACACAACACGGCCTGATACTCATGTGGAGATGGGCAGGATGCTAAGGATCCTGTACGAGAATCAGGAACTGTACGGTTCGCCACCGGAACCCTTTATTTGACAAATGCAACACCTTGATGTAAAACCCAATCACATTGCGCCTTCGAGTTTACAGGTGCGAATATTTCAGGGTTCGCCCAAGACCATGAATGCGGACGAGGCGAAATCCACATTGCCCGATAGCGCTGCCAACAGAAGTGTTGATCCAGATTAGCGTAGGGAAGTCGCTCATCTGCCTATCCGATAAATGGGATACGCGGTAAGCTAGACGATGGCATAAGAGCATTTATCACTGCGCGACTCTCCTTTCTTCGGAAAGCAAGCTCAGATCAGGTTGCTTTACGAATACAAGGATGATAGTGGTAGTAGCACATGATGCGCCTCCGCAAGCTATTCAACGCACTTCGGCACCTTCAACCGACCCTAGTGCCTGAGAAGATGTACTTACCGGACGTTGCTGAGTAAAGCAACAGCGCAAGGCAGAAACCGGAAGGGTATGTGGTAAAGCGAAAACCATACATAATTCACTGGTAAACTGTGATCCATGCCACGTCAAAGTATGCGTTCGCGAATGCGCTAGGGTTCTCATCGACATACGCTGTACAAAGACCTCTGATGAGTCCCTGGGGAAAGCGATGAAAGAGGGAAGTTATACGTAGTCGTAAGACTCCCGGGCAGCAGCCGCAAACACCGCGCCAGCCAAATCCCCGCCTATCTGAAACATCCATCGTTATATTCAGCAGATAACGAGCACGTACTTCGTACTCACGGAAAGTCAATTTGATCACGATATTATGCGGCCCAAAGTGCGACGTCATGTCGCACGATGTTTTTGGGAAGTCCGCAGTCCGCTAACGGCGTCCCCCAGTTGTCCGTCTCGACGCTCGTCGCGCCGCCCAGCACGTCACTCGGGATCGACCCGCTGTTCCGCGACCAGAGCCAGACCTTCACGCCCGCGTCGGACAGCTCCATCGCGCAGAAGCCGCCCCCCGCCGCGTTGAACGTTGGGCCGTATGAGGATGCGTCGTTGATCTTCACGCCGCAGCCGCTGTTGCCCGTCGCATTGACTTCGCAGTTGTCGTCGGTCGAGGTCCCAGCCATGGTGCGCGTTCCTCCAACCGTGCAGTCTGTCAGGGAGCGGGCGCCGTTCAGGGACATATGAGCGTTCGGAGCAGGGAGGATGATACAGGTGACGTACTGGAGCCCGTGTGGAGTGTGGCCTGGTCAGTCCCGTCGTCGTTGACGCCCTCAAGAATGCCGATCTCTCCTATCGAAGAGCCCACCAGTGAGCTCATACGTACCTCAATCTTGGGCCTTGGCAGTACTCACCTTGGTTTGGCCAATCCTGGCCAACCTCCCACATCGAGGCTGGCCAAGTCCTATATACAGGCACGGAGAAATACATGTCAGACAAGACTATGCTCATCAATCCCAGTCAACACCCGAACTCCAGCTTCGACGGTGAAGTGGGTATTGAGAGCTTAATGTGCCCCTTACAAAGCATGAGCGACTCACCCGCAGCCCTCAGGCATGTGCCGAATGTTCCATCACACGCACCACAGTCGTTAGCTTCACAATGCCTTATTAGGAGCGCTGCCCGACACTAGCACTGAACACGGGTCGTGTCGTCCGCTCGGAGAATGAGCGTGTCGCCGGAGGGGTTAGTCAGGTTCTGCGCGAGCGCAGTCGCCTGGTCGACACAGTTCTTAAACGATCGACCGAGACACTAGTCAGCATTTCCGGTTCTGCGCATAAGGCGAGGGACTTACACTCGGCCATAGGTAGGATCTGCGATGGCCTGGTGTATGAAGCCAGAGAGAAAGTCGCTGCCTTGATAGCTGTCAATTTGCGAGTAGGTCATACCGAGTGCGGGGGTAACGAGATAGGTGAGGAGGGCGAGGTAGACACGTGCCACGAACATGGTGTGGAAGTCTAAGATCGGATTGATTACGTGTATGCGGACAAGAAGATGTTGAGGGGGAGTGGCCCACAAAAAGATGTCTTCGAGTGAGTCACATTTATACAAGCTGCCGCTACCAATTCAATATCAGCTTCGCGAAACTACTACTTCGAAGAGTGGTTACCTCTAGGTCTCGGATCACGATGTCGCAGTGGCTTACAGGAGCGAATGAGCTCGACCCCCATGTGACGTAGAGAGAACGGTGGTGAGTAAGTGGCACGTATGATGCTAAACGAGACGAACAGGTAGATAAGAGAGCACATGCAATTTGGAGGTCAGCGGCGATTGTCGGTAACGCAAGATCAAATGCCTCGTTGCAGATATCCCTTGGGAGAAGATGCTGAGAGCGATCTTCTCAGCCCAAGAGAGAAGGAAAGAAACGCCCAGATGGAGAATGCGCGAGAAGTGAGGCCCGTATGCCTCAACAGCCAAAGGGTGTAAGGCAGCCACATGGGAGAAAAGACACATGCGATTCGGTGGAGCCTGAGGCCCGAGGTATGAGGCTGTCACCGATTGGGTCAGTATGTAGCAACGCAAAGGACCACGTCATTCCCGAGTCTAATGGACGCACTCGCTCCCGGAGGGTAAGACAGGGTAAGAGGCGCTGGAGATATCGGGGTTGGCTGTTGCGAGTTGGATATGGGTGTTGCAGGCCTGATAAATGGGCTCGATCACGAGAAAGGATGACGAGGTGTGGTTCCAAAGTTGCATGCGCCATGTGGCAGACAACGGATCAACCCAGCTAATCAAGGTGGCATGAGAGCGGCAGACGCAAAGTTTCCTGGCTCATGTGGGCAACGGACGCAAGGGAATGGCTCTATTCATGAGTGTGGTCAGAAATGAAATACACCACCAGCAGGTCTCCAGACACAGAGAATGCAGCTGTTCAGCTCCGCACCGCTCACCGCGTGTTCGAGTTAGTGGACCGTCCCTGAGCGAAGCTCATTCCCTCCGTATGACAATGAAGAACAGAAAGACTCGGAGCGAGGGAGGAAATTTTCGGAGAAACTGAGCTCATCGTATGCAAGCTATCCTGCCTTTCACGTCAAAACCAGGATACGATGAATATCGCAATCTGACCACTTCTTCGGGAGGACGTACCTCGTCATGACCGTCGAGCTGTACTGCACGGGGTCACCTGTGAGGGATGCAAGATGACTTTACAACAAGAGTACGAGCTAAGATCAGACACAAGTCATCGTCCGTAGCATGCCAGAGCTTGAAGAGAGTGTACGTGCCAGCACCGGAAGCGCTCGGGCGGACAGGGTTCCCACGCCGCCATGCCGCCTGGATGGCCACGTTGAGCTGAACAAGCCGGTTTGGCATCACACTCAGCCAACGAGCTGTAAGTTCTATCCACAGCGCTGTAGGTCATTCAAAGCGTTGAATAAAATCTCTCATTCACGAACAGGAGAGTCATCTAGATGCCGTCGCCGACTATGGTGGCATCGTTCCGCATGTTGAGTTCCCAGAGGCCATTCAATCTTCGACACATCCGTCACACGCCTCACTGGCCTGGCAAGTGGCCAACGGTCTCTTATGCACGACAACTTACGATCGGGAGTCGTGAATTGGAGGGAAATCCCCCGCAGCCGGAACGTCCGAAGCGACGACAGAAGCTTCGAAAAATTCGCACTCTTGATCCAACCAAGCTCGCTCCGAGCGACTACGTCGACTTCAGTATGCTACGTCAACCAAAGGTCCAATTGCTCGCTCAATCTCCTGATTTCAACGATGCCTCAAACGCGTTACTTGGAAGGCTAAGCGCCACAATCAATGCGAGGGGAATCCGAGACGGCAAATTCCCTCCCAACACTGCCGGATTCCTCTACTATCACATCCCTCCGTATAGCCCCCCGCTCGCAGGAGAACTTCGCTTTCGCATCACACCTGCCCCGGATCCTGCCAGCTTCTACGAGGGGTCTGACTTGCTCACGGAGTACGGCATACCCTGGAAGATACCACTTCTCCACATGACCGACAAGAAGGGTTACACGCGCCTGCAGACACTCCTACTCCGGGATGGACTGGTGACTCCGCAGCTTTTGGACGTTGCCACATCTGCGGCGGAAACACTGAAATCAACGGACTACGGACAAACGATAGGTTTCAGTATGACGGCGCTGGTGAGCTCGTTCGGGCGAGGGTTCAACTTTCGGGTCGGAACCTCAAACGGAGTTTGCGTGACCATCGGCAAGGCCACTGTCGTGAAGAAGCTCGTCAACAACTTTGCTAACTTTTTTGTTCCCGTGGACGGTATCGGAGGGATCGGAGGGAGTGCGCGGTATTTCCCTTTTCAAGGTATCCGTCCGTGGTCCGTGATCACTGTTTGATAAACTCACGATGCATGGCCGTCCACAGGCCCTATGATCTGCTGCTTTGAGCCTTCAACGCTACCTGAACACGCTAGGAAACGGGTCGTGGTACTCCGGGTACTGCGTCTCCACGAGAGCGACCCCATTCGACCAGTGCCGCCTCCTAACACACACGAGTACCCATTGTCGACGCTGAGACCCCGCGAAGGGCAGCTAGTTATGACGATGCGATGGGGCAAAGTGCAACCGTGGTCGGTAGATGTGGATAAGGACACAAGACGGCCTACCACTCATGTGGGGATGGGCAGGATGCTAAGGATTCTGTACGAGAACCAGGAACTGTACGGATCGCCACCAGAACCCTTTATTTGATGGCTGCAACATCTCGAAGCATACATCCATTACATGGCCCATCGGAGCTTGCAGATGCAAAGATTTCAGGTAAAGTACCAGTAACAGAGACGGAGTCCGCGTTGCCCAGTAGCACCGTCAGCAGAAGGTGTTGAGAGCGATCAGCGTAAGGAAGTCGATCACCTGCCTAACCAAATGCAAATGCGACGTGCGGTAAACTGGATGCCAGCGTAAGGACGTCAATCATCGCCGACTACGCAGTTCTCCTTGTTTAAAGACAGCAAGATCAAGTCGGGTCGATTGCACTACGAATACAGGGATGATGATTATGGTGATAGTACAGCCAAAGCACGGCATCTGCCCTTCTCGACCTCAATCGCTTTACATCTTAATCAAGAGGTTCACCTGGACAGCCTTCACAGCTGTGTAGCTACAATCAAAGTAGTTCAGCCTCGGCACATCAGACAACTGACACAGCGGAAACACTCACTTTGCCAACGCATACTCTCCAAGCTCGCGGCCAATACCCGACTGCTTGTACCCACCGAACGGCACGTTCGGGTACAGCATGTTCGCTACGTTCACCCATACCGTGCCTGCCTTAAGCTTATGCGCCGTCGACAGCGCGCGCGTCACGTTCTGCGAGAACACCGCCGCCGCCAGGCCGTACACCGAGTCGTTCGCCTGCTTCACGATGTCGTCGTCGTCCGAGAACTTGATCACCACGCACACGGGCCCGAAGATCTCCTCCTGGACGATCTTCATGTTCGGCTTCGTCTCGGTGAAGATCGTGGGCGAGATGTAGTAGCCTTCGTTGCCGACGCGATGGCCGCCGTAATGGACCTTTGCGCCCTCCGCCTTGCCGGATTCGATGTAGCCCATGATGCGCTGCACGATGGGAGGCTTCAGAACAGTGGCGTTACGAGAAAGCTCAGAGACTTACGTCGTACTGCTGCTGGTTGATCTGCGGGCCTTGGAACGTCTCCGGGCTGAACGGGTCGCCAACCTTGAGCGTCTGCGTGTGCGCCGTGAAACGCTGCAGGAACTCGTCGTAGATGTTCGCGTGCACGAAAATACGGGACCCTGCGCAGCAGCATTGCCCATGGTTGTAGCTGGTGAATACAGTATTCAGCCACAAACGACTCATGAGACGTCATGAATAACCTACTAGATACCGAACGCAGCCCACTTGACGGCCTGGTCCAAGTCGGCGTCGTCGAACACGATTGTTGGGCTCTTGCCGCCGAGCTCGAGCGTAACCTTCTTCAGGTTCGACTTCGCGGACGCCTCCATGATCTTGCGGCCGACGAGTGTGCTACCAGTGAACGCGATCTGTGTGCATGTCAATCATCGTAATGGAGGTACGAGGAATCGATCGAACCTTCTCGATATCAGGGTGCTCAGCGAGTGCCTGGCCGACGATGCTACCGTAACCGTTCACGAGGTTGAATGCACCCGCGGGGAAGCCGACCTGGTCGATGAGCTTCGCCATGTACAGCGCGGTAAGGGGGGTGAACTCTGACGGCTTCAGGACGATCGCGCAGCCTGTCGCGAGTGCGGGACCAATCTTCCACGCCATCATTTGCACTGCACACAGGTACGTTCAGCACACCCATAGGCAATAAAAACGAGAGAACGTACGAGGGAAGTTCCAGGGGATGATTTGTCCCACAACGCCGATGGGCTCGTGGCGCGTGTATGTGAGCTTCGCCTCCGAGGTCTCGATCGTCTGGCCGAGGACCTTGTCTGCCCAGCCGGCGTAGTAGCGGATGCAGGTAATCGAGTGGCTGACGTCCCCTCGCTTGGCCCAGTTGAATGTCTTGCCGTTGTCGAGTGCCTCGAGCGCAGACAGGACATCCTGTTCCTTCTCCATGAGGTCGGCGAGCTTGTTCAGAAGGCGCGAACGATCGACACCGGTCGTGTTCAGACCCCATGTGGTTTCGAATGCCTTGTGGGCGGCCTTGACGGCGATATCGACATCCTTGGGAGTACCCTCCGAGATGCGAGTCGTGGTCTTGCCATTCGTGGGGTTGATCACACTGTGTCGAGTGATTAGTACGATTCACCCCGAACTGAGATGCTTTGCCGGACACCGCTCGCCCAGCTGCTCCCCACTATCGAGTCCTCGGCACGTAGCACGCCTCTTCAAGCGGTAGAACACAGCCCTGCACGGTGCTCCTGATGGAGCTGGGAAGCCCTACACTCGACTGAACGCTCTCGGGGCGGCCCGGCCGTGCACACGGCGTCTCGTTGGGGACCGGTCGGGCAGTATGACGCGAGGAGGGTTCGACTCCCGACAGTACTCTCAGCCCTGCTTCGCCGTTCAGTAGCCCACCGGCCACAGCGACAGCCCCGTTAATCCCGACCAGGCGCGACTCCCAGCCCCTGAAGCAGAGTACGGCCCTGTGCTCGCAGCTACATGGCGTAGGCGAGGCGAGGCCGGTGCTCCCTGCGACGACGCAGGACGAGCGCGGTGTGCCAGGGAGAGACCTCACGGCGACGCGCCACTTCGCGCGAAACCGACAATCTGTCGATAGTATGGCAAACAGCACTCACTCAATGTAAGTGCTATTGGATCCATCGACGAACTTGCCGTCGATATAGAGACCCAAGGGGACCTCCACATCGCCCTTGAAGACAGGGGTGTCGAAGGTGTACTTGAACGTCTCGGGCATTGTGGGCTCCTTGAGCGCGAGGGTAGTGAGAGAAGTATCGGGCGGGTTATGGAGGAAAGGGCGAGCTTAGCGGTGGGAAAGGCGGTGACCCGACGGTGGGGGGATTATATATGGAGCGCAGGGGAGAGAGTCCCGCGACCTTCGATTTCGATTAGAGATCACCAATCACTGACCGGTGACAAGGCCGTTCTTGCCCTTGGCTTACACTCGCCGCGTAAGAGCACTACCGTTCCCAGGTGTAGGGAGGGGCCCCCGATTCGGTACAGGGTCCGGTCAGCAGGACAGCGTCCCTCGGAGACGGAATAACGATGGCACCCTCATGTGTCCCGGTCGGGGTCTGGCGAGTATCAACTGTCTTGATGGCCCTTTGTCTGCGAAGAACGATGGTGGCAGTGAGCCGCAATGCGAGGTCCGTTCTGCGAGCAGGGTTTCCGACCGTATGAATTGTAGACAATTTCGGCACAACCGGCCGTCGCGAGCCTGTGAACTCTGTAAGCGCTCCTTACATGGTCCCCAGACTCCCAACAACTTGTCTATCGCCGGATCATGAGTCTGTCTCAGTCAGGCCTCTCTTCCAGAAACCCACGACGTGGGTATAGACAGCGTCTTCAGGGAGACGGTGAGAGGGAGAACTGCTCGCAGCCACGGTACGATGCACCGATAAGCATAGACTCGGCCGTTGGTCTCAGATTTCCTGCTCGTGCGGAGTGGCGGCCACGAGAACGACGGCGATAGCTACGATGCACACAACATGAGAGTCCTGATCTCATAGAGTGCCAGACATTTCCGAGTCTGCTTCCCTCATTGCTTCTCGCTCTGGGACGCCGGTGGAAATGAATACCCGCACCAACGTAAGCTCCGTGAGAAACCATACACATTGGCAAGTATTAGTAGGCAATCTCTGACGTTCACGCAACTGTTGCCAGAAGTTCGGCGTCGAGGAAGACCATGTCTCCCCGATTAGATGACCTTTCTGCTCAAATGGTGGAGAGCTTGATTCAACGTATGCACTACAAGATTCTCGCGTCCTCAAAATAGTACATTGGTCTTGATTAACCATCGAGCAACTTCACGTCCCCCCTTGTCCACACCTTGCTCTCGTCGGTGAGCCTCAGCTCGACCTCCTCAAAGACTGCAGCCCGCTTCGTAATCGAGAACCCGAGCTTCTCGAACAGCCGTATGCTCGCCTCGTTCCTCTCCCCAATCCGCGCCACAAACCTGTCCTTCGGGACGGGAAGCGGCTTCGGGGACGACGGGTCCGTGGCGTAAGACAACATGAGCTGCAGCGCGGTGTGCGCAACTCCCCGCCGGCGATAGGCTGGTTCTGCAGTAGATTTTGGGGCACACGCGGACGTCAGTATCAGAAGCTGACCCAGGATGGAAGAGGTGATACGCCGTCCGGAGACTGTGTACGCCCTATCGAACGACGTGGGGTACGGACCTGCAATCATTATTTCGACCTCGACCTCGAAATCCTCCTCGTCCGGAGCACCCTTGAAAAAGAGATTGACGTCGCCTATCATCGGAAGGCCTTCAAGGCGTTCCGGAGTCACTTTCTGATCGTCTTCCTTGGCATCGAATGACAACCCCGACAGCAGGATGAATGTCAGCTCTTTAGCAAGCCGTCACGAGGCGCGTGCGGGAGGCGGGGAGCATGCTATCAGGCGGGGCCGTCTCATTTCCGAAATGCCAGAACCCATCACGCACTGTCTTCGTCCTCCTGCCATTTTCCTACATATGGAGACGGGGGTGGGGGTCAGCTCTGGAGAAAGAGAAGGGCCGGGCAGATGGATTAGCCACGCCAATGAAGCGCAATGCGATACCAATCGATGAGGGGTGACGGCGCTCCCGCCGGGATGTTTCGTATACCAGCCGGCGGGGAAGCACAGGTTCACGTACGTGCCGCATCCCGCGATCCCACTGCAGGTGCGCTCCTCTTACGAAGAAAGGCGAGCGGACCACTCACTTTGCATTTCATATTCCTCTTCGAGTGTCAGCGGCTCACTTGCGGTGAGCTCTCGCAGCTCCTCGCTCGTCATCCATTCGTGATACGTCTAGCTACGCAAGATGGTTAGGCGGTGCATTGACGTAAACCGCGTGAAGAAGTCGCCTAGAAGTTGATCCTTCTAGGGACAGAAACTCACGGCGACGTGCTCCTTCCTGGGACGCGAGAGTTAGCTCCGCGCCGGTGTCGACAGACGCAGCGATCGAGTCGTACCGGTACGGCACCAGGATGACGTCTGGGTGCAAAATGACTGTCTTCTCGTTCGCTTTCATCTTGGCATCGTATGTTCTGTGAGGTAGAACGACGCGTTAGGGTGAGCTGCGCCTGGTCGGAAAGGACTCGGCGACCAGTTGACCTGCGGAGACACGCTGGGGTGCGCAGAAATGGTACAGATAAAGTATGGTCCGACTGATGCTGTGTATGATCGGACGGGCTTTCAGCGTCTGTATAATCACGTCAGATTCTGGGAGCAAGATCTTGTGTTAGGGGGTTCCGAGAAGACGAAGCCCGAGCCCCGCGGGGCCCCACACTTACCCCAGAGGAGAATGGGCGAGGAACACGAAGACAAGCGGCCACTGCGGAGAAAGGACCTTGTTTGACTATTGATGGTCGAGGCTGGTCGAGGCTGGCGCTACGATGGTCGAAGCTGCACTGGGCAGTGTTGGGGTTAGCTCAGGGTTATGACCCGGAAAGGTGTTACCGAGACGCGATTTGGCAAGGGCGATTGGAATGAACACTCACCTTAGGACCAGTTGGACGCAGGCGAGAACAGAGGATGCTGCTCGGATGCGCCCCACCTCTCTCAAGTGTAGGCCAGCGTCCGTAGTATTGAAAGTCTACGTGGCTTTCGGTGACCTCGAGTCTGACGATGCTGTAGGAGCAAAAGTTGACCAGCTGGTCGCCGTTGAGCATCCGCATTCATCGTATATGCCTTGATGGCTTATCTGAATCTACCTGATGACACCACCGAGTTCACTGAACTTGAAGTAAGAGATGCTAGCCGGGTGAAAGCAGTCTCGCAAGGGAACGCGGGTATCTTGGACGCCCACCTTTCGTTCAAAATCGGGGAAAGCCACGTGGCTCAAGGCGCCCTCCCGCCCCGGGGCCGGGATGTTTCGGACAGCCGCAAGACCACCGCCCACGGCGACAGAGGAGGTCAGCTTCTGCAGAAGGATGTCTGATCATTTCCATCTCACGCCTTGTATCCCTACAGCAATCTTGCACACTAAGCACGAGTGAGACCGGCTTGCGCATCGGCATTCTCATTGTGCGTAGAGTCCGCTCCCACTATGTCCAGCAAGCTGCGGGACGATTCGGGCGACGGCCTGCACAGTCCTCATGGCAAACGCCCTTCCGACGCTGTTCCGCTCACAAAGAGGCGCAAGAGCATTTCCGAGTCGTACCGCTACGCCTAGGCGCTTGCCGTATTTGGCAACTGAGTACGCTCGGATTTGATGCGGACGGGATCTGTAGGCTCGAACGGGTGTCGGAAGTCGGAAGTGCGTTGGATAATGTCGGAACTGGGTTTGCGACGGGACTTGTACATAGCTGTGAATTCTGAACGACGGAAGAAGTTTGCTTCTTGACCTCGTACTGCTACCATGTCTTCCTGGTGTTGCTGGGTATATGCGCTCGTGCTTTCCGACGTGGCTTTCTGTTGTTTTGTATGACTTCGCGCCTTCTTCACGAGCATATAGAGAAGGTTTTGTCGGAGCCTGAGGCAAAGTTCGTTCGGGAACACACGCACTCGTGGACTTCAAAGCCAAGGGAATGCGCAAGTCTGCTTGCCCTGCCCTACAGTGCGCTCCTTCCCCTTCTGACCGTATATGACCGACCTGCACCACCAAGGTACGTAGTGGTTTGCATGGTCCCCTGACTACTCATCAATGCGTTTCGTTAGGTGGCGAGGACGCCGTCAGGCCGCCTGACCAGCGCGCTCCCTGTGGCATGTCCATGCGGCTGGTGTCTGAAACTCAGCGCGGGCGCGCGACAAGCATATAACCTCGCGATGCACTCTGATGGGACAGCCCTGTTGTTGCTTGGGGCCGTGCACCTTGAGCTTCGGACTCTGCTCAGCCTTGCTGCCTTTAGACGTCCTGGATTCTGCCTTGCTCACCGTTTGGAGTCGCACCCTCTGTAGCGCTCCATATCCTTCTCCGCTGCTCTCCCTCAGTACCACCTTGCCTCGACGCTGTCTCTTGCGCGCTCACTACGGGATGCGCGCTCACTACGGGACTGTAACGTACTCGTCATCGTCCTCTGCGCCTGCCCAATCGTATCGCGCCCCAGGTCCTCGCGCAATGCAAGCCGACGGCTTCACAGGCACCGATCTGAAAACAAACGGACCCCGTCGTCTGGAAAGGAGATGCAGATGGGAGTTGTCGAGCTCGTCGCTCGACACGTCTTATCGCTATCTGGCTTCGACCGGCTTTGACTGCATCGATAACCGCAGCCGATGACAAACTTAAAGGTGGACCGGCCATCGACACGACGATCCCTTCTCGCCATCTCTTCGCTGTTCAGCTCTGCCACACTGCGCTCGCACTGATCCGCATCGTGCATCTGGTCTCCCTGCCCGCTTGACTTCTTGCTGTGTTCGAGTTCGTCGATGCTGGCTACCGATCAAATTCTTGCGGACATAAAGTGCCGACGCGAGCTACGTTATACGATATACCTATTGCGCGCTGGGGTGACTGCCTCGGACGGAAACGGATGAAGCAAGGGAGCGTGTCCGTTGTCGAAGTCGCATGGGCGCTCAGAAGCAGCTCAGAAGCCGCTGTGAGTTCATGGGTGCGTTCCAGCTCAGCGCCCCTGTACATTACCGGGGCGCAGATCAGGTTGGTCCATCGAGAATGGGGACAGTTGGCGAGGGGTGAGCGGGATGGGATCCTGATATGTCGAGGGCCCTGAGACAGGTGCGTTCGTATTGTCGCCCCGTTTCGGTGACAGCGAGGCTAAATGCAACGCTCGTTCCCTCATCCAGGAATCGGGTACATGAGCATCGCTTTGTGCGTATAATACGACGATCCGGGAATGACAGTCCGATTTCGTGCGCACTGATGTCGGTGGACGTCGGGAGCTGCCAAGATCGTTACGTGGGCTGCCGGGCCGTCGTGGTCGAGGGATTCGGTGGAGGACTGGGAACCGTTGGTTTGTCGTAGTGGCCCTTGGGCGGGTGTCACTTGATGATCATGCAAGTGTGCGCCGGGGTCAGATGAGTGTGGGGATATGCTGTGGGATGGAGGCTGAAGCATTCACCCGCCCCGTCTTTGATCAGCCGTCTGCGCTGGGGAGATCACCTCCAGTCAGCTGGTAGCGCTACGCCCGATATGGCCCATCGCCCCTTACCCGGTTGGATGAGGTAAGCGCCCTTGTAATAAGCTCATCCTTGTCGTCGGCCAGTCCGCGTTCTCTCTCGCCCCACCTTCTCGACCCCGACCCCGTCGCCATCATGTCCCACCTCGAGAAGGCCCAACCCGAGCTCGCGACTGCCAACCCCCCGCCCACCAACGGTCACTCCGCCCCCGGCCGCAACCTCTACTACCGCCAGCTGGGCGACCCTGGTCCTCTGTAAGCGTCCCCAACTCTGCGCGATGGCGCCATGCTCATCCCCTTCATTCGCGACGGTAGTGGTCTGTACGGCTTCGCGTCAACGACCTTCATCCTCTCGATGTATAACGTCCAGGCCCGCGGCATCAACACCCCCAACGTCGTCATCGGCATGGCCCTCTTCGTCGGGGGCCTTGCGCAGTTCGTCGCAGGCATGTGGGAATTCGCAACCCAGAATACCTTTGCGGCCACTGGTACGTTCTTTCCGTGCCTGCCAGTCATTAAAGACGCGTGATATCGAACCCAAACGCGTCCATTCCGTTTCGGCGCTTTGGGGTCTTGCGCGTCTTCGCAAGTTATCCCTCTGACTAACGCCGAATCTGTTCCCTTCCCGCGCAGCGTTCACGATGTACGGCGGATTCTGGATGTCGTTCGGGACGATTTTCATCCCCGGCTCCGGTATCCTCACTGCCTACACGGACCCTAACGAGCTCAACTCCGCGCTCGGCATCTATCTGTGGACATGGTTCATCGTCACGTTCCTACTCCTCGTCGCCTCTCTGCGGAGGAACTTAGGCCTCGTCGTCCTCTTCTTCTTCCTCACCATCACCTTCGCGCTCCTCGGCTCAGGTACGTGGTTCCGCGAATTCCGATTCGCGCCATGACTGATTCCCGACTTCTCTTCCTTCAAATCTGCCAGGAAAATTCTCAACCGCTCACGCCGTCGCGCTCGACAAGGCCGGAGGCGCCTTCGGCATCATCACTGCGTTCATCGCATTCTACGTGGGAACCGCAGAGATGCTCAACGACCGCGCTCAATCGTGGTTCGTCCTCCCTCTGGGCCAGATCCCCAAGCGACGCATCGACTAGGCGAGCTTCTGCTTCAGATTTATTCCATCTTCTCGTAGGCTAGGACGTGCGTCCTGCCCGTGATATGTGTTACCTACCCATCTACCCATCTTCTTACCCATCGTTTCCGGCAGTCTTGCGGACGACACAAGCAGTGCGCTTGTTCGATGTCGTATATGTTCATGTGGAAGGCGGTGGCGTGGAAGGATCTGTATGAGTAGTTATATTACTGCGTTTTAAGACTGCACCCTATGTCCGCACCTTCATGAATGAATAGGGCTGTGCTGCCTTGCCTTCGTTCAACGTAATTCGAGGAAGCATAGTCTCCTGCCGCGTTCCGTGAGCTTTCTGCTGTGGCGCGAGGCTCAGTGAGTGTCAGTTTTGCATCCTACATCAGTTCGTTGACCAGCTGAGTGCATATCAATGCCTCAGGTCTCTGCCAGTGGCGTTTCGGAGGCGACGAGTTCCTTCGGGAGTCATGCTTCGCTGTTGCTGAAATTTCTTCATTCCATGCGATTGTCCCAAGTTCTCGGGAAGCTTTTATTGTCTGGGCGGCACGACCTCCGTGGTAGGCCGGAAAGCCTGTCTCGAATGCGCCCGTCCCCATCAATACCAGGTTTGGCTCATCTGTTAGCTGTGGGCTGCGCGACGTCATCTGTATTGGGGAATATGGGGAAAAGGCAGGGTGGCCGCGCGCGCTGTGGGATCCAGGTGCCACCCTGCAATCGGTCTAGCGGCGCGCCCACAGGCCTAGGTCACGTTCTCACAACACCCGCCCGTGTTCTAGGGTCGATGCCCGCTCATCTCGCACGCGAGCTGGGCCGGAGCTCGACCCCCTCTCCTTCGAGTTTGCAGGCAGTTCGAAATACCGACGGTCGAGGCGAAAGCAGATGTAACGCCAGAGATGGAGATACAAACTGGGGTCGAGCCCGCGGCCGAGGCGATACCGTACGCGGACCGCGTCGTGACCCACAGCAAGCTGGGAGTCTGGGACTGGTACGAGGAGGTCGATCCCGGTCGTGACCAGGTCCCGATCATTTCGCGCTTCAAGAAGTCCTATGCCGACCTCGCGGGGTGTTTCCCGTACGTCGTCCGGATGTTGAAGGACGTGCTGAGTATCCCAGGATGCAAGTCGCGCCTTGTGGTATACGGGGCGACGGAACTGGGGCTTGCGCTGGTTCCTGCAGCATCCATCTGGTATGGACATCATCTCCAATTGGTCAGTATCCGGGGCTAGTAGACTAACCGAATCGCGGAACATCCGACAGGGTCCAGGGACATTTACCCCAAGTGGTACGCGTCTAGTTATCGTTGAAGCTCGTCTGTGCTCACCCGACACCTCGACAACAGGTGGAAGTACCTGTCACAACACGCACGGTAGACACTGAGCTGCTGTTGAAGATATGCGCGGGGCGCATCGCGTGCACGATCGCAAACATGGTCCTCGGAGAGCTTCACCGCCGCGCCCAAAAGACACTCAACGCCCGCATCCGGCGCTGGTTCGCGATGCGCGCGTTCGAAGCGAACGCGCGGCTCGACGTTCCGACCTTCAACCTGCCCCCGGTGCAGGCCCAGCTCGCCGCGGCGAGTGGGGGAAGCTACCATTCTGTCGTGTGGCAGACGATGCAGATGGGGATGGAGATCGCCAGCACTGCGCCAAGGCTTGGATCGCAGGTGTATGCGCTGTTGCGCACGTTGCGGACAGACGGCGATGGGAGGATCATGATGCTGGTCACGCTTCTGGCGGAAACGGTGTCGATGTTGAGGGATCTCAGCATCTTCTCGACGGCGGACACTGGTGAGTCGCTGTGAGTACGTCTCGCGCAGTCGCTTACAACAGTCGAGGGTCCAGCGATCGCCGTCATGACGAAGTCTGTGGAGTACCTGAAGATGAGAGCATGGGACATGATAGTCAGTGAGCAAAGCACCGGAAGGAACTCGTTGCAGGCAATCTCCAAGAACACGCTATTGAGGGCAAGTCTTCCCCTTCCGTTATTCTCCAGACGCACATATATCCTAATAGCGAGGCTTCCAGAGTACAAGAAGGCGTCGGACGTGGTAGAAGACAACGACGGCAATTGGAGAGACCTGCGATACGAATCGGTTGCCGGCCTGAGCGGTCGTTCCTGGTACACCTCGATGGCATTCGCCCATATCCCCCAGGTCCGCTTACGCGTATCGCTCCTTGCTCCTTCTAACATCACTTCACGCAGCCCGACATCAGATTGCGTTTACCCTTCGAGCCGCGCGAGATCCCGCGCGTCTGCCAGGAGTTCTTACTGAGCTCAACCTCGTACAGAGCGCCGCGAAGAGCTTCGCATTCTCAATGTATGAGGTGGTCGCGAAATGCTATCAACTGCAGTGGCACTTTTCAACGATCCGCGATGTCTATGAAGTCGAGAAAATGTCAATGTCGTCTCTGACGGGACAGACGCGTTGCCGCAGGGAGCGGCGCAATTTTTCTCTGGAATCGCATTGAAATTTAGGTGAGCAAGTGGTCCTACTAGTTTTCGCACGGAACTGATCGCCGTGCAGGAACGTGTCGTTCAAGTACCCTGGCACCGACCAACATGCCCTTCGCAATGTCTCTTTCCAGCCTGCTCCCAGGCCAGCTCTGTGTCCTGGTAGGGTCGAACGGAGCTGGCAAGAGTACAATCCTCAAACTCGCGGTGCGCCTATACGACCCCGAAGACGGTCAAGTCTTGCTTGGCGGCCAGGACGTCCGCACGCTCAAGCTCAGCGATCTTCGCCAGGCCATATCCGTACTGTTCCAAGATCACACGCACTTCCCGCTATCTGTGAGCAGCGTCCCCCTTCCTGACCTCCGAGACCGTTCGGCACCACACTAATTGTACCCACAACCGCAACCGCGTCGACGCGCGTCCGGCGTTACATAAGTATGACAGATCCGCGATAACATCGCGCTTGGCGACCCTTCTAAAGCTGACGATGCGGAGCATGTGCGTCTAGCTGCGCGTCTCGGGGGCGCGGAGCGGTTCGTTGAAAAGATCCCGGATGGTTTCAATACCTGTCTACTGCGCCCTGCACCAGACTATGTTTCTGGTCCTCCCGAAGGCAATAAGACGCTCTCGGGGAAGCCATTCGATGTGTGCGCAGTTCGCGCGGCGGCGGGTATCAAGGCGTCCATAACGCCGTCGGAGCTCAGCGGCGGACAGATGCAAAGGCTCGCTGTGTGAGTGGAGTTGTCCCGTGATACCCACTTCAGAACTCATCTTCTTGAATAAGCGCAAGGACGTTCATGCGTTCTGTGGTGGCGGATGATGCAAAAGTTGGCCTGTTACTGTTCGACGAGCCCAGCGCTTCATTGGATCCTGCAGCAGAACATGGTGAGTTTGACCGGTGATCCATGAGGACAATGTGATGACCTGTGCTGCCCCTGCAGACCTGTTTGAACGACTTCGTGAGTTGAGGGGTAACAAGACCATGGTGTTCTCATCGCACCGCTTCGGCAACCTCACGAGACATACCGATTTGATATTGTGAGTCGTTTTGCCACATCCTTCGTTGCGACGCACGTCGTACCCACCTGTCCCTTTCTTAGGTACATGGAAGAGTCGGGTGTGGTAGAGTCCGGGACGCATGATGATCTGTTACGGAAGGAAGGCGAGTACGCTCGGCTTTGGAAGCTGCAGGCACAGGCGTTTATCTCGTAATCTCCCGTCCCACCCGGTTTTGTGGCCCATCTTTGTGTTATTGACCACTGCATCCGTGTCTTTGACCTTGACCTGGGCCTGGAGACTGCCTTGCTGGTTGTGACATAGTCGGGAATCGAAATGGCTTCCTGGAGTGCGGCCGTCTCTTGTCGACTCCGTGCTTCTCTGCTGTCAGTGCCACCGGTTTGATCCGGTATTTGTGTCTCCGAGTCGGATGCACACGTCGTCTGGATTGCAACTCGACCTTCCTCGAGGCTTCCTGCGCAGGCTGTATATGCAACGCCGGCGGCATTTGTGGCTTTCTAGCCTTCCCAAATGAGTCACAACCGGCCAAGGCAGTGCTACCTCTCCCAGGCCTTTGGAAGGCGAGTCACGGCTGCCGATGTCTCGGGGTCTCACTGACACGCTCCCGACAGCATCCCAGCAGTTATTGGTCGATTTACCGCATGTGAAGCATCCTGATCCCCGGCATAGCTCATGGGGACAGCCATGCGGCGGCTCGTTATGTATTGGTCGTCATGATATATATACCGAACGCAGTTTGGCGACGAATGCAAACCTGATCATGCCAGCGACACTTTGTAAATCGACCAACGAGAAGGCGCACCTGAATGAGAAGATCCCCAACGGCGGCGGCAGCACGACCCCACCTTCTATCCGCCGCGCACACATAGGAGTCTGGGACTGCTACGAGGCCGTAGACGATGAAGGCCCTGCTATTCCTTTTGCGTCCTTATATTCAAAGTACAACGACGCCGTGGAATGCGTTCCGTACATCGTCCGCATGATCAATGATGTCCTCAGCATTCCAGGATGCGCGCTGCTTGTGTTCGCATACGCGGCCACCGACCTCGTACAGGCGTTTCTTCCTGCAATCTCTATCTGGTATGCCAATCAGCGTCATCATCTGTCTCGCTCGCCCCCGTTACTGAAGTAAAACACAGGTTCCAGGGTCAACTCTTGCAGATCGTATGTCTCACGATCGTTCTCGGTGTCAAATACGGCGCTGACGTCCGTCCGGCCCACAGACCCAAGTCGCCATCGACACCCGCACTGTCGACAAGGCGCGCCTGTTTAAGATCTGCGCAGGCCGCATTGCCTGTAGCGTCGTCGGCATCATTCTCTATCGCGTGCGTCGTCGCGTCGGGAATCCGTTGAACGCGCGCATCCGGCGGTGGTACGCGCTGCACTCGTTCCACTCGCGAGCGCGACTCGACCTGCCCACGTATGCGCAGCCGGCGGTGCAGCGGCAGGTCGGCGACGCGTCAGACAACATGTGGGGCCAGACAGTCGTCTGGCAGACGCTTGAGCTTGCGACGGACATCGTGAGCGCGGCGACGCAGCTCGCGGCTTCGTCCGCGGTGCTGTTCCAGGTGCTGAAGGACCACCAGGACGGGAGTGTTCTAGCGTTGTTGACTTTGTTTGGGGAGACGTACTATTGGCTATCGCAGTTCAACACGTTCAGGACTACCAGAGGTCCGTGCGGATTCCTCTGGCGTCAACTTGGGATCGTGGAGTGGCGGTATTGATGCGTCGCGCGTGCAGTGTGGCTTGCAACGACTTTCAACCAGGATTATATGAAGATGCAAGGATGGAAGAAGGCAGTGAGGGATTTGCTCCATCGGAAGGAGTTCGTCGCAGGTGGCTTAGCTGGATATGCGACCGCAGAGTTCCAGAAGGCCGCGGAGCGCGTAGGAGATATGGACGCAGACTGGAACGAAGTCGAAGACCAGATTCTGAATAGATCAAGTGCATGGACCATGCTGAAGGAGCCCTTGACGCATCTGCCTCAGGTACGGCCCTTCTTCCGCATCTACGCTTGAGGCCGATGTGACTTGACTGCTTGGGTTGCTCCTAGATCTACTTCACGCTCCGCGCTGCCCAGGCGCCTGCTAGCATCCCGCTCTCACTCGCCTCTCTCAATCTGATCCAGAGCGCGACCGATAGGTTTGCGTTCACTGTATACGAGATCATACGAAGGACACAGTCTGTCGGGCACCAGCTCGAGTCTGTGAAAAAACTGTACGAAGTCGTCAACATCCCGAACCTCGTCAAGGATGGAACTAAACCATTCCCGGAGGATCAGAACCAGATTAGGTCGGGCATCGAGCTCGAGTTCCGGTGAGCCCGCCTCTTCCTCGCCAAGGAAAGTCTTCGCCTTGATACTGACGAAGAGCAGGAACGTGTCTTTCAAATATCCGGACACGGAGAAATGGGCGCTGAGGAGCATCTCGTTCAAGCTTCTCCCGGGACAGCTTTGCGTACGTATTCCCGAGCGATTCACAGTATTTCTGCTCTAAGTGCGCTCGCGCAGGTCATTGTCGGTGCGAACGGTGCCGGGAAGAGCACGATACTGAAACTGACGACGCGCTTGTACGACCCCGACGAGGGAGAGATCTTCTTTGGCGGGCACGACATCCGCACCCTCAAGCTCGACGACCTCCGACGCGCGATCACAGTGCTCTTCCAGGATTACACCCTCTTCCCGCTCTCGGTACGCTCCGTTCCACCCCCATCTCCCTCGAGCTGACACAAGAGCAGATTCGGGACAACATTGCTCTCGGGGACCCTGCCTCGACCAACGCTTCCACCTCTGACGTAGACGAGCGCGTCGAGCGCGCGGCACAGCTCGCAGGCGCCGACGGGTTCATCGCGAAGCTGCCCGACGGGATGAATACGTACCTAGACCGGCCGGTCGACGACGAGTACTCGCCCGCAGTGGAGGGCACGAAGAGGTTCTCGGGCCGGACGGTGGACTACGAGCCGCTGAGGACCGCCGCGGGGATCAAGAGGGCGGGCGCGGTGGCGGGGCTGAGCGGGGGCCAGATGCAGAGGCTTGCTGTGTGAGTGGACGGCATGCGGGTTTGGGAGCTGAACTTCAGAGGCTGAAGGATGTTCCGTCCTTGGGCAGGGCGAGGACGATCATGCGGTCGGTCGTGAAGGAGGACGAGGGGGTGGGCATGCTGTTGTTCGACGAGCCGAGCGCTTCGCTCGACCCTGCTGGCGAGCACGGTACGTGTCCTTGTCGTTGTGGCTTGCGATTGGCCGGCGTCTGCGTAGGGCGGTAGTTTGGTGCTGACGCTGCGCGCGTGCGCAGACCTGTTCGACCGCCTGAGGGAGCTGCGGGGAAGCAAGACGATGGTGTTCTCGTCCCACCGGTTCGGGAACCTGACGAGGCACGCGGATCTGATTTTGTGCGTTGAGAGGCTTTATATTCTGCCATTCCTGGCGTGTCCAGGCTGACTGCGGGCTGCCGCATACTGCAGGTATATGGACGAGACGGGGATCGTCGAGTCGGGCACGCACGACGAGCTGCTGGGAAAGAAGGGCGAGTATGCGCGGCTATGGACGCTCCAGGCTCAGGCGTTCATATAGACGTTAGTTTGACCGAGGAGATTGTAACGACATGGGTTTTTTATGTGTTACTCTTGACAGCTTTCCATAGATGTGAGACACTATACTTGGACTTCATGCAGACCACGAGAGGAGAACGGTGGCTTATCGGTTGAATTCCCATGGATACGGCATGTCGACAGTATCGCAGATTTACGACCCAATTGTGCGATGTACGTTTCTTCCAAATAAAGTCAACTGGCTCGATGACCATGCCAGTAATTTGTGCTGGATGGAGTGGATGAGACTGAGAAAGCACGAAGCTGACAGGAACTGCTGTAGCTTCTTACGCAGTGGCTAACTGAGCTGACAAGGATATCCGTGCCCTTGACTTGACGACTTATTGGATAACGGGCGGCGACATGATAAGATCATCTGGTAGATGAGTTCCAATGAGAGAGCCGACGATCAACTGAGGATAAGCTGGAAGCACCTGCATAGGGATGCACCGTACCGGACTCATGGGATCTGCGTGAAGTGGAGAGGGTAGGGATGCGTGCGATGGCACACCTTACCTATGGTCTATCACGCCACCGCCACAGCGTGCTGAAGATGACCATATTCCACACCGGAGCGCACAGAGACTTGGGAAGGACCTCTGTTTGGGTTCGAGGGAGCCAGTCGGGGCTGTTCCTGTGCGATCAACTGACCACTGGTCTAATGAACTAGGGGTGGCTTCTTGTTACTTGGCTAACTTGGAACGGTGCACGTAGGAGCACCGGAAGAAGGCCGACGGCGGTTGAGTTGGGCCTCGTGCGTGTATTGCTCCTGATGGTAGCCAGTATACGTGTGGCGAGGGTCGAGCAACGCCCCTCTCGTATGACCAAGAAATGGAGGTGGGGTGACATACCAGGCAAATGAAGGAAGGGGAAAATAATGACCTGTACCAGTAAGGGCGAAGGCTCGCGGCAGCCGATCTTGTCATGCGCACCGATAGAGTTGAGATGGACTTGGTCGAGTCGATGCGCAGCATCCATAAGTCGTTCAAGTCTTTCATAACGAAGGCAACGGAAGAGAGGAAGGAGTGCTCCGATGTCAAACCAGGGGAAGACGGCTGGAGGATGATCTGTTCCAGGTTGCTCCAGGCACTGGCGCTTGCCGACCCAGGCATCCCCAGGTTTGTCAGCACGATCGCCGCAGACGTCGTTCCCGATCGCTAGATGTACGTATGTACGTTGCAAGTGCCGGCTAGGGCTACAATATTGGTCTGCTCGAGTGACTACTGCAGTGTGCAAGGAAGGGACAGCGTATGGAGCCATGTATGCAGAGAGCATGGTTTGCAGCTGCCGTTCTCGTCAGGGAGATCTTTGAGGAGAGTGGTGTGGGGAAATGCGCCAATATTTGTTGCGCCTGTGCAGGGTGGCGCAAGCACCGGTCGCGGGGCAGCTATCCGGCCGAGCGGAGCCTGTTTTGGTTACTTTGCCGGCCGAGAGAGAGCGGGGATTGGCGGACGGAGGTGGGGAGTGACGTCAGGAGGGCGAGGCCGTGGTTGGAGATGCAGCCACGGATTCCTTCCGACAGCGAGTACTTACGACTTGCTTCTCCTCCACCATCTCTGCCCCTCTCTCCCAACATATTTTCGCTCTTGCCACCCCCGACATTGCCCACCATGGCAAACCATAATCCCCCCCCATGCCTCTCCGGCCGTCCGGAGGAGTCTTTGGACGACTTTGCCGCTGCTATATCCGCCCGTTATGCTCGCCAGGCTACGTCCCTCATCTCTCTCAACAGCCCATCCGGCTCGACATCCCAGCCATCCAACATGTCCCTCGCATCTCCTCAGCAATGTCCGACAGCCATCCCACAACCTCCAATGCCTTCACTATCCCTTCCGTCGATGCCATCATCATCCGCACTCGGCCCTCCTTCTTCCTCTGCTGCCCTTACCCCCAGCGCGTTCGTCGCCCTTCCTCCATCCTCGTTGCCAGCAGTCCTCTCCGACTCCTCCGCCCTCATTCTCGACATCCGACCCCACAACTCCTACACCCAGGCTCGCATCCCCGATGCCCTTTCTCTCTGCGTTCCGTCCACGCTTCTCAAGCGCCCAAACTTTCCTCTCGCCCGGTTAGCGGATATGCTCCCGACCACCGCCGCTCGGGACAAGTTCTCCAGGTGGCACCAGGCGTCCAGAATTCTCGTCTATGACGCAGACTCCGCCGCACTCCCTCCCACAAGCAACCTCCTCGGCCTCATGCGCAAGTTCCGCAGCGAAGGCTTTCCCGACGACAGGGAGATCGCCTGGTTACGCAGCGGCTTCCACGCGGTTTGGAGAGAACATCCAGACCTCGTCGATCGCCGGCCTCCTTCAGAGGAGCATGACGAGGACGAGCACTCAGGCGAGCCTGAGACCGATGGCGACCCCGCACCCTTGGGCATGTCCAAGACCATGTCTGCTCCGGGCTCCGCTCGCGTGCTCCGCGCAAAGCACCTACCCAAGGCTGCTTTCACCTCTGCTTCCACGATCCCCTTCCGCCCAAAGGTAAGCTTTCAATCCTGTTTATACTCACTGATGGCAGCATGCCTAAGTGGGATCTGGTACAGGGTATACAGCCTCCTCCCAACACTGCCGCTTCAGCTGCGCCATTCCAAGTCGTCCCTCCTACGCCTGCCGTAGCTCGAGAGAATCCGTTTTCAGCATCCGGATCTTCGGCTCTGCCTCTCGCGACGTCTGTGGTGACGGTACCACCTCCGCTTGCAGGCGCATCAATGTCCGGGCCACCCCCCTCTGGCAGGTCGTCAGGCAGGGCAGAGTTTTCTCTCCGTCTACCACCTGGTTCTGTTCGACCGAGGCACGGAGGCGCGGCAGGCACGATGAAGGCCCCCAGCGGTCCTCTGTACAGTATGCCCACGCTCTCACCACAACGTACATCGCTGGGCGCGTATAGGGAGTCGAGCTTCTCGTTACCGGGCAGACAGGTCAGTGTTGTCGGAATACGCGCTGGTCCGGTGTCTCACACTTTCATTCAGGTCGCCTTTAACCCGTTCTTCGATACGATCAGGCAAAACCTAGAGCTCGGGAGCAGGGATGCGAAGAACCCGAATGGTGAGGGCATTCCGCTCAAATTGCCGAGGCGGGTACGACGAAGGGTCGGTGAGCTTCCGTTCGAGTGGCTCCGGCAAATCGCGCGGAAGAGCCGGCATGTCACGGAGAGTAGCAGCACGGATGATGGCGACATCGGGAGCGATAGCGGCAGCCCTAGCAGCGACCCCATGGTGAGGCCTGTGTCGGAACAGCCCCCATTGTCGAGCATGCCTCCCCCGCCTCTACCCTCACGAGTTCCCGAGTCAACGATGGCGCATCGCTCACCGCAAGGCTCCCCGCTCTCATCGCCCTCTCCGCCCCTCCCTGAGCATCCCGGCCGCACTGCCCGTCGCTCATCCATGGGCAGTCACCGGTCGTCGTCTTCAGACCACTCGCACTCGCCGTCCGACGCGGACGACCTGACGCGCGCGCTTGAGGGCCAGTTCTATCAGATCGAGCTGAGCGAGCAGAAGAGGTTATTGGGGGTGATGGAGAGGCACAGTGCTGAGAGTGGGAAGGTTATTCAAGAGGGGTCTGGCGTGAGGGGAGTCGCTGGCATCCCGCCTGTGAGTGGAAGTGAGAGTGAAGCTGGAAAAGGTATGGGCCCAGGGGCTGAGCAGGACGGCCAGAGTGCGGCAGCTGCGGCTGCGGTGGGCGAGGATGCGGTTGCGAGCTTCCCGTTCAGCATCACTGCGGGGCTAGAGAAGGGATCGAAGAACAGGTGCGCGAGTTGCGATCTCATCCAGGATTCACGGGCGTGTGCTGACGGGCTTGATTGAAGGTATCGCAATATCTGGCCGTTCGAGCACGCGCGTGTGAGGTTACGGAAGGCGAAGCCGGACGACGATGACTATATGAACGCGAGCTACGTGCAGCCGCTCGGAACGACGAAGCGGTACATCGCGACACAGGGTCCGCTGCCCACCACGTTTATCGACTTCTGGACGTGAGTCACAGTGGTGCCTCTTATATGACACATCTACTCACTTCGCTGTTTGTAGCCTGTGCTGGGAACAGAATGTTCATGTTATCGTGATGCTCACACGGGAGATCGAAGGCTCGTCAGTCAAGTGCGGCAAGTACTGGGAAGAAGGCACGTACGGCCCCTTACGCCTGAAGCTCATCGAGACAAACGATACGCCCGAGCGCGAGCGCAAGCGCCAGCAGAGCGAGATCGGCGGCGGGTTCTTCAGCCAGCACGTCCAGCAGCAGGTGAAGCCGAAGCCGAAGCGTAAGGTCAAACATAATTCCATGGGAAGGCGCGATGACGGCGACGTCGAGATGAAGGAGAGGGACGACGAGGACGACGAGTCGACGATCAAGCGTGTCTTCGAACTCACCAACACCGCGTACCCGCTGGCGTCTCCCCGCATTGTCACACAGTTCCAGTATCTCGATTGGCCTGATCTCAACGTTCCGGACGACCCGCGTGGTGTGCTACACTTGATGCACCGCGTAGACGAGGCCGTTGAAGCGTCGCGGAGGGCGGACCAAGGTCCGTGGGGTGAGGGCCCGCTCTACCGTACAGACGCACCGCTGCATGGCAACACAGTCGTTACGGCCAAATCCGCTTCTGTGGATGCGATCGACCCGATCACGGGCATTTCGATGCTTGCAAAGGACAACCCACCCGTGCTCCTGCACTGTTCTGCGGGTGTCGGAAGGACGGGCGGGTTCATCGCCGTCGACGCGGTCCTCGATGGCGTCCGGCGCGAGATGCGCAAGAGAAAGGAGGGCTTCGTTCAGGACACTGCCGCGGCGCAGGCGGCATCCGAATATGGGCCGGAACGGTCGAGATCGGGGAGCGGGCGGAGCAGGAGCCACAGCCACAGCCAGTCGAGAAGCCGGGACATGAGCGTCGTGAGCCCCACCCCCGAGCGCGAGGTGGAGCAGAATGAGGCGATGGAGGTAGATCCGTCTCTGCTGGGGTTGGGATCCGAGACGAAGCAACTGACAATGCCCGTTTCGGTTGGCGGTCGTGAGGTGCATGTGCCAGTTGCGGGTTTTGCGGCCTCGGTCCCTATGGAGGTCGACGAACAACAACGCGAAGATGAGCAGACGCAATCGCCAACGGCCGCTGATAAGCAAACGACCTCCGTTCCTCCCCCGTTGCTCAAGGCGTCCCCGGATCTTGTCGAGGAAGTCCGGCGCGCGGCCATTACCGCGTTGACAGCAACATCGATGGATAGTCCGTATGCGTTGACCGCGAACCAGCGAATGGGGTCAGCACGCCCAGTCCTAATGGGCGGTCGGTCAGAGGTCAGCTCCGACTCGCATTTTACGCATGCGGGCTCGCATGGGACGCTGTGGCCACGTTCGCTGCACTCGAGCAGCACTCCGTCCACGAACGCGAGCCAGACGGACACCTCGACGAACTCGATGGTCGGCCAGACGGCGAAGCTGTCCATGTCGACTCCCTCCCCGCCCCCGTCTGGCCCATCTGGGGAGGCTACGTCGCTCTCGGGCTCCGCTTCCGCGTTCCCTACTGCTGCCAACCTGAGGCTCCGTGCGACTTCCCTTGGGTCGGAGGCGTCCCCGAAGCAAACTGGGGAGCTCCCTCCGCCAACGAAGCCTTCGAAGGCTGCCCACTCGTACCGGCTTGATACTTGGCGGTCCGAAGTGCAGTCGTCGGCGGACTCCTCGTCGCGCAAGTCGGGAGGAGTCGTTCCTTCCCTGGCCGCTCAGTCTCGGTCTAACGCTGACAAGGTCGAGGTGGGCGACGCGAGCAGCGGTGAGGAGACGGCACATTCCGGCTCGCCCTCGCCCCCGCTGAAGGAACCGCGGAAGCTTCACGATGATACGTCGCCTCCACTGCTGTCGTCGTACGACGAACCGATTCGGAAGGTCGTCGAGGATATGCGGGAGCAGAGGATGAGCCTATGCCAGAGTCTGAGGCAGTATGTGTTTGTCCATCGGGCGATCATCGAGGGCGCGCTCATGATCGTGGATGAGGAGAAGAGAAGGAAGAAAGCCGAGGACGCGAAACGGCGGGCGAGTGCCGCAGGGGTTCGCGGCGGTGAGGGCGAACCGCGGGCCACTCAAGTCACCAGCAGCGAAGGCGCTCCTGGCGTCTCTTCGCCGTTAGCCTCACCAACATCCGCGCAATCGGCACCCGGTGCACGGGCGACGAACGTTCCTCAGGCCCTCCGGCTGGGCTCGTCGTTTTCCCCATCGTCTTCTGACGATCTCAGTAGTCGCGGCGGCGAACTTCCTCGGAAGCGTAGCGCCCCCGACTCGAGCTTGGACGATCACGTCGAGGCGCTGACGTCGATGTCGATGTCGACATCGATGCCCGAGCTTGAGGTCGACACGACGAACATGGCCCTTGGGCTCTCATCCCCCGGCAGGGCCAAGCGCGGCGCGAGCCCGACGGAGCTGTTGATGGAGGGTCTTGACGGGGGCTTACTGCTCACGAAGAGACCGAGCCTGAAGAGACACGGGAGGCAGAGAACGGGCGACGCGGAAATGTTCCAGTCCATGGGTGCAATGATGGCGGGCTCTCCGCCGTATGCGCCTCCGTCATGAGGAATCTTTCCTGCTCCTTCGGTGTTTACTGCTGGGATGGACGCTCCGTCTATCGACAGCCCAAGTCTCGCCGCACCGTCACGTTAATTTCGGCTCATTGTCTGCTTGTCCGTGTCCGTTGATCTCGCCGTCGCTGTTGCCCTGTTGTTATCCAGATTATGCTTCGTTGTCCATGTTATTTTGTACGTCGTGTCACCTTATCACCTCGCTCAAGCACGGAATCTTGTATCACCACCCTTTGTGCCTTCTCTCGCATGCTCATTAGTTCATGTATCCGCACCTCCCCTTTTTTCCACTCCAGTGCTACGGCCATTGAGTCCGTATCTTGTTTATCATACGAGCATTTCCTCACAATAGTAGTATACAGTTTCCACCACTGGGATCTCCCACCACGCAGGAAGCACTTGTTTGACTCATCATCCGCATTCACAGCCCATCACTCATGACGTCCGTAACATATCCGTCTGTACATGCATATCGCTCTACCACTCGCATAGCCTCTCGATTACTCACGCCTTGCCGCGTTTGCGCGTGGTCAGACGTCTTCATGCTTTTATCCATTGAGATTTTGGCTTGCTCAGATACTCAGCTCTGTAGAACTCCCTCGGACGCATCGCGTGGTGTACTCAAACGCAATTGTTCGCGTAGTGTATCTGTGTAATCAATATCTCTTATCCTCCTGGAGCCTCGATGCGCGATGTAGTCAGCATATCCTTTGGGACATACACCTGGTTAAAACACAGGTTCCGGCGGCGAACCGTACAGTTCCTGATTTTCGTATAGAATCCTCAGCATCCTCTCCATCCCCACACGAGTGGCACTCCGTGGTTTGTCTTCGTCCATATCCACCGACCACGGTTGCACTTTGCCCCGCCGCATTGTCATCAACAACTGCCCTTCGCGGGGTCTCAGCGTCGACAAGGGGTACTCGTGTTTGTTAGGAGGCGGCACTGGTCGAATGGGGTCGCTGTCGAGGAGACGCAGTACCCGGAGTACCACGACGCGTCTCCCCGTGTGTTCAGGTAGGGTTGAAGGCTCGAAGCAACAGATTATAGAGCCTGTGGACGGCCATGATGCATGGTGAGTTACTTGAACGCTGATCGTGGACCAAGGACGGCTACCTTCAAAAGGGAAATAATCCGCCGCCCCTCCGATACCGTCCACAGGAACACGGAAGTTAGCGAGATTTTTGACAGGCTTCCTCACGACGGTGTTCTTGCCGATGGCCAGGCATGCTGCGTTGTAGTCTCCGAGTCGGAGCCTGCACCCTCGCCCGAACGAGCTCACCAGGGCCGTTATGCTGACACCTGTCCTCTGTCGGTAGTTCGCTGTTGTCAGTGTTTCCGCCGCAGATGCGGCGATTTCCAGAAGCTGTGCGGTCACCAGTCCATCCTGGAGTAGGAGTGTATGCAGGGCCGTGTAACTCTTCTTGCCGGTCATGTAGAGAAGTGGTATCTTCCAGGGCATGCCGTACTCCGTGAGCAAGTCAGATCCCTCGGAAAAGCTGGCAGGATCCGGGGAGGGTGTGATGCAAAAGCGGAGTTCTCCTGCGAGCGGGGGGCTATACGGAGGGGTGTGATAGTATAGGAATCCGGCAGTGTTGGGAGGGAATCTGCGGTCTCGAAGTCCCCTCGCAGTGATTCTGGCGAGGGGTCTTCCAAGTGATGTGTTTGAGGCATCTCTGGGATCGGAAGACCGAGCGACCAATGTGACGTTTGGTTGAGTCAGCATGCTGAAGTCTACGTAGTCGCTCGGAGTAAGCTTGGTTGAATCAAGAGTGCAGACTATTCGACGCTGCCACCGTCGCTGCATGCGTTCTGGCTGCGTTGAATCTCTCCCAGACTCGAGGTTCCCGGTTGTAATCTGTCGTGCATGACAGACTGTTGGCTGCTTGCCAGGCCAGTGAGGCGTGTGACGAATGTGTCGAAGACAGGACCTTTGGGAACTCAACAGGGTAATGCGGGATGATGCTACGATAGTCGGCGGCATCTAGATCGAACTCATATTCATCAATTGGAGACTCGATTCAACACTTTTGAATGACTTACAGTGCTGTGACACAGACGTCTCCGTCCAACTACTTCCGCCGATAGCGGTTGGCTTCTACTTAACCAGTGGCAGACCGGCTTGTGCAGCTTACGGGCGGCATTGAGGCGTGGGAATGTTGTCGGGCTTCCGACGTATGTTTTCATGCTCGGACTTCGCTCCTCCCTCCTTCAACTTGCCTTTCACCTTTAGCGTTTGAGATCATATGAGGGAATCCCACACGGCCCAGACACACTGTCTGTTATGTCTCACCTCAGCCATGAAGTACTCTTGGCGGAAAGTCTTCCAAATCCGTGTCATCTTACATACCTCACGTCTCTGTGCATTGTGCCTAGTAGTAAAGTTCCGTCATGACGAGGTACGTCCTCCCGAGGAAGTGATCAGACTGCGATATCCATATACATTGATTCCTGGTTTCGACGTTACAGCCGGGATATTTTCAGGACGATGATCTCATATCGTCCGAAACCTCGCTCCGAGTCCCGCCGTTCTTCGTTGTCATCATACAGAGAGAATAAGCTTCTCTTAGGGACGGCTCCTCGCTCGAGCCCATGTTGCACGGCGCGGAGCCGAAACTTGACATGCTGCAGTCTCTGTCTCTGGAAATCTGCTGGCAGTGCATTCTATTTCTGCCCACATCAGCTGAGGAACTTTGCATCTGCAGCTCTCATGTCACTCTGACTAGCTGGGTTGATCCGTTGTCTGCCACATGGTGCTTGCAACTTGAGAACCACACCTCATCATCCTGTCTCGTGATCGAGCCCATGTTATCACGCCTGTAACATCCATATCCAACAGCTAACCCCGACATCATCAGCGGCTCTCACCCTGTCTTACCCTTCGGGAGCGAGTGTGTCCGTTAGACTCGGGGATGTATGACGCGGCCTTCCGTAGTCCTTTTCGTTCCTACATACTGACCGAATTGGCGACAGCCTCAAACGTCAGGCCCTACCGGGTCGCATGTGTATTTGCTTCCATGTGACTATCTTTGCACCATTTGGCTATTGAGGCATATGGGCTTCGTCTCTCGCGCGTCCCCATCTGGGACAAGTCTTTCCTTCTCTCTGGGGCTCAGAAGGTCACTGCCAGCATTGCCTCCGCGGGACCTTTGAGTGCTATCTGCAAAGAGGCCTGCGACCTTGCGGTTCCGACAATCGCTGCTGACCTTGTCCAGATTGCATATGCTCTCTTATCTGTCTGTCCGGCCCGTTCAGCATCATACGTACTACCTCTTCCTCACCACCGTTTCTCTACGTCACATAGTAGTTGAGTTCATTCGCTCCCGTAAGCCACTGCGATGTCGTGATCCGAGACCTTGAGGTAACCACTCCTCGAAGTAGTAGTTTCGCAAAGCTGATATTGACTTGGTAGTGGCCTCGTATAAATGTGGTCCACTCGAAGACATCTCTCCGTGGGCCGCTCCCCCTCAAAATCTTCCTGTCCACACAAGCGCATCCAATCCTATCTCACACATCAACACCATGTTCGCCACATGCGCCTATCTCGCCCTCTTCTCCTGTCTCGTTGCCCCCGCACTCGGCACGACCTACGCGCAAAGTGACAGCTTTCAGGGCAGCGACTTTCTCTCTGGGTTCATACACCAGGCCATCGCAGACCCTACCCATGGCCGAGTGTAAGTCCCTCGCCTTATGCGCCAAACAGTAAGTGCTAAACAGTGTCTCGGTCGATCGTATAGGAAATATGTCGACCAGGCGACCGCGGTTGCGCAGAACCTGACCTACGCCTCGGGCGAGCGACACGCTCATTCTCCGAGCGGACGACACGACGGTGCTCAGCGCTAGTGACCCCGGACGCAACTCTGTTCGACTGATGAGCAACAACGTGTATTCGAACCATGTGACCATGTGTGTACCTCCGATTGGTCTCGTTTAGCTACTGCCAGACTGCGCTCCTGATAAGACATTGTGAATCTGACGACCGTCTGCGTTGTGTGTAGATGGAACATTCGGCACATGCCTGAGGGCTGCGGGTGAGTCGCTCATGCTTTGTAAGGGGCACATTAAGCTCTCGATACCCTCGTCACTGTCCAAGCTACAGTTCGGGGGTGTGACTGGGATTGATGGGCATAGTCTTGTCTGACATGTTTCTCCGTGCCTGTTTATAGGACTTGGCCAGCGGTGTGGGAGGTTGGCCAGGATTGGCCGAACCAAGGTGAACAATGCTTCGGCCCAAGTTGAGGTATGTATGGGCTCACTGGTAGGCTGTTCGATAGGAGAGATCGACATCCTTGAGGGCGTCAACGACGAAGGGACTGACCAGGCCACACTCCACACGGGCTCTAGTACGTCATCCGCATCATCCTCCCTTCTCCGAACGCTCATGTCTCCCTAAACGGCGCCCCTGCCCTGACAGACTGTACGGTTGGAGGAACGCGCACCATGGCTGGGACCTCTACCGGCGACAACTGCGACGTTAATGCGACGGGCAACAGCGGTTGTGGCGTGAAGTCCAACGACGTATCCTCATACGGCCCTGCGTTCAACGCGGCGGGGGGCGGCTTCTACGCAATGGAGCGCTCAGACGCGGGCGTGAAGGTCTGGTACTGGTCGCGGAACAGTGGGTCGATCCCGAACGACGTGCTGAACGGCGCGGCGAACGTCGATACGGACAACTGGGGAACGCCGTTTGCGGACTTCTCGAGCACCTCATGTGATATGGCGTCGCACTTCGGGCCGCATAACATTGTTATCAACCTGACGTTCTGTGAGTATGGATATACGTGCTCTTCATCTGCTGAATAGACTGACGAATACTTCGGATAGGCGGCGATTGGGCTGGTGCGGTGTTTGAGGCTGATGGATGCCCTGGAGACTGTACTAGTGCGTATGGTCCCCCTTTTCGATCGCTTTTCCCAGGAACTCATTATATATCTTTGTATAGCATACGTCGACGAAAACCCTAGCGCATTCGCAAACGCATACTTCGACGTTGCATGGCTCAGGGTTTACCAGTAGGAATCGACTTTCGTTTCACCCCATCTCCTTCTCGTGCGCTATTGCGTCTCAAAGAATTTTGTGGCACTTTTCGGGCACTAGAGACGAAACGGGAGGCCTTTTGGGTGGCTTGTCTCAGTACTCTTCGGAAAGTTGTGACTTAATGTTACCAACGCTTGCGTCTTTTCTGGACTTTACACTGCTCCAGTTGGTCCTGAATCAGGACGTCCGAGATATCTTCTCGGCACTTCCGAGCTAGATCCAAAATTAGCTGATCCGTCTCTGGTTCAGCCGCAGGAGCCCTGGTTCCTGGTGACAACGAGCAATCATAACCAAAGCTTTGAGGCTACAATCCGTCAAACCCTTGTTGCAATATAGGTTGTACAGGGTTTATTGCTGCCTCGTCTGTACGCTGACGGCGCAATCAATGATGTTCTGTTCCAGAGAATGCAAACGCATCGACTGAATGTCCTCAAGCTGCCATTGGTAATGTGCTCGAGAACACTGCTCCGCTCAGGTGCTTAGGGGAAAGCGATGTTCATACCATGAAGCGGTTATTGGAGAGGCATAAGCTAAATTCAATTCGACAGCATTGTGTACCATTCATTCGCAAAGAAGGCAAGATCTGGATAATGATGGGACAGGCAGAACCACCTGAACACGTCTAGCGTAAGACGGTTCTGGGAGACGTACGCTCATCCTACGACGAACGACGCGCATTCTTCGTGAAGAAGTACCAGAAGAGACTCAATGTAACCGCCCTCGGAAGCCACAGGAGCACCCGGTACAGGGTCACTTTCGCTCCCGATACTATCTCCCTCGGGACCTTCTTCTGCAAGCTCCTCCTGACAACCTGCCGTGCGTACGCCTCTGCAGGCGTCGCGTCCGAAGTCTGGCTCGCGTGGATGCGAGCGACGATGTCCGTGAGGTACCGCTTGTACAGCGAGCCCTCCGGCAGGCCCGGAAACGCCGCGGCCTGGTTATCGGACAGCTTCGAGCGGATGCCGCCGGTGGTCACTACGAGCACGGAGATGTCGTGCGGCTTGCATTCCATGTAGAGCACGTCGGAGAGCGATTGCACCGCCGCTTTGGTGGAGCCGTAGATGCCGGCCCACGGCGTGGGGCTGACCCGCGGCGGCGGCGGGGGGACTACGCGTCAGCTTCTCGCGCTTTTGGAAAGGGACGGGGCAGACGTACATGAGCGCCCCGATGGAGCTTATGTTGACGATGGTCCCGCTCTTGCGGGCGGCCATGTGAGGAATGACGGCCTTGCACATGCGGATGATCGAGAAGACATTTGTGTCGTATGTGCGCTCGATGACGTCCATAGGCACCTCAATGACGGGTCCTTGAGTAGGGTTAGCACCGATAGCCAGCTCACGAGACCCAGCCCGCACCTACGCAGAGGACGCCAGCGTTGTTGACAAGCACGTCGATTCGCCCCTCTTTCTGTATGATGGTCTGCACGACCTCGTGCACATTATCTTCCTTCGTCACGTCGAGGGAGAGTTTCTCGATGTTGGGGGCGGTGAAGGCGTCTATGGACTGCAGCCGCCGAGCGGTGGCGTACACTTTGCAGCCCTGCCTGGCGTATTCTTCGCACCTGGGCGGTTCGTTACGAGTTATACGGGGGAAGATTTGCGAACAGATGCTTACAGAGCAAAGCCGATGCCACCATTAGAGCATCCTGTAACAAGAACAACCTCTTGTGAAGTGGCCATAGCCAGACAGCGTTCGCTAAGACCATGACGATTATGAGTAGGCAAATGAGAAGATCTATCAGCGATACCCCTCAAGCGTACAGGCTTATGATGTGTGTCGATACTCCTCGACCTATCATTATGGAAGCAGCCAATCCGTCAGTATTCAACCGATTCTGAGCTCTGGGACCTGCTTCCGACCTCAACTAGAGCAGACTTGGACGCAGTGCAGATCAAAAGCCTCTTGTAGAACACTACTGAGTGAGTGACCGTTTGTACAAGGTGTCGCTGAGAGTCAGGAGTTAGCTGAGAAAGCCGGGCAGCAGAGAACGTTGCCGCATCATCGTGCGGCCCTGAGAATGGCGGAAGTGGCAGTGCAGTTATTTGTAGATATTGAGATCATGTGTGGCTGGTAAGTACGTTGCGACACATATCAACGAAGAGGGTCGTCAGTTGAGTGCCCGTGCCGTTTTAAGACCAATTCCGAGGACCCACACCGTGCGGCTTACCGACTCTTGCTGACACACTATCGCAGACACACCTCGGTACCAGTACTTACCGCCCTGCGCTCGGGAAGTCACTTGAATTTGCGGTTCTCGATGTTCAATAGGAAATGCCATACGTGTGATTGAAGGCAAGCTAGCTGTATGCAGCATGTGGAGCCGAAGGACACTCGACTGTCCTTCTATCGAGGATATGAACACTACATGTGCACTGGCATATGCGTCGAGGGTCGTGGTGTCCGGACGCAAGTGATCAACACCAGAGCCGGCATTCGAGCATCGGATGATGCTCAGTTCATGTAGACAGGCAGAAGGATAGAGAGGTCCGATTGATACGTCTGAATATGCGACAACGTTCAATACAGGCAGGAAAGATGACCGCGCTTTGTGATAATGGTACCCTGCACGTCTCCGGACGCACGCCCACAGACCGGGTCTGGGTAGAAGACTGGGGGACAACAACCGCCTAGATCGGTATGGAGCTCCGGATATGGCCCAACTTGCTTCCAACGGACCTGGGTCACCGGAAATTAGGCAGAGATCTCTCATACAAACATGGGAGCCAGCTTACCGAATGCTTCGAGGGCGAGAGAAGAAGACATCCGCTGCCGTTCTCATGGGCCGGTGAGCCGACGAGACAAGGGGGAGCCACCCCCAAAGTCCGCGGCCCACCTAACACACACGATCAGGCAACGACGTCTCGGAGGACTCCCGAAGACAGATGCTAGTGGCCACAAGATGTGACTATCTTGGGTAACTTTACATCCTGCAGGCGGTCGTCAGATATGCCACCTTTACTGCAGTTGCAAGAGTCGACATCAGGATATAAAGTGTAGTTACCGAGCTGAACTCCTTGATCACCACCGTGCGCTATGCTCTGCCTTGCTTAACGCATAGTGATAGGAAAGGTGGTGGTGTGCTTGGCTCAGCTGGTGGGCTGGGAAGATGGTCGAGGTGACTGTGTCCATGTCACCGAACGACGCTACGGATGAGCGAAGACGAGGATCAGGGCCACGAGACCGGGGAGACATGAGACGCGACATACCAGACTGGTATATAGTGCCGTGAGGACAAGCCGGAGGAATACGACCGCATATGATACTGCGTCTACTCGGTGTATGTGGGGAGTTGTTACGTGAAGGGGTTTGACCGGCGGGATAGCATGAGATGCAGAGAAGGTGGTGGTAGGAGTGAGGAGACATCGTCTTATGATGCAGGGCTATATACTGCTCGAAGAGCTGGCTGACCGGGGTTTGCCGCGGCTGGCATCTCGATCCCTTCACGGAGGTTGGCCTGTCCGTCGTGTGACGGTGGTTCCGGACGAGGTCCATGATGCCGAATGAGGCAGGTGCTGTGGTTTGCACGTCAAGATCGCACCTCAACGTCCAAGGAGCTGGGATGCAGCCGTATACTCCCTTCATGTGATTCTTGGTCCATGTGAAGCTAACATACTCAAGCGCGACCCTCATTTCCTTTGTACTTCTACGCTGGGCGGATGACCGGATGCGCTGAACTGCCGCACGAAGTAGAATGGCTGGGTTTCCCATCATACCACGGTGCATCCATCGATATTCTACTGGGAGCTGGTCCGTGAGCGCCCTTCGACGGTAAGGCAGCAGTGCTCCTGCCGCACTATCCTCTTGAAGATTGAACTGCCTAGGGATAGTTAGTGCCACTGTCGCTAAGAGGAATACGTCTGGATGGCTCACGTTCGGTAAAAGCCAGCTAACGTCACTTCGGCGGTTAGGAGCGTTGGACATTCACCAAGAGTTGGAGCATAAGGTCATATGCAAGCACTCAGTCCCTCGATTTCGCGAGCTGAAACAATTTGGGATAAAAGTCTCGCCATCGCGGTCGTGTCATGGACCAATGCCACTACTCTGGGCGGCTGGGGATACTGAAATTGGCTTGGCTCTTGCTATAGCAAATGGGGCCGAGAAGCCCGTCCGCAGATGTAGGTGCGGATGTCTGATCATGTTGATAGTCAACTGCCCGTCAAAGTGAAGAATGAACATGTAAAAGGCAGCCATATCGCAGGGTGTTGACTGACCTGGACCCACGTTCGCTACCTCAGGCCCCAGGAATACCTTCCCTACGGTCCCATCGGCGTTGTATCTGCACTACGACCGTCATGCTGTTAGCCTCGGACACTTCCCTACTGGTAAATGTCTATCGTCACGCCGTTTAGGCTGTGTGCAAATTCAGTGCAATAACCGAAAGCAACAGGTGGGAGTCATGGTGCGTAATATAGAGAGCATACACGGAGCGGGGGCGCGCATTAACCATGCGAATCTGTCAGAACGCGAACAATGACATGAGCGTGAGTGGGAATGCGTTTGTGGATGCAGACGGAAGGTGACGTGGGGCGAGAGGGGTCGTGAATGGTGGGAAAGCAGTATCGACGACAACATCACCCGACAGTCAAAATTGGGTGGATCTACTGGCAGGGTGGTCCGCGTAATGTAACGCCCATCGTATAGCAACAACGAAAGAATCTGGGGCAGTACGGGAATGATAGTAGGCCAACAAGAGCACGAAAGGAACGAGAGAACGCTAGAGCCCGCAAGTTCAAGTTCCAGTCAAGCACTTGTGAGGTAGTATGGTGATACAAAGGATGTCGCAGTAGTGAATTAATATACTTGATTGCATGTTTACTGTTCAACTGATATGTATCAGTAAGAGTAAGTAGTTGACATAAGGGGCTAATAACCGTGCAAATCCGCTCCGCTTGGCCGAGGTTCCCTTGTTGCCCGGCGACGATCCTTCCCGTCTACTCGCCGACGTCTTGCCCATGAGCACCGCGCAACTCGTACGGTATGCGCACGGTTAAGCTGGTTGTAATTGGTGCCTCAGGCGTCGGCAAGTCCAGCATCCGTAATCAGGTCCGTCGTTCTGGCAAAACACTTACTCTCGGCCGGGATATCAACACCCTTCTTTGCGTTGCAGTATATCTCTGGCCGATTCACAACAGGCTACAGGGCCACTATTGGCGCGGATTTTATAACAAAGACTCTGCCGCACCATAACTGTCCGGACGAGCAGGTCACACTGCAGATATGGGTGCGTCTGCTCGTGCGAGTCGTCTGCGCGTGCAGCCCTGACCCTCACATATCAGGATACGGCAGGTCAAGAGAGGTTCTCCGGTCTCTCGTCGGCCTTTTTCCGTGGTGCGGACGCGGTGATCCTCATGTTCGACGTAAATCAGCCGCACACGCTTGGGGCTCTGACAAAGTGGTGGGACGACTTCCGCGACAAGGCCCCCGTGTCGGATGAGCGCGTCGAAGAGTTTTGTTGTGTCGTTGTCGGGAACAAGACGGACATTGCGCAGGGATCAGTCGCGGAGGGATCAGGATCGAGGGGAGGGGGAAGTGGGACGGTTACCGAAGCTGAGGCAAGAGAGTTCATTCAGACCATCGTTCCCCATCCCACCACCCCGCCTTCGCCGACTATCGACCTCGCGCCTCCAGATGTCCCTTTCGAAGACGAGGATATCTCCCCGCATCTCGACGAGGACTTCCTCGACAACGACCCGGCTGCGCCCCGGTCTGACTCCATCAACATAGGTTCCCCCAACGCGGGACGCCGACGTACATCGCGCAGCTCTCGTTCCCGAAGTCGTTCGACGCTCTTCCACGGAGGAGGTACTGTCGGAACGATGACCACCACGCACTCAATATACCACACTCCTTCCTCGTCTCTATTCGACACCTTCCAGTCCGCTCTGTCCTCCCCCGCGCTCACTGCACTGTCTGCACCGCAATCCCGCTCACCCTCCCACTCGCCATACCGTTCGCCACGTCGCATGCCCTCGAGCTCGTCCATCTCGTCGGTCCCAACAATCACACCCAGCCTCTTCGTCCGCGGCCAGGCAGCGACCACGACCGCCACTACGCCCGAACTCGGCGTTTCCCCCTCGAACTCGTACGTGCCTCCACCGCCTCTCGAGCGCTATCCGAAGCTGTTCTTCACGTCAGCAAAGACGGGCGAGGGCGTGAAGGATGTATTCGAGTACATAGCGCGGCGCGTCGTCGCCCGACAGGAGTACGAGGAGGCGCTTGAGGCGCGCACCATGCACATCCAGGAGGCGAACCAGCGTAACAGCATCCACCTGTCTGGCCCGCCTCCGGATAGTAGACTTGCTGCGCTAGGGGGTTCATGTTGCGGGTCGTGACGTCAATCTGAACATTGAAGTTGTCGAGGGCGGTCCGTCCATTTATTCGTCGCTTTCCTTTTTTTTAACAGAGATTTATTCCCTGTTCGTCTCGAAGGCTGTGGTCCCGCTTGATCGCGTTGTTATCTGTAACCGTATTGTAGGCTACTCATCGCTATTGTTATTTAGGGATCTTGTTTATGCTGTATCTACGCTGCAATGCCTATAAGCCAGACTAGTTGTGTTGCCGCTGATATTCATGCCCGTTGCCTTTCGTGCCCTCGCGAACGAGGCTCGCCAGGCCATTTTATGACCCTCGCATATCGCTGGATTCCTGTGTCACGACAGCGCAACCAAGACCGTGTACTATCGGCTGGGTTGTAGAACACCCGAGGAACGCAACTACAAGTGGATTCCGTGCGCGACAACACCGGCATCCCTCTTCAAGGGACGCTGTAATGAGGGCGACTGCACTGATCCAATTCCCAGTACTCCTCTGCGCCCTCGACCGACCAGATCCGGCTAGGCTCGAAGGTGCACACGTGCTCATCCAGCCGCGATACCGACGAAAACACCTGCACCAACGCCGCCAAAGGGGCGAGCATGGGCCCGAAGCCCCAGACGCGTTGTCCACCGATGTCCACGATTACTGCGATTGCACGGACCGCGAGAGTGTGGATGGGACAGCCTAGTCGGGTCCGCGTGACGAGCATATCAGTAAGATCCGACACGCACAAGTCGTCCGACTTGATTGCGTTTGGCCACTCGATGTTGAGGGTGTGCAGCGCGGGACAGAGGAGGGGTTCCTGCGAGAGGACGGAGCGAAGGATAACGACGGGCGGACGGGCCGTGGGGGCAAGGGAAGCCTTGTCCAAGCTCACGGCGAGTTCCTTGAGCTGTACCATGGGGCCAAATATCGTATGCCAGAAGTTGTGGGTACCTTGGATATGAATACGGAGCGTAGTGATATTTGCGAGTTCCAGACGGTCCGGGATGACTGATGTCCACGCCTGCCAGTCTACATCGATCTCCTCGACGTCAGCAAGGACCCAAAAGCCCGCCACGTGGCTTTGTGCGATAAGGAGAGAGTATTCGTCGGTAAATTGCATGTCCATGGATGTAAAGGGATGATGCATTACGTCCAGAGACCCAGGCAGAAGGGGGCTAGGATGGGCGGAGTCGATGTCCATGTTGTGGAGGCGTACGAAGACATCGTGAGGCAAAGTGATCCAGGACAGAATATTGCGCACGGATACGTAGATACAAGAGTTGAGGACCAAGGTACGTATATGTGGAAGGGGTATGGGCACTGCAGGCGGTGTTCAGGTTTCCGCATCCGCCGTCTCTGATCGCAGGCCCTCGAAGGAGAAGTGTTCCAACCTCAGCATGTTGGACAGCAAGTAGAGAACGTCGTTCGTATGAGGACGGAAGTTCTCCACATGTGTATTGAAGAGGAAATGCGTCAGATTAGGGAAGTGATTCGTCGGGATCCAACTAACGGTCGGGGAGATTGCAAGTGCAGCGTGCTTTCAACGACTCGGCATGTCCATCGAACAGTTCCCTCCGAGATAAGCCGCCTCCGAATACATGAATGGGGTATTCGTCTGTTGATATCGTGAGGCATTCAATGCGCGTGGATCGGAAGCGCAGTAGCTGCTGTACATCCTGGGGAGTTACAGTGAAGCCGAGATCGAGTCTGCGAATCCGCGGGCCATGAATTGGGAGGATCCTCGCGGCCAGTGCTTTGCAGCGCTTTTCAAAGGCGGAGTAGCTTTCCGTGACGCTGCCCCATTCCTGCATAGCCAAGAGCAACGAAATCGGAAGGGGATAGGAACGATGGCAAAACGCCTCCAACTGACCCTTGTGACGCCCATCCACGAAGGTCCAGAACCCGGGTGTTCCCAACATGACCTGCCGCCAACGTCGACAGACAAGGGTAAGTGTCAGGAGAGGGCCGGGCCTTCTATCTAGGAGCCTTCGGGTTTTCACGGGAAACGATATGCGTTCTCTGCCCCCATTGTCTGCAACGACGTGACAGAAATTCATGATGAGAATCTCCGGCGGCAATTTGAGCATCGTAGACTTGAGTGTATTCGTGTGGCTGAGGAGAATTGAGAAGATGGTCCGGATGCCAAATAACGAACTCGCGAGCTATGTGCACGTCAGTACTTCAGCAAGGTCGCCATATTGCTCGCGGTATTCACCTCTTGTGAACTGTAGACCGTCAACCGTGATTCAGTCTACAGAGTGGCTGCAAAGGATGCAAACAATACCTGAAGCCTGATCCGTGAATGTTCACCGCCACTACGAGACTGCGTATACGTGCCACGATGTCCGCATAACCTTCGGCCGCGCCGGCGTCGTCGCAGACCTGCTGTGTTGTTCCCGTGGTCATCACCGAAGATGTTGAGTTCTGTCGTCACAACGAAAAGAATGAGCTACTGAAGTCCAGAGAGAACAAGGCATTGAGTCAAGGCGCGGACCCGGCTACACTTTTTGACACAGCGGCGGCTGGGCAACGCCGATTAGCCGTCAGTTTGGTACTTGCCGAACACGTTCTTGAGGCTAGACTTGGCGTATTGCACTAACGACCTCAAGCATATCAGCCCACTGCATGGAACCCGCCTTCTGCTAGGCACTCTAATACGGTCATGCTGTTTGTGAGCGTAACGAACAGCTCAGGGCGCACACGCCTACAAACGTAGTCAATTCGGGGGCTATCCAGTCAGCACCCCACCGGTGCGGTGGGCATTGTTCGGCGTGACGTGATACAAATCAAGCGAATTGCGCGACTGTAGCTTATCTAGAGCGGTGACAATAGTACTGTGAACATAACATTATAGCAAGACACGTACGGTACATACGATCCCAAGACACCCTACACCCGGTTAGGCAGCAAGGGCGCCGACCTTCTTCCTCACCACCCTCGCCTTCTCCGAGCCCCTTCCCTTCGACTTGCCGAACACCACAACTTTTCCGCTCTCACCGGCACGTCCCGAGCGGCCAGCACGGTGAAGGAAGTCGACCATGTTCCGCGGCTCGTCAACGATGAAGACATGCTTCACATCCGGCGAGAAGTCCAACCCACGCGACAGCAGCGACGTCGTGATCATCACGTGAGGGACCTCCTTCAAGTCGTCCATCGACCCCGCGCCCGTCGCAGGCGTGGCGGCAGGCGCACTGGCGGAGTCGGAGCGAACACGAAGCAAACCGTCGAGATGGTGGTTTGACCCGCGTTTGCGCGCGTCGCCCGCGCTGGTCAGCGCGACGTTCGCGATGCCCTTCTCGCGCAGGTACGCGCCGAGGTTCTCCACGCGCGCGCTCTTGTTGCAGAACACGAGCACCTTTGATTTCGTCCCTGTCTTCTCCATGTCCTCGTACCACACGCGGCGGAGGCGGTGCTCGATGTCCGCGTCCCGGTTGCCGCCCGTCCAGCTGAAGTGCTCCGTCTTCAACGAGGAGGGCAGCTTGTGCAAATTGGGGGACGCAAGTCGGGTAAGAGAGGGGTGAAACTTGTCAAGAAAAGCCGCGAGCGAGGACGGGATGGTAGCGGAGGTGAGGACGAAGTTGAAAGGGTAGCTGATCGGCGTCGGCTGCCCCTTCGTAGAGAGGTCCAAGTTGGGGTCAAACGGGACCGGGTGACCGCGCGCATTAGAGACCTCTGCGAGAATCGACCTCGTTGCTTCCTGGAAGTCGGGGTCTACTTGGAATCAGCCCAGGGATTCTCCATCCCTTCCGTAACGTAAACACTCACCGAAGAGGACGTCCGCCTCGTCTACGACAACCCACTCAACACGTCCAAGTCCCATCTGAGGCTCACCAACCGTGACCTTCCTCCGCGGACGCTTATCCAGGACCTCCTCGGCTTCATGGTCCCATCCGCGTCCACGCATCAATTCAAGGATCTTCGCCGGCGTGCCAACCACGATATCAACAGGATGGATCTGGTCCGCGCGCATCATGAACTCGGACGACACCTCTAGCTCGCCATCGGAGCCCTCAACCAGCACGTCCGCCATCTTCGCCGCAGAAACGTTCTTGCGAGAAGCCGTGTTCGCGCGCGACGCGCACAGCACGCGGAGTTTGACGTGGTGGAGGAGCTCCTTCGCGAACCCCGACAGCTGTCTAGTGAGCTCGTGTGTCGGAGCGAGGACGATAGCGCGGGGGTTCACCGCCCGACGGGGTGCGTCAGGGTCGGCACGCTGGGTGTTGTTCAGCTCGGACTGCTTGAGATCGTGCAGCATCGGCAGGAGATACGCAATAGACTTTCCGGAACCGGTCTCCGAGGCAAGGAGGTGCTCGTGGTATCGTGACGGTTGGGGCTCATTGAACAGGTGCTTGAGCGAAAGGGCTTGTATGGGCGTCGGGCGAGCATCCGGACCGAGCACGCCATGAATGGACTCCAGAAGACCCTCCATGAGAGGCGGTGAGGTGAACTTGTCTGGCAGTTCCTTGGTCGACACGGAACGCCTGGATATGTCGAACTCATCGCTCAGGGGATTGACGATCTTCGGCTTGATCGGCGGCGAGTCCGATTGCAGCATATCCTGGCTGCGAACGGGGGAGAGTTTGAGAGACGGGGGAAGGTGACCTGGCTCGTTTCGCTTTTTGTGGGCTAGCAAGTCTTGCTCTCTCGTCCCTCGTCGCTTAGGAGGATGGTGTTCCCTGAACGGGGAACGACCGATGTGAGGTGCTTGCTCACGCTCCGGTGGAGGTGCTACTTCGAATCTGCCGGCCTTGCTCCCAGCAGCGGGACGCAAGTTCTTGACAAGACGCGTGCGGGACGGTGCGCTGCCTACAGATAGGCAAATTTGTGGTCAGCGGTGTGATGAACAAGTGCTTCAGAAGGGAGCAACACAGCGCAGGACCGCTAAAAATCAAGGTTGTACCTCTCGTAGATCAAGTCGCAAGCTACGCAGAACGAGGATCTAGTTGACCACGCTCAGGCCACCCGCTCAAACTCAACCATGAATGGTGGAGCCGGGACAAATTCCTAGATGGCGCTAAGCAATGCTCACTTGGACAAATGTCCTCCCTCCGGTGCCTCCAGAATAGTGGGAGGTCAGGGTGAACACTTCTGACGTCGAATCTAGACTGTTCTAATACAGAATCGGGGGCGTGAAACACATAAAAACCCGAAAGAGGTTGACCAACAACACGCTTGGCTCCAGGGTGATTCTTCATACGAATGGGTACGTGGATGCTTCGTCAAAGCAGAAGCAGAACCAGCGAGTCTGGAGCCAGAAGCTCTTCCCGAGTCGCTTTTGCCAAAGCGACAACTCTGCCTTGAAACGCTTGAAGTGCACGCTTCCCGAACGGATTCGAAGAAAGCGATTCTGGAGTTGAAACAAAACCAGAATCGCTGTCAGAATCGGCCACTCTGACCTCCCCTGATCATGAAGAGCCTCGGCCACTAGCACGGCGCGTGCCTTGGAACTACGGTCGCATCCTTGCAAACGCAGTGATATCTTCGTGCACACGTAACAAGTGTGCATGACAGTGTATTAAAAGGTGGGGACTCGCGAGCGCTCACAAATCCCCTAGCACGAGTCTCCCCCAACTAAGTGCTTCAAAGGGTTCCCCCTCCCCCCGAGTACACATACGAGAGCTCCTATAGCGCCTGATGACCATATACTGAGGTCACACAACAGATAGAAATGCTTACCATTGAACGGTGCAGACGTGTGGAAGCAAGCTACGACCAATTCTGGGGGAAGACTTGCCACCCTGGCCGCGACACGACTTGAAACCAAGAGAGACATTACCCGCACAGCAAACGATCAAGCACAGAATAGCAAGCACAGAGTACTGAAGAGTTCAGTGAAGCATCCGGCACAAGTCGAGACAGTGCGAGCGAAAGGATGAGAAGGAACAAGTCAGCGCCAGGCAACTCTGCACGAAGTTTGTAGGCGCGGGTGGGCCAGCGGCCCAAAAGGACTCGGACCCCGAGTACCACCACAGTACTAGCAGCGCTCAGCTCGTCGCTACGTTTTCTTACCACAACGTCCAGGTCACCGCCGTCCCCTCGTCCTCCTCACCTACCCACCCCACCAGAACCCTGCCATGGCCCGCCGCGCACCCGCTGCTGTATCCCCGTTCGGCGTCCCGCAACGTCGCGCTATCCAGGACCCCAACGAATCCGCGTTTTCCCGCTTTCTACGGGAGGAGATCTTCTCGCCCGAGAATATCGAGGGCAACCTCAAGATTGTCACCTCTGTTGTGGTTTTCTTCGGGGGAATCGCGGCGATGAGGACATGGGGCGAGCTCATGATCCCGGCATGAGCGAGACCCACTCTCCGGTGCCTTGGGAGGCGGAGGTATGGAGGGAGTGCAGTGGGGGTTTGTTGACGTCAGACCTCTTTCCGATGCCGGACACGCAAGTACGTACCCTGTCTCAAACTTTGGCTTTCGCCGCGGGACTCACAGCATCGCACAGAATCGTATCATCGCTCGTCGACCACGGCCGTTCAATCGCCCTGTTGGGGAACTGGCAACACTGTACTCATCGTTCACGGTCGAATTGCACGCTATCATGTATCCTAAGCCGTCATAATTGTCCTCTGTCAAGCCATCACACCATCTCAATATCTTGCCCTTTTGCATCCGCCATCCTTGGACGCTTCCCTGAATTAGGTGACCGATACTCATACCATCTCTTGTTTTTGCAAATCGTTCTAAAGGACACCACGCAGGATGGTGTCCGTAACAGTATAAGAGAGGATCATTACAAGAATAAGTAGGGGAGACGAACCCTTGCTTGCGACTCACACTACATTCATCCAGCAGCTCTACATTAATCCACTTCATAGAGGCGGCATCGGTCTGTGACATTACGCAGTGATTGACAACAAGAGCGTAAGCATCCCAGAAACGCGATCCGTAAATCAATATCACGACCATCTGCGGGACATGGAACACCATTAAATCCAGTCTGAGTAGCGTGTGCCTTCATCGACAGTAGACGGATGGTGATTTGATTGGAGCCTCGGGGTAGTCATCCGCGACAACATTGAACATGCTTGTTTGCGCGCCCATACTACCGCTGGGAGCACAATACGGGCATGTCCGTATCTTCTGGTCGTATTCTGGAAGCACAGGACATATCCTCTAAGCTGCACATGTCCAACACATAGAGCTTGAGCTCGAGGGCATGGAAAAGGTACTTGAGAAGTAAGCGAACACGCTACAACATACACGGACCAACCATTATGGTAACGAGTAATGACCCGCGGCCACGACACAGGGGGAAGCTGAAGTGACAGTCCTCCCCAAAAAAGCGAGGCCGCAGGAGAGGGACCCAGATGGCTACGAGGGGGTGAAGCAGAGAACGAGACTAAACATGTACACATGCCCTAAGTGCGGAAGGAAGTCGAGTGAGATGAGATTGAGGAACGACAGTCCCGCCAAGTGAGCGCATATTCGCCGCAGCCGCCTCAGGACCTCAATTAGTGAAAGAGTCGCCTGGACCGCTCGCGGTCCAGCACTCAGCATGGAAGGAGGTAGACGGTGATAGCGGAAGATGAGGAAAGGGGGAGAGTGAGGTATACATATCAGAAATCGTCCGCATCGTCCATGAGCACGCCCTTAATCCCGCCGCTCTGAGTCCGTCCGCCGTCGCGCGCTTTCGCCGTACGCATCTGCGGCACCCGCTTGCCCTGCATTTGCGCAGGAGCCCGCTCTGGCTCCTCGTCCTCGGGGTCGCCTGCCGGGAAGGGGTACTGTACCTGGGATTCTGCCTGCTGCGAGGTCCGCGGGGCCTTCGTCGAGCCACCACCAGAAGAGCCCTTCTTCGTCTTCCGTCGTGTCGTCTTGCCTGTCCCGGTCGTGTCTTTACTCGCGGTGGAGCTTGTCGAACGGGCCGCTGCGATGACTGGGGGAGACTCGGGACTGGAAGACCCTCGAGCCACAGGAGCCGTCTCCGACAAAGGTAAGTGCGGGTCCGAGAACTCCGGCGGGTCAGCCCATTCTTCGTCGTCCTCGTCGTCGAAGCTGAGCGAGTCCTGCGTGGACTGGTTAGAAGCGGCGCGCTTCATTCGCTCGGGCGCATCGATGTCGAACGATGCCTTGCCGGCGCTGGGCGTGAGGGGCGCAATGGGATCCTCCTCTGTGCCTACCTCTGACCCAACGGACCCGCCGACGGCAGAGCCTCGAATGGAGCCCGCGGGAGAGTCGCGCGGCGAGTTACCGAGAGAGAACTCGTCGTCGTCGGGCATGTCGATGTCGGGTTCGGATATGGACTCAAGGCCCATGTCGTCCGAGTCCGAAGGGTAGTGTGGTGGCTCGTTCGCAAGTGAGAAGATGGACTTATTGGTGCGGAACAGCTGTTCATGCCAGAGACGTCGTCAACCGCTGTATGGGCTCTACATATGGATTGCGCACACACCTCCGTTATCCTCTCTTTCAGATCCAGCCATTCGGCTTCGTCCTTACACAGGAAGCCGAGTAGCATGCTTGGGTCTAACCCAGAGAGCGGCATCTTGCGGACACGGTCGCAGTGGAAGGTTTTCAGCTCTGTCTGGGAGTACGCAGTGACATAATGACGTTGCAGGGGGTCCAGATCCGCCCCAAGCCCGAGCTCGCGCGAGTCCATCTCCGCCGAATCGTCCGGCAGGACACTGGCGGATTGCCATCGGGTGTGTATGTTGTTGTTATATTGTGAAGAGTCCGAGGTAGAGGCGGAAGAAGTCGAGACCTGTTGCTGAAGTGGAGACGGTGCCAGCGTGGGAGAGCGGTACGAGAAGGATGAGGCAGATCCCGTACTAGAGGTCGAGCGAATAGACATGGGTGACGTGGGTGAACGGACATGGTGGAGAGTGCGATACTGCCGCTCCCTATCGGAGGCGTACGCTTCGGGAGACGACTGTCGCTCGTAGACCTCGCTGGGATCGCGAGGTGGAGGGCGGAGAGGGATAGCAGGGCGCGCGTGGTGGGGGTCGAGGTAGAACAGGTTATCGGCCTGAGAGCCGACGAAGTAGTATGAGGAGGAAGGGCGGCCGCCAGCGATGCCGACCGTTTGGGGGAAAGTATACAATGTCTACGGAGCAAGATAAGCGTCGATGACGTTTCTCCAAGTCGGATCATTTACCTTGATAGTGTTATAGTACAATGGATTCACTCCTTCGATACCAAGGCGAATGCCGATGAGTATGAGCACAGCGCGATCGCCCCATTCCATACGAGGATGACCGTGTCTTCTAGTGGAATAGACGGACGAGCGCGAGGCAGCGTACACATCAGATTCGTAGAGGGTACTGTCGGAAGCGACCGCGACCCCGAGGCCAGCATCAGGGAAACTATGTACAAGAGTCCTGGTCATGAACAACCTTGTCAGCGTGGGCTCACCGCGGGCTGATGACTGCGCAGCGGAGCACGTAGTACAGATAGCGCGATTGAAACAATACGTACTTGATCGCTCCAGCAGCAGTGCTGGGACCGAACCACTGTCCGACTTCTTTCCCGAGATCCTTGCCAACCAAGGCCATACGGTGAACGCTGAACGGACAAAGCGGCGAAGGAGTGTCGAGGAACCAAGTGACGATTTGCACGTACATCGCATAGTCGGCGGTGTATACGGGATGCGGCGGTCTTCTCCAATCTGTGCGATGTTTCAGAATTCATGCTGCAATACTGGTCACTTGGGACGTACCTCGGCCTAGATGCAGATGCAACAGCGCGTTCGCTAGAAGCGACTGACCTGTGCGCAGCATGCAACCCCAGCCCGCATCGCTCGTCCATCCTTTCTCTCCGCCTATAGGCCAGTTCCATCGCTTACTCGGAGGGCTACTTGGCAATCCAGTCGGACTATCATGAACCTCTTGCTCGAGGGCGGCGAGAGTGGTGTCGCGGATGGGGAAGAACTGAGAACGATATGTGAGCCATATTCGCGATGTGAAGTCTGCATAGAACACAGGGGGCCAGTTCTTAGATGGGTCTTTGTCCCTGTCTTTCGAATTGGCAGGGTAAGAAGAGGGTGGCTGGGACTGGGAAAGAGAAGGGTCCGGTGGCGCGGAGCTAGGGGAGCCAGGAGACGAGTTCGACGAGCGAAACGCGGAACCACGGCGCGAATCGGCTGAACTGCGGCGCGCAGGACTGGCGTTGGGGTCCGGTGCGGGCGGCGGGGATGGCTCGTAGCCAGGATGCTGTACCCCGAGCAGCCAGATGGGCTCCGGGCACTTATCAGGCGTCGCGTCGCTGTCAAGCAGATAGCGCATGGCCTTGTCCAGATGGCCCTTTCCGTGTCTCGCGGCGGTGAGTAGCGCAGATCCCTTGCCCTTCGGCGAGACGGATGCGGAGAGGTGTTGCTGGGAGAGGAGAGACGGGAGGCTGAGATCGGTGGAGGACGTGGAGAATGTATGCGCGAACCACCCAGACAAGCGAGTCGGTAAGTCGCTCAGCCGAGGGTTCGATCCGGGGGAATAGTATTGTACAGAAGGGTAGTTATCAGACAGAGGCCGCTCGGAACGTGTGCGTGGCCGAGGCGCACCCGAGGGCTCAACAATGACGGGCGGTTCGTCGGGGGTATCCTCGCCGTCCCTCGAGATGGAGACGTCGCCGGCGTCGACGTCCTGGGACTGCCTGCGGCTTCCAGCATCTTTGAAAATCGAGCCGCGGCGGCTGGGCTTCTTGTGTTTTGGCGTCTCGGGGAGTGCGGGACTAGAGGAGGAGGAGCTGGGGGTGGGACTGCCGGCGGGGTCGACCATCGACTTGGACCTGTCGCGGTTGGTCTTCAGAAATTTGGGGAGTTTAGGGCCATGATTGGAGCCAGTCGGCGACGAGGGCGAGGGCGATGCGCGCGATGGTTTGGTGGACATCGTCGTCGTCGTCGTCGTCGTCGTCGTCGATGGCAAGAGGAGAGTTGGGCACGGGCGTCGCCGGTGCGGTGCGACAAGGGCTCCCCCGGCCTCCGGCGCCAAACCGGTCTTTCTGTACTTGTCCCTCTTCCACCAGGTTGAAGTGGTTTCCCTCAGCCCCCTCTAATCGTCTCACACAGCACAGATGCACCCGACGAATGCTGGACAATGTTGACTGTGGCAGAGACCCTGCATGTGTCCCATTGGCTATTCATGAGGCCAAATGCCGGCATGACGTCCACATGACTTGGTTCTGGCGCTTCATCTGTCCTCAACCTGCAATGGGGACCTAGAGCGTCGGAAGTGGTCTTCGGGCTAATGACGGAGTGATCGCCTAGATTCTCTATGTCCTGAAGCAATTTCAGCCTCGATAAAGGGTTGGTGAGATAGAAGGACCGTTGAACGTTCTCACAACCCCAGATTGCGGTGAGCGCACTCCCGTAACATGAAAGCCGAATATCAGCGTTAACAGTCGTGTTGTGGCGCCCAACTATAGCCATCTCGCGGAGACATACGACTCCTCTTCTCGATACTGAGGAAGTCTACCCCCTGCCGGTCCAACGGTAGCTAGCAGATGAGTTGGAGTGGCAAAGATCCCTGGTGGCGCTCACGATGACTTAGCCCTTGCACTCGCCTTTGTTGAGCTGGATGCGAGGCGCCTATGCTGCCCTTCCGCTGTTTGACATGAGACGAAGCCAGACAATGGGTCAGATGCGAATATCTGAATGACCATGTGGGACAGCGCCTGTCTAATTCGATAACACCCGCAAGCAAGACTGGTTCGAGTCTAGCTCGCGGAGGTACTCGCTCGGTTCTATTGCTCGACAAGTTGGTCTGCAATTGATCACTATCATCTCACAGGCAGAGAAACGCGACACGTCGAGAGGCAGTCAGGTGCATGACTGTGCATAGTGACGACACGCTTCTCGTTGCTTGTATCAGGGCTGCCAGTGAATACCTTCCGGCCCACCCTGCTGAAGTCAATATCAGGCTGTCATTCTCAATATCTCTTGTTTGTCACGCTTAGGATTCAGCAACAACGGACCTTGTCCAGCTGCTTGATGGTTCAATAAGGCAACCAGGAGAAGGACGTCAGGTACACGGACGATATAACCCCTCAGAATTTCCGTCGGATCGTGAGGTAGGCCAGAGCTCGAAGGCCACACACGCTTGACCCCACCAGACTAACCTCTGACGACCACCCCGACTTCTGCGTCCATATCTTCCCAGCCTCGGTCTTGATCCTGTCCGCCTGATGTGGCGTCGATACTAAGACGGCTTCTCATGGCAAGCCGAGGCTGTGAGGCAATGGATGGAAGGGTCATGAATACTCCTGCCTCCCGTGAATCCCTCTACTGCGCTTCCGCGTTACGCCCTCGGATCCTGCCAGCTTCGCCGAGGGCTCCGACCTCATAACTAAGTGTCAGAGGCGATACATCTCGCCCGTCATTCCGGTCGGTGAAGACGTGAAAGTCAAAGACTTCCATGCCAGTCATGTACACTCTCGGCCAGGAAGTTGCCTTGCCACTTCCCCGACGTGTCAGCGGGTGTTCTCCTCGTATTCGGGCAACATACCATCACGAGGGATTGGCTCAAGCACATGGCGTCGACCGACTCGACCCTGAATGTCCTGAGACCACAGTACGTCCCTTTCGAAGATAGCCTCACAAACTCGCTCCTGCTCGGACTAATCGCCAGTTGATTAACTTCATTCGTAAGTAGGGTCTGTTGTGTGCTGCCTCTAACGGTCGCCGCCTCCAGAGCATACACGCAAGCGCGTCGTCGTAGTCCATTTCTTGATAGCGTACCCATGCGCTCGATAGTATCCCTATACGAATCCTACAGTCTATCATCGCCATCGGAGTTGGTAGCACCAGTGAATGCAATCCCCCCAGCGCGATGCGACGCAAGCCCATATTAGGTAGAAAAATCTTATGTAAGGCGCGTAGTTCAAGAACATCCAGCGCTGCGCGAAGAGGACCCGCCATTCGTGCTCCCGCCCCTCCCTCGCTGCGCTCGGGGGGTCCCCCGAGCCGGGAGCACTCAACTAAAGCCTCGTTCGCGCGAAAAAAATAAGACCGGCGACCCCTTGTGGGGTCAGGAGAAAGACAAGTGCCCAACGGGCCAACCAACCCTAACCGCTGACCCCAAAACCCAAACCCTAACTCCCAACCCGAACCCTAACAAGCCTGCTTGGGATTCGAACTCTCGCACCGAAAAGAAAAAATGGCCATCGT